TCATGTCTGGGGATAAGTATGTCTCTCTCTCTTTCTCAATCATTATTCTGATGTTGTCACATCCCTTTCTCTCCACCTCAAGAGTCTTCAATCTGAAGTATAGTCCACTGATTTTTTATGTCTTTCACGAGAGAGTAATGGGAGAACTACAATATCCTATTATCATATGGAGTCGGCAAGTACTATACTTTGGGAGATAAAATATTAGTTTTCGTAGAACTATTGTCACAGTATTTGTCACTCTCTTCTCTCTCTTATTCTCTATTGTCCATCTATTTACTATCTTGTTTACCACTATTTCGTATTATTAAGATATCTATTGCATCTATCTTTCACATTATAAGTGGAAAGGGAAGAGGGTCATATCAATCTCTCTTTGTAGTAAAGAGGGCTATGTTTGCAAAGTGGAAATATTTTCACCCCTCTAGTATATCTTCATATCCATTGGGTTATCCATCCATTAGATTATCCCTTTACCTTGGGCCTTAACACAATGACACATCGTTGTGCACAAGAAGGCCTCATCCATCTTGAATTGCACTACCAGCCACTCCTCGCCAGAACAATGATTATAGCGTGCATCTCCAGCTGCCACCATTGCACAACAGTCTTCACCGCAGCCTTCCACAGCACCCCTAGAGTTGGAGTGGCCATGGTGATGATGCCCATTGTGGTGATGATGATGATGGTGGTAATGAGCAAACTTATTTCTAAATATTAACATAGAAATATTGAAAAGTGACATGTGAAATTGTAAAACATAAGAGAATAATATTTTCATTGATTAGTGAGAAGAGCAAATATACATTCTCTCTAATTTATAGTGATGTTTGGGGACTATCACTAACTCTTAATATATTAAGAGTTAGATGGGTTGTCATTTTAATTATTTTATTAAAATATAAATTAGAAGTGAACAAAGTTATATAGTAATTTAGCTCACTCATAAAGAATGCATTTGGAACATAAATGAAAAGATTTAGATCCAACAATACAAGAGATTTTTTTAATCACACAATTACAAGATACTTCATATAAAGGAATTCTCTATGAGTCATCATGTGTTAACACTCCACAACATAATAGAGTGGCTGAAAAGATATCGAACATAGTCTAGAAGTGACAAGAGAATTTCTATTCCAAATTAAAGTGTATAAAGTTGTTTGGGGAGAGATGGTCTAAACAACTATGCACTCATTCATAGGTTACTATCTAGGTGTTAGCTTTAAAGAGTTTGCTGAAAATTTATCTCAATTTTATCCTAATATTTAGTTGAAAAATTACTTAGTTCTTAGAGTGTTTGGATGTGTTTTCTTTGTGCATAATCAAGATCTAAGTAAGAGGAAACTCGATCAATGTATTCTTAAGTTTGTTTACTAGGTACACAAATACAAAAAAAGGTATACATGTTACCATCTTCCATCTATGTAATTTTTTGTGTCAAAACATGTAATCTTTAATGAGCATAAAGCTTATTTTGATAAGAGTTCTTTTAAGGAGGAAACCCTAATATCACATATAAAAATAATAAATAAGGTAACAATATTTTACCATGTATACCTATAGAAATACTCATAAAACCAAAGATAACAATCATTCCCAAACCATAACAGCTCTAGATTCTCTTAAGCAAGAGCAACCAAATGATCTCTTACTGATCACTCAAAATATTGAGGATGAACAACCTTCTACACTACAAGACGGTAAGCATGAATTGCCTATAGCAGTTGGGAAGGGAAAGAGAAAATGTCTTCTATGATATCTTATATCTAGCTTTTTATCATAGACGCCTAACCCCTTAATATAAGACCTTGCCTACTACTCTTGATTTTGTCAAAATCTTATATAATGTCTTGAAGGCATTAGGTCATGATGAATGGAAACAAACCATGGAAGATGAATTAGAGGCATTAGAGAATAATCACACATGAGAATTAGTAAAATTATCACAAGAATGAAAGTCCGTAGGGTGCAAGTGAGTCTATACAATAAGATACAAGGTGTATGAGACATTGAAAAATATAAGACATGTCTAGTTGCTAAAGGATACAACCAAATTTATAAATATACTAGTTAGAAATATTTCTCAATGTTGTAAAAAATAGTAGAATTAAAATCTTACTCTCATAAGTTGTAAATTATGAATGGGACATACAATAATTTGATGTAAAGAATGTCTTCCTACATAGATAGTCAAAGTAATATATATATATATATATATATACTCTTCAAAGATATGAGAGGTAACTTCTAAGTAAAAACTTACTAAAGAGTTTGATATTAAGAAACTAGAAAAGTTGAGGTATTTCTTAAGTATAGAAGTAACGTACTCCAAATATTCAATATTTATTTGAAAATAGAATTAATTTTAAACCTTTATGAGATATAGAAAAATGAGATGTAAACCCATAATTACACTAATTGATCCTAATCATAAGCTTAATAATGACAATGAGAGTGGTAGGGTATATATATACCCAAATATCAAAGATTTGTAAGAAAGTTGTTTTACCTCTCTTACACTAGACTAGACATATCCTATGATGTGGGTGTCTTGAGCTAATTTATACATGGCCTAAGAGAGAGTCATTTATACGCTACAAAGAGAATTCTCTATTGTTTGAAATGAGTATTGGGAAAATGTATTTTATATAAAAAATAAATTAATACAGATGTTGATTGTGTAAGTTTTATCATTGACCGATGATTGACTTCAAGATATTATTCCTTCTTAGGTGGTAATCTCATAACTTGGCAAAATAAAAAACAACATGTTGTGGCAAGGTCAAGCACAATTGAAATTTAGAGCAATGGCACTAGGAATCTATGAAGTATTATGGGTGAAAAGAATTATAATGGATTTGGATCAAATGGCATTGACCTATCAAATTATATTGTCACAATAAGTCAGCCATCAACATAGTTCATAATTCAATGCAACATTATCAAACAAAACATATGGATATACATTAATATTTCATCAAGAAAAAGTTAGAGAGTAAATTACATGCATATCATATATTTCAACTAATGATCAACTTGCATATGTACTAACTAAAGAGTGGAATAAATCAATTTTCTAAATTGAGATTAAATGATATCCATTCACCAACTTGAGAGAGAATGTTAATAGAGGTTATAAATTAGATCTGGTATAAGTGATTTCAATAGAATGAATTTGACCTAATTATTATCCGAGTGTATAAATATGTGCCTGTCCCTTTTCTTAAATTAATAAAGTATTTTTCCTTTCTTTTATCTCTCTCATCTAACCCTAGAGCTTAATGACTCTCTCTCCAACAATGGTGGATGGGAGCAAGGCTTCAAATAGTCAAGAAGTTTCGACAAGGGTAATTTTTCCTTGCCAATGATCTGAATTTTGGCTTGATCATATTTAAAATTCTATCCTACGAGATATTCATACAAAGTATTCAATGTTTTTTCTATTTCCTATCTATATGAAGCAGAATCAATCAGATCTCTTATATTAGTAATTTTATATTTGATCAAATTCATATCATAATTTCTCACTTTATGTGCATACTTTAGTTACTAATTTTCTTCCTTATCTCATTTTCATAATCTTCAAATTTAATTCATAAAATTGTTCTACATTTTTTGGTCATGGATAAGGTTAATATAAATTTTCCCATATGTCTTGAGTTGTAAGTAGATGTAGGTAGATTCTACTAATCTCATGAATCATGAAAATCTACAACCACACCATGATTCTTGAGTCATGTTGGTACCTAGTTTCAAACTCAAGATCTTTAATTTTTAGACTTTAACTATGTAGATGATTAGACAGTCATCACCTTTTAAGAACAACTCTAACTTGCTAAGATCATCCAAATTAATTTCGACCATCAAGATGGTTTTTTTTGGGATATAATTGATGAGTCCCCATAATTGTGACTTGATTCAGTCCTTATGATTCAAGATTGTTATGTATTTCAGATTGCTTTAGACATTTTTAATTGCTAAAATAAGTATATCTGAATGTAAAACAGATTAATTGTAAGAGATCACTCATTACCAAATATACTCTGCACAAGCCAACTAAATAGCTATATAATATAAAGATTCTGAGCATGAATCAGATATTCATGTTTCTACAGGAAATAAAGCTTTATTCTCACATAAGCAATATAGAATCTGCACAAGAACCAGTGAGTTGCATCAACAACTTAAAAGTCTATCATTCTTTAAACCGGAACACAACTGCCACTCAAAATGGAGACCACATACAATGGAAGAAGTTAAATAGATCATGGTGAGATCTCACCTAATGTTTTAATACCATGTCAATTGACGCTCAAATGGCTAATCTCATGTGATTCCTTTTATTTGATTATATCCCACAACAGCAATAGAAGAAAATCAAGAAGAACAAGAAAATAGTAGTGAAAGCCTTAAAACTTCATTCAAAAGAAACAAGCAAATACAAAGAAAGGAGATAGAACCGGACCGATTTGGTTTATGAGTATAGTAAGAGATACAACGAACATAAGATAAAGGCATTTACATAAATGAAAAGAAAAAAATAATCACTCATATTTTCATAGAGCGTAGTTAAAGTTGTGTTATAAGATAAATTAAAGTTCCATAATAATGAATTGGAAAATCAGCAGCTCATACCATTGGGTCTTCTCTGGGTGAGATGCCAGGTTCTGATACAACTTTGAACAAAAATAATAAGACACTCGAAAGATTCCAAAAATAGGGCTCATGAGAGAGGAGAGATTATACATTATGGCAAATCGGGTACAACGACAGGTCAACGAGGGAAAGAATCAGCCGGAAACAACCACCACTCTACAAAGGCTCCAGCTTTATTTACAGTCAAACAGCCGCCTAACTACAATCAAGGCGGAGCAATGAGACTCCTGGACCACATTCCAATACACCCTTCAGGGCAACAGCATAATCAAAAGACCACTCGCTTTAATACAAGTTTAAATGCCACAGCTCGGTGAAATCATTCGCTGGAACTGTCAACCTCATGATCTACCACCACCGTGTCTCTGGTTTCTGAAATGGGTAAGAAGTAGCTGCGCCTGCAAGGTAAACAAATTTAAATATATATATATATATATTGGTGATCCGAAATGGAAAGAAAAGCAGAAGATACGGTGAGAAGTATCCAGAGAGAATGACAAAGCATTAAATATATATTATATCAGTCAACAAGAAAGCTGGTGAAATTATTCAACTCAACTTATGGGAGGAGGGATGGTTCTGGAAGATGCGAGCAGATTTGGTGAAACTAAAATAATAAAATAATGCAAAGAAGGCATTGACGAACCTTTTCCCTTGCTCGGGGTGTCCCAGACTGCGACAGAGCTACCAACGGTGGCACAGCACCTTCTTGGAGAACCAGAGTGCAAAATTTGTTGCTATTAGTGCAAAGATGCAGCAAAGCTGCAGCTGCATTCTCCTTCCCTCTAGCAGATCCCAGCTCGACGACTTCCACAAGAGCTGGGATCCCACCTTCATGGCCAATGGCTAACCTGCCTTCATGAATGGTTGTAAGGTTCGCCAGAACGGCAACAGCCTTGTCAACCATCCCGGCCGCCGGGTCCATCAGCTCTACTAGATGCCTAACAGCCCCGGCCTGCACAATCCTTGCCTTGTTCTCATGAAATATCGATAGATTAAACAATGCAGTGGCGGCATCTTTCTTTCCACGGGGAGTTCCATTTCCTAATAGTTCCACGAGGGGTTTGATAGCACCTGAGCGTCCAATCTTCACCTTATTTTCTTCAATGACTGAAAGGCTGAAGAGGGTTGCTGCAGAATTCTCTTTGGCTTCTGGATTACCCGTCTCAAGTACCTGAATAAGGGGACCAATGGCATCGGCACTGGCAATTGCGATCTTGTTGTTGTCATTGATGGACAAATTCAGGAGGGCAGTGACTGCATTCTCCTGGGTTTTAGAGTCAGTCGAGTGAAGCAGACCAACCAAGTGGATAATTGCCCCACAGCTGGCGATTATGATTCTATTCTCCATGTTGTGCTTAGCAAGGAGACGCAACTCATGTGTCGCACTTCTCTGCATTTCGGTCGAATCGCTTTTCAAGTCCTCAATCAGTTTACGGACTGCAGCTTCAACTTCCGATAGGTCCGGCCTTGAATCCAAGGATGGCGAGGAGACAATCCTTGGAACAAACCTTTCAGATGGACGGCGCCAAATAGTTTGGTTTCTGGACCGGGGCTCTGGCAACCTCGATTGAGATTCCTGTTCTCTTTGTGAAGAGGATGAAGCTGGTGCTTCCTGTGCCATCTCCCCTGAGACGTCAGTACCATAATTTGCCATGTCACTTGAAGACTGTGAGACCCTGTCATCTTCTCCTCGAAGGCATTCAGTGCTGGAAACAGCACTTGAGGCAGATGAAGTCCGGTTGTGTCCCTGAAGTTCTTTCCTGCCATTAGAGCACTCGGCCTTTGATTGATTGGGGAGATGGCCAAGAGAACAAGACCTCTGTTCCTCCAAACTAGGCTCCTTGCCATCAGAACCTGCCTGCGAGATCCTTCCAATTGTTGAATCAAACCCATTGGCCAGATGAGGAGGGACGGGTCTCTCATTCACATGGCCATCTTCATGGTTCTCATTGGAGGGTGAATGTGAATTCGATTTGGAACTCGTAGCAGATCGATTTGGTTCAGGCGATCTTGAGCGTAAAGTCTTTGGGTGACCAAATCTGGGAATGTTACAATCGTCAGAGTTTACATCAGCATGAGCAACGAAGCCAGATGGCTGTTTCAAAGTCATTGATTTCTCAGGATCTGGCAGCTTAATGTTGTTGGATTCGCACCAATTAGCAATCAAAGCCTTGACAGTGTAATTCGGTATCAAATTTGCATGCCCAAGTGCTTGACGTGTCTTGGGGCAGACAGTGAAACCCTGATCAAGCCATTTTCTGATGAAAGCTCGCTCGTATGTCTGGCCAGATGCCACTATCACCGGGTCTGACATCAGTTCGAGAGATAGAGGGCAGCAAAAATCAGCGGGAATCTGGATGCCGTTTATACTTGGCAACTGATTTGCTCTAACATAACAATCATGCATGCGATTAATGAGCGAAATCATAGGATCAATATACTCTAGATCGTCGGGGTTTTCAACCTGGCTAAGTTTTGTCTTCAGCTTCTCAAGTGCAACAGCCTCCATTAGGAGTTCCTGATTTGAGGACAAGCTCAACGAACTGCTAATCCTCACAACATGCTCCGAATCAATATTTATGTTTTCTATGTGATCATTCATGGCTTCCTTTATAAAGTCTGAAACAGGTTCATAAATCAAATCCTGATTTTTTTGTAGGCAGTTCTGCAATTTTTAGTAGAAACCTAACGTCAGTTAAATGCCAAGATGACAGAAAAATAACAGATTATTTTCAGATTAGGGAACGAAGCCCATTCAAGATGTTACCTCGACGCAGGCCAAGTGAGATTTTTCTTGCAACGACTCAAATATTGGGCAAACCAACTGGAATGTCTCCATTGTGCAAGTTTGAATTTTGGTTATCTCATATTCTACATGCAGAACCTGAAAAAATATCAAATAATAGCCAGTTAAAAACTCATGGAAGCCCAATCAATGAAACACCATAATGTCACAACCGTTAAAATAACATAGCCTACTTTTACATTTATTGTAAAACTCTTGTTTTAGAAGTAGACAGCACCGCATAATCCGCAATAAAAAGGGAGAATATCTGAGTGACAGGTAAAAAAGCAATTCAGTAGCAGATTTCCATAAACGTTGGGCATTCTCTCTTTCAAGGTATTCTATATCTTAGCCAATCCTCTTCTATCGAATCTGCTGCATTTATATGCCTTCAAATGCCATCAGAATCTGCTAATAATCTATGCAAGAATTTTAAAAAACGTAAATCTGCGAAATCCTCTCAAAGCTGAGAGAGGCTTTTCAGGTTTTATCCCAGAAAACAATAATGACGCTCTCATTAGAGCACAAGTGCACGACTTACGAGCTCATGTAGTAAGGCATGGCCCTACTGAAATAATGGCTTATGCACTCTACTCGCTGTCTACTAAATGAGCGTTAGAGCGAATTGAGCAAGCGAGTGAATCCTTCCTGAAGCTTCCCCCGACAACCTCTTACAGTCTCCCCCAGCATCAGCTACTATTGAAAAATGTATTCATGCATTAGTGAGAGTGTGATCCACACTGCTGTTATCCAGACTTCTGACGGGAGGGAAATTGTCCCCCGCCCCTATTCTCCCAAGGGACGCTATAGAAAATTAATGACTCAAGAAACCTTTTAAAAAATATAAAGTGGGCAGTATAAATAATGGGAAATATCTTCTCAACAAATACGTTGCACATCACAATATTAACAGTCCTTGTGCTGGAGCGAACTTGATAAGAAAAAAAATAGGCAAAAACGTAAAATCTGAGAGACTCACATAGAGAAAAGATTGTCCTAGAAAATAGTATTGCAAAAGCACGTTCTTTATATTAGTTAAAGTCAACTCTGATCAGGAATGGCTAACTGTTTCCACAATCCAGCCTACAGATTTATATCACAGCGCTTGTTAATGATCATAAAATGGCAAAATGTTCCTCACCAGACGTGTTAAGTTCTTCATCTCACGCTTTTACAATATTCACCTGAGTGAGTATCCTTTGCAGTCCTGCTGCTCTTTTACTAGCATCATTCAGCTATAATGTAAATACACAGTCCAGTATTTCCTACAGAGGTACAAAGAATCCCAAGGAAAAGCTCCTCTCAGCGAAAGACTCATAGCTCCAATTCTGCATTGGCAGCCAAAAGTACTAAAATATTGGTTAAGATTAAGGCCAGCATATGGATACTTCGATTCCTGTACCAGTACACCTGAACTTTCCCACACTCATATACGAAAGCTTCCCATTTCAAGGGCAATTTGGATGCTCATGGTCCTTTGTCATAATTTCTTTCATGGCTACACAATATCCTTCCACAAAAATTCATCCCAAAGGCTTCTTCATAGGATTTCTCCGACCCTGACTCCCATCTACTATCTTGCCTAGTCAAAAAAATCCAACTTCAGACAAGAGGCATCTATTTCTCTTCTTGACGACTTCACTAAAAACATAGGATGAAAAAGCAGCAGGTCTGAACAGGCTGACCAACGTGGGAACCAGGGGAAGACTAGCCTGGTATCGACATTATCAAATCAAAACAAGCTAATGTTAGCAGAAGCACACATTAGTTGAAAAACAGAATGGCCAAGCTGGTTCGTCACGTTTAATTTGCTTATTTTGTTGGAAACTAATGTTTCCTTTTTAAAATAGGGTGCTAATAGTTGTGAACCCTATGATTTCCTCTCAGAGGTGAAAAGAAAAGAAAAACCTCACGTATGGCAGGGTATCAACCACTATCCCTCAACATTTTAGTCTCATCCTTGGACAAGCATAATGTTTGCCTAAACTTGTTGTGACCAAGTTGCGAAATACATTCTTCATTGACACAGTAAAGCCCTGATTTGTCCCCTACAGTGGAAACCTGCAAATTGCCCCGTCCAATCCGATGCAAAATTGTGAGAGAGCAAATATTTAACCCCTATAGAATAGTGGCAGCAGGATCTCACACAGATAATCTTTACAATGTGTTGATGCAGCAGTAATCATAACAAATATAGGACCAATTAATGGAAATAAAAATAACTAACAACTAACTCAAAAATCTAACCGACACGTGCTTCTAGTGGGCTATCCCATATGCTTTCCACAACATATGTCAGACTATTCAATAACCTTTCTTAATGCAAGGAAGAAATATCATTAAATAGACACATTAGGAAATATGAAATTGCTGAAGCCAAAACATTAATATCAAAAAAGGTTCAGCAAGGAAAGAAGGGAATGCAATGTAACTGACAAAGTATAATTTGCTTGACATCTGATGCCAGCTTTCTGCAAGCTCCTTAGCATTGTTGACGTGAGCATCCAATTCTTTCAAAACATTACCAATGTTTTCAGTCAAAGAAATCTTCGAAACAATAACTTCATCAAGTACAGGCTTCAAAAGGCTCAGAAATTCAACTATCTTCTGGCAATAGCTTTGAGCAAGCTCAGACTTGGGTGAGAGCGAACCGAACTGCGAGATATGACTAAGAAGTCCCTCTATCACCGATACATCCATTTTTCCTGTAAGGAGATACCTCAGATATATCAGTAGTTTTTCCAACAGAAATGATTATGGTATTCTGGATCCACAAAGGAACCCTTCCGCAAATTATCACTGAAGGGTAGAAACTATTGGAACAAGATAAAACTTATTTAGGGATAATTTACATTATAACTGTTGGTGAACCGAATCATACACAAATAGACAAGGTGAAAGGTTTTGATGATAATTCCTTGTTAAGCCTATCGCAATTTAATGTTAAAATTAGCCATCAAGAAAAAAAAGAAGAGATGGCAAAAATAGGAATCAAGTTGCATAAGACAACTTGATAAGACAAGTTGCATAAACTTACTGTACTACTCCTTAACAGTCAAGAGACTAAATATGTGTATGGATTTCGTAAAATTGATCTAGAACGGTCACTCAAAGGCTAAAGTTGACTATTTTGACTTTAACTCGGATGCCCATTATTGCATAAATAAAGTCGCAAGGATTGGATTTACAACCCAAAGATGGAAAGCAGAAAATGGGTAGAAGAGTATGTATTCTCTCCTTCAGCGTAAGCTAGTCAAGGATTTTAGTGGCAAAGGATTCTGAAATCCATCGCCAAAAATCCTGGATTAGACCATAATAATCCCAACCTAAGATCGGTTGATGGGACAAGGCTTTCATGAGGATGAGATAGGAAGAATTGAACACAGGATCTACGTATCCGAAAACCCGAATAAAATATTTTTTTCTGGTCTAATAACGATCTTTGTGAACCAGATTTTGTTGCAAACAGACGCAGGATATGTCATCATGAACGGGGCATAATCCTTCACTGGACGAAGAAATTAAAACAGAATCTTAACCCTAGACAAAACTAAAACGTGAATAAAATATCGGTTACCTCAAATTCACCTGGAAAGATGTTTGAGCAATTATTCCAGCTTTGGAATTTCAAACAAGTTACAAGGACACTACGTGAGACTATCCCCACCCAGCCAATCACAGCGTTAATTCTTAAATGACGAGGGCCATTTCTTTCCTCCACAGAGGAGCACAAAGATCTCCGACAGTTTTTGAGAATAGATTTGGGTTTAATACTGTAAGTCATGTTGTACCGAAAGTGACGGGGTCTCGCTATTATATCGCTCACTTTTCCCCAGCGTTGAGCTAGAATGTGATAATATTTGGCGTAATCATCTTTTTATGCATCATACTAACAAAAAAGGTGGGGTAGATAGAACCATTCTTATCTCCAATTTTCTTTTGCCCTCCCCGACATAAGCAGGCATCTCCCGTTAAGATTAGAAGGAGAATAAGCGGCACAAACTATCATCGAGGTACGAAATAGGGAAAAAGAATCTCAAATACCTTTAAGGCTAATGCTGGACGGGATCGATCGGATTTACGACGCTGGCGACAACGCCACCAACCGCCCTGGCTAAAATCCGAGGAAATGATCCAATTAAACACTTCTTCGGCAGACTCCTCGCTCCCACGCTAAATCCAACAGCTCCCACCTGGACCCTCCCGCGTCTCACCCAATTCCCGTTCTCGCGCCGGAACACGACGACCACGACGCGATCCACCCCCTCCCGCCACCGTCCAGCGACGCGTTCACAAACCCGCACGACTCGAAATCCGACTCGATGGAGGCTTCGCACCCCCTTCTCTGCGGACACCCCGGCACGATCTGCTCCCCAGCTGGATGTCCAACTCTTCGGCAGCGCCTGGGTTCGACGGGCCCCGACGAGCAGCCAGCGAGCCCCCGCGGAACAGACGGCGAGGGCGAGCTTCGAGGGGAGACGGGGAACGCAAGAAGAGAGAGAAAACTCTGGGGGAGGGATTTTCTCTGTTAACGAGGTCAGAAAAACAACTGGTTTTACGCTAAAAACGTGATGGGTTTCCGTCTCCTCCTCTTTCCCTCCCCCAAATATACCTCCAACTCCCCCTTCCAAGCTTTTTCTTGCTTCCATACCTTGCTGAAACTTCCCATTACGTCCACACCCCCAAAATGTTAAAATGGCCGGCCCCTTGGGCCATAAAAACTAATGCCTCTTTTTGACTGAATATCATCATGAAAAAGCTATCTTTATGAGGGCATATCTGGAAAACGTTATCCGTTTTGACGCACGAGAGAGAGAGAGCCGTGTCCCGACCCTCGTGCCGGATCGGTCTCGATTGACGAGTCGCCAGATGCGGGGCCCGCCAGCATCTCCTCTGTCTCTACTCATAGAGCTCATACCAAACTATTGGAGTGTCCTTGAGGGATTGGGCCCCACATCTTCTCAAGTGATACGGATGGGGCGCGTGGCGAAGACAAGGGAGGGTCTGCATTCAATTCCTACCAACTCGAGGTCGCTAACTCGGTCCGATTCCATGAATCGGGTTCGACTCCGGTCTCCCACCTGCAATCAGGCCGTGGGCCCCCACCAGCACGATGCCGTATTCGTGACGTATACGTTGCGTGGAACGTTCCATCATATTCAAAAGAGACGACTTTCCATGAGAGAACAGGCTCAGACATCCCGCTTAGGGTAGAAGTCAACGATTAAAGATAATCGAACGCGCTCCTTGGTCAACTTACATCCTGGCCTGCCCTTAATCCATGCCGTGCGGCTTCTGTAGTCAAATATCGTACGTCAACTAAAAGAATAATTAAAATCATTCATTGTCCCTGAGATTCAAGGATCCAAACGACGGTCAAAGTTAGAGAGAGAGCGGGAGAATCGACGCACATTAAGCCGTCTCCCCGAAAGAATAACATTTATTGATTCAGACATGGGAAGATTGTTCGACGCGGCGTTGACTTCTCCGGTCGCGCTCTGTCGGCGCCTGAGGAACGACTCCGTCAATGAACGGCGCCCGCCAGTCAAACCGCAGCCACCATTTGATATCTTGCTAGAGAGAGACGGGAAGAGAGAGAGAGAGAGGTAGGAGAGGTTCCACGTCTGTGGATGGACAAAGGAAGTGGGTTATAGGTTGTGGAGTTTCCTTCACGCCCAGGCATGGTATCGCCGCTGGAGTTCACCGGAGATGGAGACAGTACGCTCTGGACCGGTCTCTCCCCGCCCCACCGTTGCTCAAGGAGAAGAGATTGAGGAGAGAGAGAGAGCAAACCACGTAAAGCAAAAGGAAAGAAATTGGAAGCCTGGTCCCGTCGGCGAGTTGTTCCGTGATGAGCAAGAAGAGCGAGAGACGGGATGAGAGTGTTAAGCGATAAAAACGCACGGAGAAAGAGAGAGAGAGAGAGAGAGGGGGTGTTGGTAAAGCAGCCGCGGATAAAATCGTAATCCAGAAGAACATGTCGGCCCTTCTCAAGAATTACATGGAGAGAGAAAGCAACAGATCTAATCCAGAAGAAGACCGACCACATGCTGGTGCCCAGGATAAGCAGGGCGATCTGATCAACGCTTCAGCATTGATAACGGAGGATTCCGGCGTGGGCCCCTCTGTTCCCCTTCGTCAAAGCCATGCTACCCAAGACATGCACCGGGAAAGGGTTGACTTTTGCCCCCCCCCCGTTGTCATTAGTCGAAGAACTTTTCAATGAATGTCCAAAGTCCCATCCATTTCTTGGTACTCAACCACTACGAAAGGCCTCTACTTACCAAGTACCCACTACAAGAGTACAATTTAACACGTAACTACATACAATGACCAGCATGTCCCCTACCCTCTAGTCGATCCTCTATCTTACACTCTTATGGAGAGCACCATCTGGAAGGGTTTTTTAGTCATGTTATTATTAACGACGAGGTCATTAAGGCGTATGGCTGATGAACGTTGACTTTTATAATCTTTGAGACTCAATAATGATTATGCGGCAGGTGGATATCAACCGACAAGAATAGGAGGCGGCGGATGAGATCAAGAGATATTTAATGCTACAGGAATCTGGAGCTAAACAACCACTTAAAATTTCTTTTAGTCGGATTCCGAGTCTGCTTCCGGGCTTTTTTCTTAGCGAACGGGCCGATCTCGGGCTGGGCTCATAGAGCCTTCACGACATCTACATCTACCGGCAGTTGCTCCCATGATGCTTGTCTCGAGCAGTGAGCCGTGCAGTGAGCCGTGCAGGAGGGAGAGAGAGAGAGAGAGAGAGAGAGGTGGAGCTCCCTTCAAGCCAAAGGAGGAAGGGGGGAGTGGCCTGACGAAGCTCCAGCTTCATGGAAGCCAGACGTGACGTCGCAGACGGCCCTGGTTAGGACGGCGCGCTGGAATCCATGAGTCTGCAGCTCCGTGCTGCCCCTCCTCGGCCTACTTTTGGACTCAAAGGGAGCACCCGCCGCCGCAGATCTTCTCACTATTTCCTGGTCTGTCACAGAGAGAGAGAGAGAGAGAGGAGACGAGAATCCGTCAGTGCAGCTCCAAACCGTACCAAAGCCGCAGGCAGAGATGCGCAGCGAGAGAGAGAGAGAGAGAGGAAACGAGAATCCGTCAGTGCAGCTCCAGACCGCACCAAAGCCGCTGGCAGAGATGCGTAGCGAGAGAGAGAGAGAGAGAAAGAAGGAGACGAGAATCCGTCAGTGCAGCTCCAGACCGCACCAAAGCCGCTGGCAGAGATGCGTAGCGAGAGAGAGAGAGAGAGAGAGAGAAAGAGGAGACGAGAATCCGTCAGTGAAGCTCCAAACCGGACCAAAGCCACAGGCAGAGATGCGTAGCGAGAGGGAGAGAGAGAGAGAGGGGGGGGGAGAGTTAGAGAGGGAGAGAGAGTTAGAGGAGATAGAGAGAGAGAGAGGGGGGATAGAGAGGAGAGAGAGAGGGGGAGAGTTAGAGAGGGAGATAGAGAGAGAGAGGGAGAGTTAGAGAGAGGAGAGAGAGAGGGGAGTGTTAGAGAGGAGATAGAGAGAGAGGGGGGAGAGTTAGAGAGGGAGAGTTAGATAGAGAGAGAGAGGGGGGAGAGTCAGAGAGGGGAGAGTTAGAGAGAGAGAGAGAGAGAGGGGGAGAGTTAGAGAGGGAGATAGAGAGAGAGAGGGGGGGAGAGTGAGAGAGGGAGATAGAGAGAGAGGGGGGGAGAGTTAGAGAGGGAGAGAGAGAAAGGGGGGAGAGTTAGAGAGGGAGATAGAGAGAGGAGAATCCGTCAGTGCAGCTCCAAACCCGACCAAAGCCGCTGGCAGAGATGTGTAGAGGGAGAGAGAGATATCCCCTGCTTACATAGAGAGAGAGAGAGAGAGAGAGAGAGAGGGGTCCTGCCAAAAGAGATATCCTCCACTTAGATAGAAAGAGAGGGAGGGCACCAGCCGAAAGAGATATCCTCCAGATAGAGAGAAAGGGAGAGCACCAGTAAAGCAAGATATCCTCCACCAGCCGCCCGTGAGCGTTCTCACGGTCGGCGAATATGAAGACAAGGATAGACCTCCTAGAGAGAGAATAAGGAGAGAGAGAGAGAGAGAGAGGAGAGAGAAGAGAGTACACAAGGAAGGAGGGGATGCCGGAGGCTAGGGATCCCCAGAAGGCGCCGAGCCAGACCACGACTCTGGTTTCTCAACGGTCACCTCCTCCTGTGGGCCACCTCCTGAAAAATAGGTCTGGCCCAATAAATATCCCGCCAACATAGATCCCCACAAGCCCACGGCCCGTTATCTCCCTCAGGGAGGGCCAATCTGGTCCCCCTAATTGACTTTCAGGCTCGGGACACAACCAACCTACAAAACCACAGAAATAGCATTTTTTATGATAATAAGGAATAATAATTAAATTATTTAGAAAAAAATTAAATATCTGATTTTCCTTCAGAAACGTTAAATAGCTACTTCATCATTAGTCAGAATTACTTCATTATTTTTTCCAGAGCGTAAAAAGAGTTTCTTTTATTAACACGACGTTGATCCGGTTCCTCCCTAGGCTTCCCGGAGAAGAAGATCGATCATCCCATCATACTCCAACGCTTGGAATTCCCAGGCCTGCGAGCCCAGATCCGCCGTACAGACTCCAAGGTGGGGGAAGCGGGCGGCGCAGCCCTGGTCGTCTCCGCCACTGAGCTACTCGATCGTCCGGCTGATCCGCGTTTCTCCGGTAGTCGCCGAAGCCGGCTTGACGGCGACCTTGCCCATTTAAGGGGAGATTGTGGCGTGTGGATGGGCAGTTGGGAGGTGGGGCGCCCGGCAGTGCTGCTGGTGTGTGGGAGTCTCGTGTACTACCACTGTGCATACCGGCAATCGAGCCTCCTTTCCCTCATCGCTGATGTCTTCATCGTCCTCCTCTGCTCTCTGGCCATCCTCGGCATGCTCTTCCGCCAGATGAACATCTCGTGAGTCGCCGCTGTCTTCCCTTGGTTTTTTCCTATGTCGCACAATGATGTGGTTATCGGCGGATCATTCAAGCAGGAGATGCTCTTGTCGACCTGGGATTTTGGTTTCACGGCACGATGGGACTAACTGGGGGAACGAATGGTTTCCCATATTCCATGGGTACGCGAGCTCTGAGTTGCTTGCCATGCGTTGAACTATAGGCACAACCACCAAGATGGATGCGATGGCTTCTGCGGCGATTTTTGTGTTAGGCTTCTCCCTAGGGACGAAAAAGTTGCCCGGTCTTGTGCCTGTTGAGAGTTTAGCAGTTTTATTTTAACTTGGGTTGTAGGTTTAGCCCTTGGATTTGAAATGATGAAATCATGAGCGCCATTTTTGGGTTTCAAGGAAAAATGAGAGAAACCAGCTGCCAATGCGTTGGCCATGTGCTTATATTGCTGAAGATCATCCCTTCGATTTATGCAAATAAATGTTGGAACGGAGCATGTTGTAGCTGCTTCCTTTCTTTTTTCGTAGCTTACGTTCTTGGAAGAAACCTTACTTTACTGTTGCATAGTACTCACCTCTGCATGTTTTTCCATTGCCATCCCCTTGCGAGTAGTTTTACAACTGTGAACTGAAGAATGGAGGAGAATCCAACTAAGGGGTACTTGATATTTCTGTTAGCGACACCTTGCGTGACCTTGGCAATGATCTCACATGGCTTGATTGTTCCATATGGTTTATGTATGTTATGAATATTGAATTCCTTGTGCTCTTCTGTCCTATTTAGCTACAATCTTTGGTTTATGTATATGGGAGCAATGCATCATATATTCGAAGAGAATATCTTTAGAGAGAGAGAGTGATATCCTCGTGACATTGTCTTTCAGTGGATTTTATCTGATATCCATTAGTAATTGGTGACATCAATTCAGGGTACCTGTGAATTAATCTCATGTTAACATCTATAATGTAAAATGTGACGCAACGACCATCTTCTAGTGCATTTTTTTTCATTTATTCTTTCAAACATGTGTGCAGGGTACCTGTTGACCCTCTTGAGTGGCAGATTTCTCAAGATACGGCCAATACCTTTGCTGCATGCATGGCTAACACAATTGGAGCTGCGGAATCGGTCCTAAGAGTTGCTGCAACTGGGCATGACAAGAGGCTGTTTCTTAAGGTTACCTATTATATTTATTATCACTGACAGTGTTGTTGGATATATCCTCGTTCTTTAGTTCTTACTGGATATAATTTCCTCTTCTAGGCCTGCGCTCATTTTCTGTCGTGCGGTTTTCTGTTATTCTGAATTCCCGTGCTCTTGACTTTCCTTTTGTCTCTTACATTGAATACTGATCTTCTTAAAAATCTCGGTTTTAATTCTGAGTTCCCGTTCTCTTGACAAATGAATGGGTCCTCTCATTTGTCAAGAGAAACTCCTTGCTGCTCTAATAATTTTATCCGGTAGTTTTTCTCTCCAAACCTTTGAAATTCAGCATTGCTCCCTGTCCCGGAGCCCAACAATGTGTGTGATAAGTACTCCCCTCCTTCGCATATATTAGCTCATGAGTTTGCGCATACAAGCAAATGCTTGTGTCACTTGCGATGTGTTCTAGATTGATCAGCCCTGGTCCAGATCGATCATGTTTCCAGTCCATGTCCGAGAGGGATATCCTATTGCTACATAAATCTACGCACCTCTGTCTTCGTTCCTTCTCATGGCCTTGTGTTCCTTGTCTCTGGAGTCATTTCAGAAAGTTTTTACTGTTTTCCCTTGCTGGAGAGACCAAAGTGTTCCTTTGGGGTCTGTAGCTGGTGACTTTCTGGCCTCCATTCCCGGTTGCTTCTACTTTCTCATCCTTCTCAGACGCATGTGGGAAAATTCTATAACTTTTTGCTCTTAAAATTCAATCCTAGTGAAGATTATGAAATTTCATGGAAAGTCCCGTATGTAGTGGAAGATGGTACCCATCCCTTTCTTCACCACACCTTCGTTGTCTCTCTTAGCTTGCCACTCGTCTCCTGATCCACCGATACACAAATCGAATGCCATCTTCCATAGTTGCTAAAAACATTATCTCTGTTAGTTTGGGAGAGATGCTGCTTAGTTAAGATCATGTTATGGGGGTTAAATAATGGCCAAGCCCAAACAGATCATGTAGTCAGTCGTCTGTTGTAGTTTCTTTGAACTGACACAGTTCTATTCAGCCCTGAACATACCTATCTGTTCGATCTTCTTAATTTTGGCTTGCAAAACGTTCTGACTTGTGTTTGAATTGGCTTATGATCAAACCATTTTTGTCTACAATGGTTTATCGCTGAAAAATCTGATGATTAGTGATTCTTCCAGGTGGTTTTTATTTTATACCTTCTATCAGCTCTTGGGCGGCTAGCTTCAGGTCCCACAGTTGCTTACATAGGTCAGTAGAGATGATCTCTCTCTCTCTCTCTCTCTCTCTCTCTCTCTCTCTCTAAGAAAAATTCTGAGTGTAAGAAATCAGAAACATTTTTATTGTGCCCATTGGGTAGAGGGTTCATCCCTCAGGTGCCTCGGGCATTCCCAAAACTGCGATAGTTCTTATGCGTGCAGTAGCTTTTCTGTTCTTGCTGGCTAGGAGAGGTCCTTCTCCCTGCCCCAAGTTATGCTACTTAACCTTATTTTCACTCTATTTTTCTTTGATTGAGCCAGGTTTGTGCCTGCTGTGTCTGTACATTTTTGCGCACAACTCCCCGCTGATGCACAGGCTCGACTTGAGAAGGTCCGCCGGTGGAGCCCAGGATGGTGCGCAGCTGATCGACAGTGCGAGGTGAGTGGGATCGGACTGCCCAGCTCGGCCGATCAAATGATCGAAAGAGCTCTGTGCCTTGCAGGCTCATTTGAAACTGATAATCTGCCCATAAGAATGATAGACTTCATAAAAGGCCTCTTAATCAGCGAACCAGGGAGAGTGGTGCTTGGAAGCCCACCAAGCCGAATGAAGCCTGGGGATCATCATTGTGGCTGCCGTCGATCAGAGGGGGCAAGTCAAAGCCCCGCCTATTAGCCTGGGGAATCAAGAGATGAAAAAAGTCGGGCCAGACCGGGCTCGGTCAGACCGTTGACAATCCGATGATTCTTAGCATTGCCACCAGTATATGGCAGTGAAATCAGAGTTTTCAAAGCAAAGATGCGCTGTCTACACCGAAAAACCGACGTTGATATCGCCGGTGGAAAGGAAAAACTTTGGCTGGGAATCCGAATCTTGAATCATCTCAAAAGACTTGAATCTGTGGATCGAAGGAACTGCTTGAGAATTCCTCGCAGTCACATTCTCCCGCAGATGACCATGGAAGATGTGGGTTCCTTGCTCATCTGATTGAGCAAACATGATACAAAGAAATTAAAATAAAAGCATGATATGATTTGGGTCTAAGAACTGAGATGTCACTATCATCAAGTCATCATCAGACTAAGCTTCTGATAATATGTGACGGGTACCCACGCACTTACCTACCCTCTGCTGTCCTCATCCAGAGTCATACAGAAGAAGGAAATTAATATCGAAGACCTTCAGTAGGAATAATGCACGAAAATAGGAAGAGAGAGAGAGGGTATGGGTTCGCCTGGAATGACTCACTTGGGCATCCCGGTTACTGGGTGGATCAGAGATTGGTCTTCGGAGAGCAGGATCGGCCCTTTCCCAGGTCTGGTGCAGATGAAATAGCTGATACTACCGGGGTATTTCTGGGCATTGTTCTTGTCTTTGGTTTCTGGTGGCGGCGGCAAGCTCGCCACATCTTCAGCTGAATGCACTCCGGCTTCTTGAAGAATCGATGTATCCCCAACCATGTAGCTGAGGAAAACAGCAAAAGTAGAATGTTAATGTCTGAAGCTTTTCTACTCACAAAAGAAGAATGGAGTCGAATGCAATCCCCACCCTTCTAGCTTAGTGTCTGGGGGTGGAGGAAAGAAGAAGAGAAGCCTTTGGAGAAGCAAGGAGGCAACTTCCCGGCTAGGGGCGATTAGAACAGCATTTGGCCCCGCGTCAAAAGTGTAGGCCACCTGATAATTTTGCAATGATTTATGTTAGTGTAATAAATATAACACGGTTAGTTTGTGGCCAAAACGAGCTGATTCAGATTATGAGATTTATCCCGAGAAAGGTATTAGGCAATGAGAGCAAAGTATGCCTGACTCAATAATAATTGATTGATAAAACTCTGTGACGTTGTGAAAGCAAGATAATGTGGGGAACAGCAAGAGAGTACAGGGCAAGGAGAAAGGCGCCTAGAAAACCTCATAGATGGCTGCGTTCATATCCCAGTAAATCCACTTGTTGAACTCAACATACTCGGAAAAATGATCAGGTCAACATCTAATGGCCTAGCCAAACAATGTCCTCTTGAGCCCTGGCATCTCATATGTGAGAGAGAGGGAAAGAGAGGGGGAGAGAGAGAGAGGAGAAAGAGAGGCAGGATGCTCTAAGGCTGCTAGTCTTCCACAATTTTCTTTTAATGGAGAAAGTGCGAAAAATCAACCTACGGTTTTTGTGATTCTGAAAGTTGAAATCCCAGATAGATATTTCAGATTTCTCCCTTTTTTGACTGGGTATCTATCTGGCTGGTATCTCATGGATTGTAGTCGTCGTTGACTTATCATGGAAAATACTGATTTGCAGCATGTGTGTATGTGTGAGATCCGTTGTCACTTGGTCTACAGACAAAAACCATCAATCTATTATCTTTCACTGCAATTTATAACATATAAGAAAATCTGAAACCTGCGGCGCTCCTTCAAACTGGCTCCAACGCTCCACAGTGTTGATTACCCTGAAAATTATTCATTGAAGATGGATTACAAACTATAAATGGAACAGATGCATATGAAATGGACGTCACAGAAAATAAAATATCTAAAGCTGCATAGTGAAATGTACCGATAACCTTGTAAATTTTTACAAAAAATAGCAATACCATACGTGCTGAATAGAGAAACACCTGCGCTAATAAATAGTAAAATTTCTTGAGTCGCCGTACCTGTGGGATGTGTCGTTCATGTAAAATATGGGAGGGGTCGTATCCAGACAGACTGCGTGAAACTGGTTACTGTCGGCACATGTTAACCTGGCGAAGGACCCAAAGTTGCGATTCTTGATTGCTTCCTCCATTTGCAGTATGCGACTTGGAACAATCACCTGAAAAACCAAAAAGGAATAGGTAACAACAGGTTGATTGCAATGTATCTTGCCCCGAGAGGGCATGACTAGAGAGTGCATAGACGAAAACACAAATATGGGCGGCGATTGATTTCCGGACTCTACCTCGGCCCTGTGCTGTAAAAGAGTGCTTGTCACAACACTATCACGCATACCTGAAGTACTACTAGTTTCCTTCTGTCGGGAGCTCACCTACATCACAAAGGAATTTTAATGAAAGTTTACTTAAAAGGCACAATAGACTATGAGTAAAACTAGGGATTATCACATACCACTGCTATAATTACGACAAGATCATTCCAATATGATTCATCAACTAGCTGAACCGCAATGCTGTCACTGCCATTAGCAGCCTATGAAAAAGAGAGGATAATTCTGTAAGCAAATGGCCAGTCACACGCGTTGCTTAGTTCAAGCATAAAGATGTGACCGTGTACAAGAGCTTAGGGAACAAAAGACCCAGTGATTGAACTTACCTCCCCCTTGACCCATTTGACAAATCCACCGTACAGGCTGCGACATGCACTGCCTGATCCTTGTCTGTGATGTAAAGAATTTCTCATCATGCATCATACATCCATATTGCGAGAGAGAGAGAGAGAGAGAGAGAGAGAGAGAGAGAGATGAGAACAGACGATAGCAAGGGTAGTATACAAATTTAAGAATGTTACAAAAGTTTAGAATTAGCTCTGTCAACACAAATCAACATGAAACATCAACATCTTCCATATTTCCATGCAAATGATATGAATTCAGGGGTGAATATAATCTTTAAGAATAATCATCTCAAATTGGGTATTTATATTTGAAACGACAGAAACCATAAAATCCATACACAATTAATAGAAGTTTATGATAAATCCTTTTTTTAGATCATAAACAGCATTCTTCTATTTCTTTGTATTTTATCTATTCACTGGCACTGGTCATTTATGCTGGAATAGTTGTCTCATTTGTTCAAGCTCATGATCTAAACGAGCCGCACATACACACTCGTACATATTCCTCAACGCTCAGGGTATCCTCAAAGATTGCGAGATTTCATGACATTTCTGATTGGCTGTCTTGCATTTCTAATAATATTAAATATGCTGTTTAATAGACAACAACGACGCTAATACAATGTGACAAATGTGGTTTTTGGGTCCAACCTTGCAATCGATGATAGAGCTGCACCATCTTCACTCACATTCATGAGCTTCGCCAGGGTAAAAACTGCAGAAGATAAAAAATAGAAATGGTAAAGGGAATAGTGGTCGATAACAAAGAAGATGAATCGACATACTTCAGGAAGAAAGATATTTCTGGTATAGAACCCAATGAAGGAAATAGATTGATGAACTGCAGAATGTATCATCACAGACAACAAATGGTAGAGAAGGCAAGGTTTAAATATATTAAATATTTGACTAATTAATGAGGTTTCACACGTTCAACTCGTAAATGACAAACAACATTGACACAGAATGCATGTCCAAATACTTTTGTGTCAAAATCAAATGTACTCACAGCACAAATGACTGGAAAGGCTGCACTGGAACATGAATGTGAGAAATTATATTTGCAGAGTTGGCAGAAATTGAAAACCCAACCTGCACCATTATCTTGTTGAGGGAACCTAGTCTTATATCATACGAGACCCTCATACTGAATTTTCAATTCTTGTGCCAACATAGTTTTTCATCCATCATAAACTACATTCAATAATTTAAGAACTTATAAAATTATCTTAATCCGTTACAGTAGCTTTTTCGCTTAAATCCTGAATTCTGATTCAGTATTTCCAAAGTATAAAAACAGTAGATCTAATAGATAAACACAAAATTAATCCACCTTCAGGATACGAACATCTCTCCTCACAGGTATTCCCCTCAAAATATTAGCCCAGGAAAATGTATTCCTCAAAGTAAACCATGGTTCAAAAGAAAAGTAATGGACTAGCAGAGGTTAGGCAATCAAATTTGTTGTCCCCCAAAATGGGGACCAAATATCAAGATGTCAAGATAATGCTTGCTGGCACCGAACAGAGCATGGGCAATCCATCCTCACCAATTCAATAATAAAATACAAGACGCTTTAGGCTCGGAAAAAGTTAAATGCATTTTTTTTACGTTATGGAATAGTAAGATCAGGATTAACAACAAAAAAGACATCTTCTTCACCGTAAGTATAACAGAAAATTATCATAATGTCATCAGGAAAATCCACATGGAAAATAGACATATATAGCGAGCGAGCAAGAGAGAGAGAGAGAGAGAGAGAGGTGCACAGGACAGAGCACAGTAGAAGGCCACTTAGGAAATGTACCGAGACAAGCAAAACCAGCAGCTGAAGAAGCCAGTCCTGCAGCTGTAGGGAAATTATTATAGGACGCGATGTGAACATGCAGTTTCTCCCAGTCCTCCTTCCTGATGTGAATACCCTTTTCTTTATTTTCAACATCCCTCGCCCGTTGTCTAATCTCCCTGAGACAGTTCTGGAATCTCCCTCCAGAAAGCGAAATTTCCTGGTATGGCCCAAATGAATTAAAATGAGAAAAACCAGAAATTAAAAAAAAGCACAGCGGAAGTAATGGGGGCTCTCGCTTGCAATACAAGGGACAATGACACCCTATACAATTCAGAAAAAAAACCCGGAAATACGATTGGTGAAATGATTAACCCACTAATTATTTATGTGAACTCGAACTGCCTCAGTAACCAGAACATGGGCCAAAATAAGTGATTGCGATACTTAATTTCAAATTGGTTCGCATTCCCGCAGTGTCTCGGTTAATAAGAAAAATAAGAGTGCAATCATCAAAGATGTAAAACTGATGCAGTTCAAGGTAAACATTTAGCGGCCAGATATAACTTTCAGTGTGTGAACTGATGTTTTCAAAACTACAACAGATGATGATCCATAATTTTCGAAATGAATTTGTGGAAAAATTAAACCCATTCCACCATAGGTTGCAATCAAAAGCCCCTAAACAGCCAGAAGCTAATACCCATTCACAATAAAAGAGTGAAGATCACAACAGGATATATACATTCTCACAGGACGTGAAATAACTGGGGGGGAGGAATGGAGATGCGGACCAAATCATCATCGGTAATATTTTCAGAGAGAAAAGAAAAAAATACATGGTCAAAGTAAAGACGCTAATCCCCGAGAGAGTACGGAAATCCGACAGCGTTAATTCCGGTGGCAGAAATCCTAGAGAAAAAAGGGGGACTGCGTCAGATTACAGTGCCGTTGAGCCACATGCGATCCCGGTCGAAACTCGGAGAAACAGCGACAGTTGTGGTGGCACTGAGGTGATCCGGATCGAGGGTGACACTGATGCTATCATTGACGGGGAGGATCAGAGTTTCGTCCCTCTTTCCCCAATACTTGATCACGGCGATGTTCGTCGGCGACCTCGCTGTCGCCGTCAGCACCCATCCGCCCTGAGCTCCCGCCATCTTCTTCCCCCTCTGCCTCTTCCCCCTCTCCCCCAAGAAGACGGAGGCCACGCCAACGAGAATCTCTAGGGACAGTCTCCAGCTGCGATCTGAGCTGCCGCCTCTTGCTACTGAGGCTGCCGGAGTGGACCGAACGAGGGAAAGTTTTACAATTCAGAACGTTGCTCAAATTACTTTGCATGGTGCTCTCTAATCCCGACAAATTACAATTCAGCCCGTCCAAAAAGTTGGCGGCCACGTGGCAGCCAGCGCACCGTACATCGAAACCCGCCGCCACGAAGTTTGACCAGACCTCGGATTCAGCGGCCCAATAAGCGACCTGATTAAAGGCGCCTGGTGAGATGACTATGGGATTTTGGTGGGGCCCAGTCTTGATTGGGGGCGTTGGGCCTGGGGTCGTTACAGTAATTACGCTTCAATCGGGGTGTTTGGCCGTCCAGGGCAAGCAAACTCGGGGGATCCGCTCTCTCCGTTGGACTTTCCCAACATCCCCTCTCAGGGGTCGTTACATGCAGGCTCTCTCTCTCTCTCCCGCCTTTTCGGATCTACACGGGTTCTTCTGTCTCGCGCTTTCTCTCTATGTCCCACCTTTCTGATCCGCGCGTGTTCTTCTGTCACTTTCTAGGCTATTTACAAATCCTACCTGGCTTTTTTCATCTCTCTCTCTCTCTCTCTGGATCCACGCGGGTACTTTTGTCTCTTCCTAGACAATTTACGGATCCTACCTGGTTTTTTCATCCCCCCCCCTTCTCTCTCTCTCTCTCTCTCTCTCTCTCTCTCCCTCTCTCCCTCTCTCCCTCTCTCCCTGTGTGTGTGTGTGTCTCTCTCTCTCTCTATATATATCCATATGGCCCAAGATTATTCCTCAATAGTTGCAGCCACGCGGGAGGGTGGCCTTGGTAAGCTGAAGGACAAGCGTGGGCCGTCACCTTTAGAGACAAGTTGGCCATCAATGCCAGTTAGTGATGCCTAAACCCCCTCACCTACTAACTAACTAGCAACTCCCCCACCCTAGCAAGAAGGGAACAGGACATGGGGAGACCTTGCACACGGCAGTGTCTATTGTTATTGATGGATTCTCATCCATTATAACCTCTCTCACTCACTCCCTTCTTTTTCCCCTATTTAAAGGGGAGTGGTGTGAGAAGAGAAATGAAGGTAGAAGTTGTGGAGAGTTGTGAGTAGTGGTGAGGTAGTGTAGAAGTTGGAGCTATTAAAAGGAGAAGAACATAAGGTTTCTACTTCTTCCATTTGGTATTTTCTTTTTCTTATTAAAGGAGAATACGTGATGAACCTTTGATTTTAAAAATGTATAACTCCATCATCTTCTGATGTAACCTTTGTATTTATGTATTTTAATAACCTTTGAAAAAAAGATTTTTTCAAGAAAATTGTGATGATGGAAAGAAAAATAAAGATTTTAACAATTCATTAGAAAGTATACTGTCAAATATTCAAACAAAATTTTAAGTAGAAAAATAAGGATATAGTTGTATAAACTAGTGTCACTTCAAATTCAGAAATGAAAGAGATGTTATAATAATCTCCTCAAACGTTCACTACTCAATACCCAGAAAAAGATTCTTGATTCAGGTTGCTAGTATTGTGTGTTAATTTAAATATTATTTTCACACAGAGTACTAATATTGAGTGTATAACTATTGAGATTTGAATAATAACAATCAATATATTTAATAGAGTAAAAATTTTAACAAATGTTGAGTATGTGAGACTGAAAAAAGTCTTATCATTCTAGTTACACTTGATGTAAATGGTTGCACTTATGTTAATACTAATGGTATTCTATAAATAAAATAGTGATTTATTATTATGAAGAAATTGAAAATTATATCACTATAAAAGTTACTAAATATAAATTATCAAGTAATGCAACGGTCATATCTTATTTTGAAGATGATATAATGCTATATTGTGACATGTTAGGTTCAATTATTTGAGTAAAAAAGTCGAGATGTTATGTGTAAAATAAAAAATTACTTGATGATAGAAAAATTTGTAAAGTTGATATATGTAAATCATGTGTTCTTAATAAAAAAATGTTAGATTAAGTTTACTACTACTACTACTACTACTACTACTAAAAGAGATGAAAATAATCTTGATGTATGTCCATATGTCTAAAATGTATTTTCAATCACTTTGTGCAGGATATTTTGATTTTTTTTACTTTGATTGACAACTTATTTAAGGAAATCTAGGTTCATTCTTTTGGAAAACAAGCTAGAAGTGTTTGACACATTTACATATTTGAGAGTTAAAATGAAAAGATATACATGAAAATATATTAAAATATTATGTTTCACATATGGTGGCGAGTGCATTCTAAAAGAATTAGACTATTTCACATTTGACTCAATAGAATGTGATACTTGAAATAATTAATATAACATTGCACATACTATTTATAGGACTTTATGATTAATTTATGTTGTGGTAGTCAATAAAAATTGTTATTTGTTGAATATGCCACTTTCCACATCACTATGACTCTAAGACACTACCAAAGATTTGGTTTAGTAAACTATTAGAGTTTTTTAATTTCCATATATTTTGATATTCTATAAGCCATTGTTTCAATATGATCCAAGATCTTGAAAGGTGCAATTTTTTTTTGGGTAAGTTTCTCATTCCACCTTTTTGTCAATATCTTCATGCAATATTGGTCCAAGATTCAAATAGATGTGATTGCCTACTTTGAACTCAATATTTCGATGGTGACACTCCAACAAACTGTTTTATATGTGTTTGGGCATGAGCTAAGTTATCTTTGATGATGTCCAGCATCTCATCTCATATTCTAAGGAGGTCTACCAATATTGGTGTTTCCATAGGTAGTGAGCCAAAGTGGACAATGAGGGGTAAGTCCTTGCTATACAAAACACAAAAATAAGTACTTTGAAGGGCATGATGAAAGTGAAATTATATTATAGCATGGCCCATGATAATCACTTGTTCTAATGGTAGGGCTTATTTGATGGGAATTAGAGAAAATTTTCAAGTACTTGTTGACTATCTTTGTTTGGCCATCTATTTGAGGATAGTAGTATGTGCTCTGTTTTAATGTAGTCCCTTACAATTGATTGATCTTTGACCAAAATTGATTAAAAAATATCTTATTGTGGTTGGAAATGATGGAATGTGAAATTCATGCAACTTGATGATCTTCTAAATGAAGACCTCAACAATATCCTTCACAAAATATAAGTGATGAAGCATCATGAAATGATCATACTTGGTCAACCTATCTACCACTACCAAAATAGAATTCTTACCTTGGGAGGGTGGCAAGCCATTGATGATATCTATGGTAAGGTTATTTCACACTTGCTTTGGAATAATGAGTGTTTAGAGTAAACCAATAGGTGAGAGGGACTCATCTTTTTGTCTTAGGCATGATGATAACTCTACCACAAACTTGGGAATTACTTTACTTTCATCACTCATCAATAGAAGTCATGGGATATCCATTTATATGTTTGTAGGTAACCCAAGTACCACCAATGACATTATTGTGGTTGTTATTCAAGAGTGTGGTGGATGAGAGATGAAGTAGCACACAATATTATTCACCATTTAGATGCCTTAGACCTCAAGATTAAACCACATGAACATGTCACTTTCTTTGACTCTTGTTTTGTCTTTTAGGACTACCTCAGACCCTATTGTAATATTGATAGGCAGCTACAATTCTTGAAATAACTCATTTGAAATGAAATTATATATTACCACAAAGTTAATCAAGATAGTAATTACTTGTGTTTTGAGTGTTCCATTCAACTTCAAGGTCCTTGATATCACCATTCTAATGACCAAGTTGAGATAGATCTTAGCCTTTGATGTGAGAATCTCTTATGTAATATTGAAAAGTACTTGTGAGCTTTATGTGCTTCTTTATCATCACTATTTGAGCCATTGTTACTAATGATCATAATTCTCAACTCATTTTTATAGTGGTGTCTTAGATTGAACTTTTTGTCATAATAAAAGCAAAGTTCATTGGCTTGTCAATCTTCAAACTTAGCATTAGTCAATCATACTTGCGTTTGATTTGCTCTAGGCCTGATCTACTCATCAACTCTAGTGGGGTTAGGGCCTCAACCTATTTTCATCACTCCCTTGGCATGGTCTACTAGATCAGAGTGATAGTCGCAACAAAAGAAGACATGATTGAGATAGTTAGACCAAAGAGCTTAAGTTCCAGCCCTTAAGAGTCTCATAGATGTGCAATCAAGTTTGTTAGTCACTCTTCCACCCTTTGGGCCTTATTTATGATATCCATCATATTAGTAGAATTAAACATTCTCGTCTCAACAACATTTCACGTTTCAATCTATCAATGAAAATATGTTTCATCACTAGTTTCCATAGCTTGAGAAGGAATGCATATGTGACTTCATAGTCTTGGCAGAGTTATGCCACTATTCATTTTAATGTCATTCGAAGGAATTTTTTATAGAGGTTGTTGTCTTGAGCAGCTGGTAAATGATGGACGTGCTGATCGTGAAATCGTTTATTGACCTCAATCTAGAGGTACCACCCTATATCACCACCTAACCTCATCACTAGATAATGTACATAATCACATTGAGGGTGTTAGTTAGCTTGAAAAATAACTTCACTTGAAATATGTATCATGTTGGGTCATCTCTCACAAACATGGAGATTTTAGGCCACTATCCTTAGTTCTAAAGATTCTTGGTGAGCTCAATCTAATGAGGGTATTGGCTTGTTGAATATATCACACAATTGAGAGAACCCAATCATGAGTGTTGTGGGGCTGTCTTACTCTATCTTGGATAGTGGCCACATCTCCAAGTTGTAGAAATGTTGTGCAAGCTGCACTCCATCTACCCCATGTGACCCACAAGGCTGCCATTTCAGATTTCACTACATCTAATCACTACGGCTGTGTTTCCGAGCATCTCTCATTGGGTGCCATGACTTTGATAACAAGTTATGGGGATTCTACAATTAGAACAAGAGTTAGGATAAAAAATATAGACAAGAAAGAGAATGATAGATAATTTCCAATAAAGTAAACTAACACATTGTCCCTCACTCTACCCCAAGTGGTCCTTAAAAGCTCTGCCGCCCTCTTTGGTTTCAACCAACAATAAACCCTAACCTCTCATCCATTGTTTCTCTCCATATTTAGTATAGGTTTTCTCAACAGATTGCTATGAATCATGACAATTATTTTATACATTAAGATTTTTTTATACTGGTTTTTTTTTCATATTTTCTGACTTTATAATATTTTAAAAGTTAGTCAAGAGTAACATCAATCCAAAATAGAGGATTGTTATATGAGAAGAGATTGGTTCTTTCAAAAGAATAAAACTTAGAAATTAGCCAAACATTCAAAAGTCTAGAAGTCAACTTGTTGCTAATGTGTATAAAAAAAAAACTCTTTTAAGAAGGGAATGTATTAAAGCAGGAACGGTATTGATTTCAATAAAGTTTCCTCAATGGTGATAAAATACTATACAATCAAAGTTATGTTTCCTACTTAATCCCAAGAAGATCTTGTGTAATGCCAAGATGTCGAGGAACCAAGTCGGGGGGCAAGAGGGGGCTTGGGAGGCGGCGATCGATTTACTACACGGAGCTTTAACTTACCTCCGGCGGGGATCGCAACCATGCTGGGTGGGTCTCGATTCTTTACTGCCGTGCGGCGGCGGAGGGCATGTGCGCGGGTCGCAGAAAAGCGGCCTCCTGAAATGTCCACACCTCCATGTGAGCCACCACCTACCATTGGAGAGCTTGAGGGAGGGTCGGTGAAAGAGGGAGGCAATCAAGCATGGAGAATGATGCTAAGGGGGTTCAGATGCTATAAATCTGTGCACGCGAGGGAGGAGCCCCACTCCCACTCACACTGGAGAGAGAGAGAGAGAGAGAGAGAGAGAGAGTTTTTAAGTAATTTGGTGCAGAGAGAAATTTTAAATTAAACATCGCAAAGAGCTGCAGAATTGTAGAAACCTCCAACTGGCGATTAGAACAGGCCCTTGTGAAAGTTCCGAGAATGGAGACAATGAGGCCGTGTTGGCGGGAGAGCCCTCTCTCTCTAGAATAAGAGAGACACGGTGCCTTCTTCTCCGGCGCCGGTTGCCTTCGCATGCTCTCGAGATCAGTGATTACACTCTCCACGTACCCTCCAGAGGCGGCCATCGGACACAGGGATTGAACTGGCGAGAAAGCTCCGGAAAACAGCCATCTCAGTCTCTTCAAGAAGAAAACATATTGCCTTTGCCAGTTTACGGCAACCTCTCCGAACCCTGGAACAGGATTGAAGGATTGCTAGAGCCTTCGTCCAACCCCTAGACGAAACCCATTTGGCCGCGATGAATCTCCGAGCTCGTCCCCGCCATGGAGATGAGAAGATAGAGAGGAGAAGGTCGTTGAACGGATTCAATATCAGACAAAGATAAAATATGCATTATATTATACTAGGGTTAGGACAGTCCACATGCAACTCCAATCCGGGGATGTCCCTCCATGTTCTTCCGCGCAGCTCGATTCATCAGAAGCTACGGGCCTTGAATATGATATGAAGATTAACCGAACGTTTGGGAATTCTTTATCACATAGCCACGTGATGATTCTTAGTAAAACCAATTCAAACGTTGACCACCTTCTGAACGGGGAGACGAAGAGTGTTATGCATGATCATTACGACCAACGATGCGAGGTGGCCGGCTACCAGAAAAACGTAAACGAAGGACGTTCCCCACGTTTTCGGGGTCCTTTGAAACCCCGACCAGGTCGCCAAATCTCCCCGCAGCTTAGTCCGTTGACGTCTCCGTCAAAGCCAGGGAGGTACCACCAAAGCAGGAAGAACGCCGATGGAGGCCTCCAAACCCCGAAAGAAGATGGCCAAGATCGTCAGCCTCCAGCTGATGCTGAAGAAATGGAAAAAGCTGGCAGCTTCCCCCAGGAGCAGCGGTGGGAGGAGCCTTGGTCTCCTCGAGAGGACTCTCCCCTTCTCCGAGGTTCAATCTGCGGGTTCCTCAAGAGACGTCCCAAAGGGGTTCCTCGCCGTCTGCGTGGGGGAGGAGATGGCGCGGTTTGTGATCCCCACGGATTACCTGAGCGACGGGGCCTTCTCGGACCTGCTCAGAGCGGCGGCGGCGGAGTTCGGCTTCCAGCAGGAAGGTGTTTTAAGGATACCTTGCCAGGTTTCCGTCTTCGAGGATATCCTGAACGTGGTGGGGGGCAAGAAGAAGGGAGCACACGGCTACTGCTCCTCTGAGGCCAAGGTGGTGCAATCTCGTCATGCCTACAAGCCGATCTTTAGATGACTACGTCTCTCCCTCTCTCTCTCTCTCGCTCTCTATCTCTCTATCTCTGTCTATATATATCCATCTCTCTCTCTCTCTCTCTATATATATATATATATCTCCCTAGAGGCAGAGTTCCATGGCATAAGTTTTGTGGTAAATGATTCCGGGAGCTCTATCTCGTCCAACTCCTTTCTCGGATTGTCTCACGTAAAGATCTCATCGACAGTTTGAAAGACTTATCGGAGATAGACATCACTCTACTATCTCGTGGATGGACTGCAGCAAGGAGTGACTACCAGATCTCACGCTCCTATGGGAAGCATGCCATTGACAACCAAGTCAACGCTCTCCATACTATTTTATTTCCTGGTAACTTGGTTCAACGGATCCAAGACCAAAGGTGTGGCGTTGAATGATCTCCGGGATGCACCGATCCACGAACCAGCGATCACGATCACCCTCAATCTTTAAAAAGCACACTTTTCCCGCCGTTGACCCTGAGATCAATCACCACCAAGTGAAAATAATTGCCCTCCTCCTGCAAGTGGGGATCGAGTCAAACACATTTCCTTAATGGCTTCGGACAATGTTAAACTCCGTACATTCCTAAATTATTCAAGTGAATCTACTATAAATATGGAAACGTAAGGCATTTGAACAAACCCAAAAGGATGCATGTATTTCGTCAAAAATCTCTTGAGAAGGGTCTAACCGGGGGTTTATTTCTCGGCCCACGCTGCCGCCTACCGGTCACACGACGATGCGAGCTACACTGTACCACCGCGTCCTCCTTCCTCCTCCTCCGGCAGAAGTCCTCCCGCTGCACTTCCTCAGAGACAGGAGGAGGTACGGCGAGCGGAGCAGTCCCCGGAGCTCTTCCCGACCCATCGCGGCGGGGAGGAGAAGATCAGTAGCCGGAACAGATCAAAAGAAAGAGGAATAAACATGCATTCTCTTTCTTTATTTCCCAATTCTTACTCAAACCCGAATAATTAGCGACTTGTCATTATTAAATATTTACTTGTTATGATTATTGACGTCACTCTTACGCGGCAAAATGGCCGGACCCATCGGAACCTTTTGGAAGTTGTGTGTGCCTCACGCGTCGTTCTCTACGCGCTACCCCGTTGACTATTTCGTAGAGAGAGAGAGAGAGAGAGAACTGAGCCAGCACTTTTAAGTTAGCAATTTGAATCGGAAGTGGGCGTGAATACACGGGGATTAAATCGTGTTATTTGGCCGATTTAATTCAGTGAGGTAGGAACTCACTCACCCGAGAAACCGAGTCGGAACGAGTTGAATCGATGGACGTCGTCTGAACGATGCCCAACTGGGCTTGGTTTCAGAGCCATGCCAATGGGCTGGGCTCCCCGAAATCAAACTATTAGGCCTGTTTTTTTAGAATAAACCAGCCGGGCCCAACATATACACGTGTCGTGGCATCGGCTGTGCATCAGTCGTCAGCGGCGATGAATTAGTTGTCTTCATCTCCGCGTTTTTTCTTCTCATTAGATCTGGTGGTATTTGGCTGATATCGCCGCTTGCTGGGCGGTGGCGCTTTTCCGGAGGAGAGGGGACTGATTGTCCTGCGGCGATGGAGCCTCCTTCGTGGCCTTCCGTTGAAGAGGTAGCGGAATGTCTGCCAGAATCTTGTGTTTCAACTCTGCGGACCTCCACTCGTGCTCACTTTAGAAATCTTGGGAGTTCTTTGGGGGACCGGTGGCGTTCGTAGTTTCTCCATTTTTTGGCTGTCACTGTGTAGCGCCGCCGGTTGTGGTCGCTTATTTTTCTTATGCTCTGTTCTGCGTCGTCATTTATAATTCATGCGTCCATTTGTTCCTTTGCTGCTTCTTGCATTTGGGCAGCTCCATCGAGTGAGGAAGATTGTGTCGGTGATGGCGGGGAGGGATGTGAGTGAAGTGAGGGTCGTCGTCTCCCCTTATAGGATTTGTCCACTCGGAGCCCACATTGATCACCAGGTGAGGAAATACCGTTTAACTTCTCATTTTATTCTTCACTTGAAGCGGCATTTACGTGCAGTTACGGCTACGGAATCAGCCAACAGCTGGACCCCCACAAAGCAAACTATTTTGCTATCGTTTTCCAGACTAGATGTCTTTATTGAGCTATGCTATGCGGACGAAAGAAAAATCTAAATAAGTAGAAGTAGACTGCTTGCTTCAAAACCAAGAATCTTGGACTAAATGAGTGTTTTCAGAAAATTGTCAACTGTTGAAGACATGACAGTTGCCGCATTGGATTCGGAGCAACTTGGGCAAATTGATGAATTTTAGATATCTTGGCTTGCATAAATTTTAGTACTTCTCATCTTGCCAAAAAAAATTACACACAGGGGATGGAATTTCCCATGTGGCTGTTTCTTTTTTTTTTAACAGCCTGCATACCATCTCTGACGATCCGAAGTACTTCGATTTTTGTGAAATTAAAAATATAATGAGGTCTTCATAACCTTTAAAACTAGAACATCAGGGAGCTACTTGGTCGTGACACATTTATGCTCATGTGCATATTTATAGATTTTTCTTCAGAAAAAATGTCTAATGTCCCATGTGTACTCTTTGCTCTGTCGCTGTGTATTGTAGTAAAAAGGATGGTCGCTATCTAAGGTTTCCTACCCGAATATGTTATGCATTTCACGATGAGTCTATTTTACCAATAATTTTCTTTCTGATGTACTCTACTTTGTTTCTTATATTGAGAAAGTGACGACAATACATCTACAATGGGTTTCTGCTATGTTTTTTATTTTGAAAAATTACATCTGGTTGGACAGCCAGTATTTTGAGAGCTCCTTGTTGGTGCAGTGGTCTCGTTAGAACCCGATTATCTTTCGGTTTTGCTCACCCCCATACTAAGAGGACTTCATTTGTTTCTGTTGTATAATTCCTACAGGGAGGCACTGTTTCAGCAATGACTATTAACAGGGGAATACTTCTTGGATTCATTCCTTCTGATGACTCTCAGGTAGGTTCTTCATTAAGATGATATGAATCGCGTCATAACACATAGTTTTTAAGTTGAGGTATTTATGCAAGGATGAAAGTAATTCAAAAAGAGGTAATGTTGATGAAGTGCGCATATCTTTTTCACATGGCATATATGACTGGATGCAATCATAATTCGGACAAGGAGACATGAAATAAAAGGGAAAGAACTATGACTAATATCATATTATTATTTGACCATGTTAAAAAATAAAAATAAATACGATAATGTATGTTTTATTACTATCTTCAAGGAAGGCAGATTATGTATTTTCTCTTATGAATGATTCCAAATGTTCCTCAATCTTCCAAGACCGGTTTCATTAGACGTTCAAGTACCTGAATAAAGATGCTAGACGCCAAAGACCTTTTCACTACTATAATTTGTATGCAAAGCTGGGCCTTCAAGTATGATTCATGAACTGGTGAGGCAACGTTTGTATTACACATAGATGCTCAGATGCTTTGTATCGTGAAAAGATCCTTCTTTCGGATATCTCAAAACCTTTTCACTTTCTAGTCCGGTAGAACACATGTTGCATAGACAGTTAATGTGAACACATTTGAGAATAAGATGGTCTCAGTCCTAGGTCGACATCTATTTCAATTCTTCATAGGACGCCAAGAAGTAATAGCCACTAGAGAAATGCACTTTTTTCCTTATCGTAGGTAATGAGCCCCCAAATACTACTATACTACTGATAAATCGAGTTGGAAATTTGTGGTATGTGATGAAAACTGTGAGGACCAAGTAAGCCCTTCATTTCATATTAAAGTTTCACAGATTTTAGATGACGAAGAAAAAGGGCAGTAGAGCATTGCAATTGTAATATGTGAATTGCAGAAGCTCAAGAAATCATTGACATCGATACTTCAACTTTTTTAATGCAAGAAATCTTTTTTCCTTGAACTGAAGCATGTTGAAAAGATGTGACAACTTTTTTCGACTATATTTTCTCTCCTCAATTGTAAGAATGTAGTCTTTGGCAGGTTCTTCTGCACTCAGGACAATTTGGCGGAGAAGTAAAGTTCAGGCAAGGCATTGTTTTCATCATCGTATCGCCCTTTAATCTCACCTTCTTAACATGAAGTCCTATATTGTTCCACTCTAACATTTCATTTATTTGTTTCCCTTTCATGTGAGCTATCTTGTTTTCAGAAAAACGCTTGTTTGTAAATTGAGGAAATTAGGCAACGAGAATGCTTGCCAAGAATGTTGCAGATTAGGCAGTCTTGTATTGCCGAACTGAAACTAAAAACTGAGGTAGCTTGGAAGTACATGAAGATATGGCATGAATGGGTATTTATTTTGCTTAATTACTAGGAGTAGTTCAGAAGAAAAGAATTGCAAAAAAATAGACGTTTGGGTTTCTAACCTGGGATCGATTGTTGATGGGTGGTAGTGGACACATATTTGGCTTAGCCTCCTAGAAGTAGAATTTCAAGTTGGGCAAATAAAATTTGATTGAGATATTGTATAGTTAGAATGTGGTTTGTTTCACCGGTAGTAATTTCAGATTGGGTATTATATTGAATGTAAAATGATGATGGATTGATTAATGTGGAAGTAGAGTGCCTTGAGCAAGAGAAAAAATATCAATAAAAAATGGAAATGACATGGGAAGACATGAAGACATCAAAATATAAATATAAACAGCAAAAAACACACACCTACTTGATTCAGGTTAAGTCAATTTTTGTCTCCTGTTGATAATACACACAATATTTATCCTAAAATTTTGAGTCTATTCTTTCTGTTCATATCTTGGGGCACCAGATATCACTGTGATAATTTCTCATTGTAAGCTGGGAATTTTCTAACCTGATATGACACCATTATGAGATTAATTGATGATTCCTTCTCTTTGGGCTTCAATGAAAGCTATTCAAAGTTTATTTAAGGCTGTTATGAAAGGCACAAGAATCTTTTTGCTGTCTTTAATAGAGAAAACTTTCTTTCTGTAGTGTCGATGAAATCCAACAGCCAACAAGTATCAGAATGAGTAGCTCAGATGATGAAATCAATGGTCAAGAAGAGTCGAACTGGGGAAACTATGCAAGAGGTGCCATATATGCACTTCAAAGAGGTGGAAAACGTCTCAGTCAGGTGGTTCAAATGTCATATGCCTTTTTATTCCACTTTTGGATGTTGCTCAACAGTTTGTCAGATAGGATCTCGTGTCTGGGTAGAATTCGTATGCTAGGTTCATACTTCTGTTGCCTAAAAGTTTGAGATGGAAAATTCTTGAGTCTGGGAGCATACGTACGTTAAGCTCATTCTTAAAGTTTCTTTGGCTGAGTGATTGAGTAGATTAAAAAAAGTTGTTTTCATGGATGTGTTCTGTTATATTCTGTTAGCTGAGGTGCTCGTGAGCATTTTACTTTGTAAATTCAGTTGAAAATCTAGATCAAGCTGTAAAGATTTTCCTTTTTGTATTCCTGAATGTTAATAATGTATTCATATAATTGTCTGACTTGGTTTTCGATGACTTCAGGGTATCACTGGTTTCATCTGTGGTTCAAGAGGACTTGATAGTTCTGGACTTAGTTCCTCAGCTGCTGTAAGATCCTAGTGACACTACAGCTGTTGTATCTTTCGGCTATTAAAAAATTGGTTTGTCTCGGTGAAAACATTGTTAACTTATTTATTCTAGTGTCCTTTTCAGCTATCTATGAAGTGTGATTCGAGATGATCGAATTTTAGCTTTGATTTTCTGAGGATATGATTGATTACTGTTGATACGACTTTAGACCAAGAAGAAATTAGAATATTGGAAAATTTCTAGAGTTTGGAAAGAATAACACACTATGCACACTTGGATATTCTCTTGTTTTTTTGCTGAGCCTAAATATCTTTGGAAACTGTTTTACTATTCAGATGTGACCATTTTCTGAAGAATACAATGGGAAGTCGTCATATTCCGTACATTTGAAATTCCTAGAAGATTTTTTTCATGTAAACAGAACATCCCCAGTCCACCAACTGAGAGATGTAACTACAAGCTTATTATCAGAGATATTAAAAAAAAGAGCAAATAAAATAATGGAATTAAAACATATAATATTACTTTTTGATAGGGATCTGTAGAAATAATCGGATCCTCAGTATATAGAATTATTGCGGATCTATAAAAACATAATGTCTCAAAGGGGAGTCCAAGATTTAAATGAGAATCCTCAAGCATAATAAAGAGAGGCAGAATATGAAAGTTTTCGGTCTCTTTTTACTTGAAATGGCAATGCATGAGTATATTAATTCACATAGATTTTTTTCCTAATTCAAGACAGGCATGAATATCAATAAAGGCAAGCTTCATAGGCAGTCTACGATACAGCCTATGCATGCAGGGTAAGGAATGTTAGGGAGAACGTTAATTTCACCACTTTTTAGACCGGAATGTGGATCTCAAATTCAACCAGAGATGACATATAAATCCCCTTAGCCCAGGTTTATTCCTAAAGGTAGAATTAAGCACCATGTTCAATCGAACAATTGTTTTCAATATTTACAACCTTCAGATACTTGTCAGGCATGCAATTGAAATTAGTAGGAGCTAAATCACGTTCGGAAACTGTTTCCTTATGTTATTGTTGGTAACATGGTTGCCATTTTGTACATTCCTTGAATTATATCCTGCATCACGTGATGGTGTAATCAGTTTTGAAAGTTTTTTATGAAAATTCACCCAATTTTACGAATTCTCAGGTTGGGGTTGCGTACCTTTTGGCTTTCGAACATGCAAATAAATTAACCGTACCACCTATGGAAAATATTGAATTGGATCGGTATGTATGACTACCTCGATGAGTCAGCAATGCATTGTGACCGAGTGCACAGTGGGACATCCTGGTTGCAGATCAAGTCTGCTAATACCTTGTTTCTCCAGCTTTCCTGTGTCTGGCGCTCACTTAGATGATGCAAGGCATACCACATTGGGATGAGGGTTTTAATTTTTTTCACTTAGGTTACAGTCGGATGATATGTGCTTTAAATGGGTTCTCTCTGTTTCAGGCTCATTGAAAATGAGTATTTGGGTCTAAGAAATGGAATACTGGACCAGTCGGCAATTCTTCTTTCTAACTACGGCTGTCTTACCTCGTTGAACTGCAAGGTGAGATAGAGCTTTTCTGGCTAATTATAGAATATTATGCAACTCTTTGGCTCTCTTGATGGACGATTTTCATCAACATGCTGGCTTCCTTGTCTAGACCAAGGATTACATTCTGGTCCGTCCCCCAGAAATCATCCGGCATCAAGAGCCTGGACGAGGAGAGGCTTACAAGATATTGTTGGCATTTTCTGGTCTGAAGCATGCTCTGACCAGTAAGCCCGGATACAATGCCCGAGTTGCTGAGTGCTGTGAGGCTGCAAGTGTCCTTTTGAAGTAAGCTCCATTCATCTTTCCGGAATAACCTTGTGTATGATGAAATGCATCCTTTTTTGTCTACACTGGTATTGGAACAGGTAGATTCTCGACCAGTTCACTATTTACGATATCTGTATTTTATGACACAATCCTTTTCACGTCAAATAGACTCTTTGCAACCATAGAAGCTTGTGTGTAATTGATTTCCCTTGCTAAGGGTGTTGCATTCCGTGCACAAGGCCTCTGAAACTAACTGACGAGATTTAGATTTTCTTTGGGATTTCTTCTTCACATGTGCTATGATACTCTTCCTTGGTTTTTAATCCATGATTTTTCTGACCTCGTAATTCAAAATATTGTCTCTTTAAGCCAAGTTTTTCTTCTTCTTTTTTTTTTTCACCTAAAAATCCTTGAAGGTCATGTGACTTTCAGATTGTGAAAACATTTCAGCAGGATCAGCCGGTTTAAGGGAAAGTAGTGAATTCTGAGTTCTTGGCTCGTGTTCATTAGAATAAAAGTAAAAATAATTTAAAATTGAAATTGTATAAACAGGATACATTTTCATAAATAAAAAAATCATCACCTCTCCCTGATGGATCTGGGCTTCAACCACTGCTCACCCTATTGGATGAGATTCTGAAGAACTTTGGGTGTTCTCCCCTTGTCATGTGCTCTTCTGTGACCAGTGTTTTATCTTCACAGAGCCTCTGGGAAAGGGGATCTTGAACCTCTGCTCTGCAATGGTGAGAGTAGCACCTGAGATTTAAAATCTCTGCCATTACTTTCTTGCCCAGCAAGATGACCGTTTTTTCTTGCCTTTGCCCGCACAGTTGAGAGGGGAGCCTATGAAGCTCACAAGGTACACCATTCTGTTCTGTCAGTTTGTTCAGGCATCAATGAACAGATCATGCTCCCACATTTCTCTTTACGCTTCAGTTTGAGGGAAACTTCATCTAAGATGAAGTATTATCCGAAGAAATATCTACAATCAGAAGTGGTGCAGAGCTCTGGTATCAGAAAAATTGTCGGAAGAAGTCCGAGTTTTCTAGAAAACCTTCCTCCCCAGGAAGAACGGCATATTCCGACCCACAAATAGTAAGCTTTCTCTGTTTCTCTCACCCGCCTTCCTCCTCCTGCAGGGCATCTTGGAACCAAATCTGGCAAAGAGAGCAGAGCACTTCTTTTCAGAAAACGCGAGGGTCACTGAGGGTATCCATCTATCTATCTATCTATCTATCTATCTATCGCCTTCTGCATCTGACAAGCTCCCCGTCTATCTCATCTTCCATGGAAGAAGGTGTTGCCTCTGAGTCGCCTCTCAAATCTTTCAGGGCTCAAAGCGTGGGCTTCTGGGGACTTGGAGGGCTTCGGGCGGCTCATGTCTGCCTCTGCTCTGAGCTCCATCCAGAACTACGAATGCGGTGACTCCTCGCCACACCTCTCAATCATCCTCATCGTCATCCTGAAAAGGGTAATCAAAAGCTAGCCTTTTTGTTTTTCGTGAGAATTGGCTCATTTTGTGCAGGTAGCCAGCCGCTGCAGGATCTCTGTGAGATCCTGTCGAGCGCTCCGGGAGTCTATGGGGCGAGGTTCAGTGGGGCTGGCTTCAGGGGCTGCTGTTTGGGCCTCGTCGCCGCCCCCCACGCCGAGGAAGCGGCGGCCCTCGTCGAGCGGGAGTACCGGCGGCTCCAGCCCGAGCTAGCCGGCCGGCTCGAACGCGGCTCAGCGGTCCTCATCTGTGAGGCAGGTGACTGTGCCCGCGTCATTTGACCTTCTCTATATCTTTTGACATTATTTTAATCCCACTTGTCAACAGGCCGAATTGGGGTTGGCCATTTCTTTCGTCATATTTCTCGTGTATGCAGTAAATATTGCTTCACATAATAACTAGATTTATTATTATTATTATTTTGGATCGGATTAATGTTTAGCAACTAATTAATAATTAGGAAGTTTGGTATCATATGATGAGAACTAGGGAGGAGGGGTGGGAGGGAAATGGAGATTTGAAGAGTCTTTTTGATCGTCTTGAACTGCCTACGGTCGTCTTCTCCCCCGCCGTTCCCTCAGGATGAGCTCCGATGCAATCATCAACCTGACGAACTTCTTCCTCAGATCGAGGAGGGGGTGCGGTTCGATCCCGGACTCTGCCGCGCTCCCGCAGTAGGGCTCCTTGAGCACCACGGTGCAGGTGTTGTTCTTCAACAGGAGGTAGAAGACGTGGGGGTGGTGCTCGAAGGCCTTGTAGAACTTCTGCGACAACCCTAGATGCTTCCTGAGGCAGAGGATCTTCCTCCGCTCTGCGGAGTTGTCCATGAAGAGGCTCAGCAGCTCGTGGAGCACCCCCGCCAGCCTCTTCTCCGCGATCCGGCCGCTGCGGTGCAGGCTCGAAGAATCCTCGTAGGGGGATATGTAGGGGATCCTCTGGAAATCCTCCAACCAGGCGATGATCTTCTGCTTCAGTCGGACTCCCTTTGACGGGAAGAGAGGGAACGCGATGGCGGAAGGCGGCTCCGATCCATCTCCCGTCTTCTTCTTCAGGGCGGCCCTCTGCAGCGCCGAGAGGATCCTCTCTTCGGCGGATCCGGCGGCCGTCAACCACTTCACGCCGTCCCCGACCTCCACCAAGCGGAGCTTCCCCTGCGAGAATTCCTCCGCTCTCTTCGTGAAATCCCCCGGCAGACCGAGGTACCACTGCATCCCCTGCACTATCTGAAGCGGCAGCCGCTTCTCCCTGGACATGAAGATCAGCCGCTTCACCCGATCCACGAGCTCCTCCTGATGTTGCTCAAATAGAAGCTGCTCCTCGCCGTGGAGCTCCGCCGCCGCGTCCGTCGGCTTGAACCAGGGGAGATTGTGCTGCGGCCCGACGAACTCTTCGAAGAAGGAGGGGTACCGCCGGAGGAAGGTGGCCACTCTGGTGGGGATCTCCAGGATGCGATCCATCTTGGAGACGGCGGAGATGGGGATGGCGTTCCCGGGCTCCGGCGAGGCCATCATGATCGTCATCAGGGAGGAGATGACGCGGAGGTCCTTGGAGCGGTTGATGACCTCGATGCCGTCCAGCGAGGGATCCTTCTTCCTCTTCATCTTCACCACAACGTAGGGCGACATCTGTATGCAGCAGCAGGAGGCGGTGGCGGCGGCCGGTGTGTCTCTCTGGCGGAATGGGGGCGACATCTCCCACAGCTCCCTTCTCCATCGGCGCCACATCGGCGGAGCCGACGACCACCTCCGGCTTCCCCTTTTCGCCGGCGTCTTCTTCCGAGGGTTTAAGGGCCCTTCTTCCCTGTCCTCGTTTCTGTCGACGAATCCCAGCTCTGAAATTAGGTTACCAATGTTATCTAGGTCGGAAATTGGCGACGAAGCAAATCGAAGATCACTCCACCCAAATACCAATTTTATATTTACTTCTCAGCCGTACGCGGTGATTATCAGCGCCTAATTAGAACAGATTCGGGTCAAACTTGGGCTACTTTCAGCGAAGTGTCCATTTCTGACAAGACGGCTATTCGACTTCATCCGGTAAAGAATATCCATCAGGGGCAGTGGACGGAGGAGGAAGGGCTCGTCTCTGTTTCCCTCGGCGGAAGAACCCGGCGGCCGTAGGATTCATCTGGGGCTTTCTTCTTTGCCGTAGGATTCTCAGGACCCTTCAAGAGACTTAGGCAAAAGGCGCCACCTTTGGGGGGTCCGCGGCGATAGGCGCGGCGGAGGAAAGAGCGAGAAAAAGGCCCGTGGGAAAATATCTCCTGGAGCGATCAACTTCGGAGGCGGGAAGACGAAGGCGGAGAGGATGGAACGATAGAACGGAACAGAAACATCTCCATCGCTGTGCTTCCCACGTTTTCTTTTACATCCTCCTCTTCCTCCGACTACGCGGTATGTAAAGTTGAGATCTTCCCTTCTCGGTCTTCGTCCTCCTGCTTCTTTTGCCGGGCTTCCCCTTTATTTCTGCGTTTCTTCCGTCTTTCCTGGGATCGCGAGACTCGCAAGTCATGTTGTTCGGCACCGGAGCGTTGCAGAAGAGGAAGCGTGACGGCGGGGAGGAGGTCTGGTTGGTCGGCGACGTCGCCGCCGATCACAGCGTGGGAATCATGGTGGTGGCGAAGGAGCTCGAGATGGAGGGGAAGGACGGGGCCTTCGAGCTCCGTCTCCGGGTCCCCGACGTCAAGCACTCCCTCATGGTCAGTTCCTTCATTTTCTCCCCTCTTCTGATGTTTATTCCCTTCGTTTCACTTCGACGCACACCTTCTGAGATGATCCCTAAGAGGATGCCGATGCGATCGCCTCCTCGCTTCTTCCCTGCTGCTCTGACGTCAAATGCTTCTTCTTCTTCATGCGGTTTTGTTTCCCATTATACACGTCCCCGATCTTCTTCGCTCTCTTTCTGGTTCACTGGGCTTTCAACTTCATTCACTGTAATCTTACCACCCTCGGAAGCTTGAAGGAACATCTCTGTCGTTTTCTATTCTAGGGTTCATGGGTGTTTGGTCTGCTCTTTCCCAAGTTGCTCGGTTTTGCACTTATTTCTGCATTTTTTGGTCCTGCAGAATCTGTGCCAGAATCCCACACGTATCACATACTTTGGAATTCATGGATTTGCTAGGTTAGGGAGGCCTTGCTTCAGCAGTGTGATGAAGCCGGCTGTAGTGTGTTTTTTTATATAATATATATATATAGATATATATATATATATAATATCCCGGTAATGTTTTTTCTTCAGATACTTCTTGAATTCATCATCCCCTTCTTGCTTTGCTCAATGGGGTGTGCCTTTTGAATCTCCGGGAGCTGAAGAAACCAGTTATTCTGAGAATCTACCTTGGATATGGCCAAATAGCCTCTTTTTTTTTCTCTCTCTCCCGCAGGGCTTGATGAAGAAGAGGGAAGTTGGAGAGTTTTTAAGCGGGGCTTTGGCTGGGGCCATGACAAAGGCTGTTCTAGCTCCCCTCGAGACCATCAGGTGAGCTTGGATCATTCCATCATCTCTTGTCTTTGTGACATTTTTTCAAATCTCTGGCCCTTTTTTTTTTTCCCCTTCAGAAGTTTTTCTATGTTGCGTTTTGTTCATGGGTTTATCATATTTCAGATGCCAGGATATCCCGGATAATTTAATTTTACATGCTATATCATGGATCCAAGAGGATTTTGTCTGCAATATCATGAAGAATAATGCGGTATTTGCAGGACGAGGATGGTAGTTGGGGTTGGATCCAGACATATCATTGGAAATTTCCTTGAGATCACCGAGAAACAAGGATGGCAGGGACTCTGGGCCGGCAACAGCATCAACATGCTCCGAATCGTTCCCACCCAGGCGATCGAGCTCACCACGTTCGAATGGGTCAGACGAACGGTTTCATCGGCCCAAGAAAGTTGGACACTAAACGGTGGCCCTAAATTACAGGTTGGCCATGTTAATGTAGATTTGTCACTCTCCTGGGTCTCTCCAGTTGCGGTCGGTGGAGCGGCTGCTGGCATCGTGAGCACACTCATATGCCATCCTCTGGAGGTGATTAAGGTAATTGATCTGGTTTCCGTTTATCACTACTCGGGATGTCGACCCATCTATTTTTCTTCCTCCTGCGCTTTGATATTAGAACATCAACATGGAATGCCCTTCAACTTTGGGATCTGATATCGGTTGGTATCGCTGGGCAAGCATGCAGAATATTGTAATTCCCTCATTAATTGTCAGAGGTGATTTCTGGACCTGGGCACCGCTTCCTGGTTGCAATCGATTTAGTTTGGAGCTTTTTTTCGGGTTAAAGTTTTATCAATAGATCTATCGTAGACCCAGAATAGTACGAATCTCTTCAGAAAATAATTTTTCACTGTGGTCACGTATAGTCAAACATGGTTTCTGATCCATGTTGTCTATTCCTGGTTGAAGATTATGCATCTTACGACTTTTCTTGGCTTAAAATTTTATCAATAAATCAGTTAATGCCAAAAGAAATGGTGTAATCTCTTCCCAAGATGAGGCTGTAGCTTATGATCAATTAATGCCATCATTAATTAATCATCAAAGATGAGCTTAATCCAGCATCTTCCATCATTAATTCCTGACGATAATTTCCGGACCAAGGTGCCAGTTCCTGGTAGAAACTGATTTCTTTTGTCACGTTTCTTGGCTTGAAGATTGAAGCAGTTCATTTTTTTTTTTTTCTGGGTTTTATTTAGAATACTATTTCTTCAATCATCTTACATCCTATGAAACCTCGAAGGATGCGGCATCCTTAAAGCTCAAGGCTCTGATTTCCGCGCATCTCTCTTGCAGGATCGTCTGACTATCAGCCGGGAAGCCTACCCCACCATCGCCCTCGCCTTCCGCAAGATCTACAAGAATCACGGGATCGGCGGGCTGTATGCCGGCATCTCCCCCACACTGATTGGCATGCTTCCTTACAGCACCTGCTACTATTTCATGTACGAAACGATCAAGAAATCCTACTGCCAGTCGAAGAATAAGAAGGCGTTGAACCGTGCCGAGCTGCTCCTTGTCGGCGCCCTCTCAGGTCAGATCATGCGCTCGTTCAGTCGCAGTCGGAGAGCTTTGCTGTTCTCGGAACAGAAAGTTCTCAGCTGCTTCTGCAGCTTTGTTCATCATCGGAAATCGAGACAAGTTTCTCCATTGCCAACCGGGTTCCTCCCTCCTGTGCAGGATTGACGGCGAGCACCATCAGTTTCCCGCTGGAGGTCGCCAGGAAGCGGCTGATGGTTGGGTCCCTGCAAGGGCAGTGCCCACCGAACATGGTGGCGGCCCTTCAGGAGGTGGTCAGGGAGGAGGGCTTGAGGGGTCTCTACAGGGGATGGGGCGCCAGCTCCCTCAAGGTCATGCCCAACTCTGGAATCACCTGGATGTTCTACGAGCTGTGGAAGGACGTCCTGCTCGTTGACCGATCCCATCTCTGAAAACCCACCTCAGAAACCCAATTTTTCTCACCATCTTCGGCCCTCTTTTTTCCAAAGCTGGAGATCCGATCGATCTCTGCTTGTTTTGTGGAGAGGGAAGTGAGATTCTTGGAGGAGACGGCAGTGGAGCCCCCATCCTGAACGCGGCATGGGAAGAACCTGAGGACCAATAAGATAGAATCGCTCACGTCAAGCCCACCATTATTTATCGGAGATGTTCTTCCCATCTGCGCGTAGGTTGCTTGCTGTTCCTCCGTGGCCACATTGATTCCATTATTTCTAATTTATCGTCCCCAGAAAATCGAATTAAATAATACAAATTCTGTCGAAATATCGAGCTCGTGCAGCACCCCAATCATGTTGATTTATACGAATATCACAATTAAAAAAATATGATGGCGATCAGTTAACACGAATAATATCATTTCGAATGATAATGTCAGAAATTTGATCGGTCTTAGCCTTTTTTGGCGTTGAGCTACGGACGGTCCAGATGCGATCGAGAAGGAGCGGGGGAGACTCGGCCAGGTGGAAAGGGCAGGGTTGCTGCGTGGATAAGCGTGGGCCCCAATGTACAGGTGGACAGACGAACCATCTGCCTGCGGGCCTACGTGCGGAAAAAGCGCCAAAAAGCGCAGAGGGGGAAGAGACGAGGACTGATAGTGAGAGGGGCGGGGAGAGGGAATCTTGATATTTCCACAGATCACTCTCTTCTCGTGCTCCCTCTATTCTCCTCATTTGCAGCGGCAGCGACGGTAGCAGCGGCGGCAGATCCTTCGTCCTGCCGCTGTCTGATCGCAAGAGGCAGACCTTCGGTAGCATCTCACCGAGGGGAGAGATGCACCCTGAGGAATAAAATTGTGCGGCTATTTCACAGTTGATAAGCACATTTCTCTCTCGTACCATTTACTCCGGCGGCATCGGCGGGTCCTTCGAATCACGACTGTGTAATGTGTCTGTTGTTTGATCGGGTGAATTTTTAGCATTATCTCTGGAATTCGACATGTGAAGCGTCTTCTCTGTCTCTGATTGAGGGGGTTGTGCAATCTCCTGAATCCAGAGACATCGAGTCGCTTCTTCATTTTTGTTCTTTGACTTTCGTTATCCTCGTGGCGGGATGGAGCATGCCAGGGCGATGTCGAGCTTGGTGAATTTCACTGGCTGCCGCGGCGATCGCCGCAAGGTTAGTTTGGACAGTCTGATTTTTCGTCGCCCCGCGTTCTGCTGGAGGCGTGGTAGGAGAGTCCCGTCGAGAAATGAGAAGGTGAATGCAAAGCGTTTAGGAAGTCCCCGAAGAGCGGGGTCCACCGTGCTTCTTGTCGTACAGGGAATGGGTGCTGCCGAGGTAGTGGAAAACGTCACCGTGGAGGGTGCTCCATCGCGTGGGTTCATCGTGTCGGATGGATTCCCAGAACCATTTGGTGCCACTGTTCGTGATGGCGGAGTAAATTTCGCCATCTTTTCTAGTGGGGCGACATCAGCGTCCCTCTGCCTCTTCAGCTCCGAAGACCTGAAAGCGGTAATTCTTAGTATGAATCTGAATGCAATTCTTGATTTACTTTTTAGGAGACAGGAAACGAGATGATAATTTCTATAAATCGAAATCTGTGAAATTTTACTCTGGAAGACAGCTATTAGATTTTCATTTTTCCATTTTGAGTTTTCTGTTATTTTCCGGATATCCAATGGGAAGGTCCCTGTATTTATTTGATTTAATTTATTGTACAGAATAAAGTGACTGAGCAGATACCTCTTGACCCGGCAGTGAACAAGACTGGGCATATATGGCATATATTTCTGCAAGGGGAGTTCCATAATTTGCTCTATGGCTACACGTTTGATGGGCCCTTTTCTCCCAAAGACGGACATTATTTTGATTCATCTCTCGTTTTGCTGGACCCATATGCTAAGGTCTGTAATCCAACCCATTTTAATTTACTTAGGCATCATAATAATGCACTTGGATCGTACTACGGAAGAAATCAGCTTCATTATATGGTTTATTTCTCTCACAGTCGGCTTTCTCTTAATAAATGAGCAGGAACTAGATGAACGTTTGTCTCCTCTTTATGTGTAGGCGGTTGTAAGTAGGGGAGAGTATGGGGTCCAGGGACCTGGAGGCAATTGCTGGCCTCAAATGGCTGGCATGATACCATCTTCACGTGATGAGGTATTATTTCCAATAAATTTAATGACAAAATGCGAAATTTTTGTGTGCTTGTTTCAGCTGTTTACTTCTTGCAGATTGACAAACTTTTATTTGAAACTGACTGTCAGTGTAAGCATTGCTCGCTCAATACATTTATGGATGTTTAGTGAAGAGCGTTCCCGTAGATGCTGCTCTCAATTCTTGAAAATCATAAAAAAAATCCTTGATGTTCAAATTTTTATGGCGTTCGTTTTGGTTATAGGACATTCCTGCCCCTGGAAATCATATTATTTTTATCCAACACACAACCTGTCCAGTCGTTAATTCTGTCCAATTCATCTATCCAAAATGTGATGGCCGTAAAATTGGCCTTACCATTCCACGGCCACATGAATGCAAAAGGTGGTGTAACAGCATGCAATGTGAATAATAAAGAACAGCCATCCTCCAAATATTACGAAATTCTCTGTACAACTATAAGAGAACTTTGTTTCATTTGAGACACATTTAAAAATATTTTCTTAACGGATAATCTGATCCGATCAAGTGTTTTATCTTTGATATGAATAATCTTATCCGTATTTGAAGTATATTAGATAAGAATCTATAAAAAAGCTGAAAATGTGGGAACGCTGTGATTCTACTAGTATCGCTTTAATCTTGCATGCGAAATTAATAAAGTGCAAAGTGTGCTGATGTAAAATTTTCAATGCCTTCTCAATGTTATATATTATTGAGGAAAAAACGATCCCACCTTTGTGAGAAACTTTTCTGTAGGTTTATTGAGAAAAAACGGTCCCGCCTTTGAGTTCCCAATCAGAAGTTATTGACACTAATCAACATCTCGTTTTAGCTTTGAGAATTTATATTTTACACTTGACGGCAACTTCATCTACCTACCTATGTTTTGTTACATGGGATTCTTAACTAGTGATTTTCATATTTAATGACGTTCAACGTCGAGGGATTGCAATTTTTTGATAATGCTATCTTACAAATAGTATAGATCGAAATAGAAGTTGCATGTCTGCCTTATTATCGTTATTACAAACTTATTTCAGTATTATAGTAGATCTCGCCCTTTAATACAAATCTGTAACGTTCTCTCGACCTATTTGATTCTTCCAGTTTGACTGGGAAGGAGACTTGCGATTATCCTATCCTCAAAGAGACCTTATAATCTATGAAATGCATGTCCGTGGATTCACACGACATGATTCAAGTGGGACCAAATATCCAGGAACTTATCTTGGAGTGACAGAGAAGCTTGACCATTTAAAGGTATTTGAGTATAGTTCCAGTAATTCATGGGGGCCTTCAATGTTGGTAACCATTTGCAAATATGCAACTTCACACCTATGACCTTTGTCTTTCTTTTGACTGGGTACCTATGCCATCTGGGGATAGCCATTAATTTGTACAGAGTTCATTCATGAAAAATCTCGGTCACCATCTGGAAGGATTTATTTTCTCAATTTTTTTATTTTTTTGTATATTTATGCCTATAGATTTTAAATATAGATTCTCATTCCAAAAAATTTATTGATGGGAAACTTCAGTCAATAAAATAGTAAACGTTTCTGTTCAAAAAATCGGTCGGAGGATGGGATATTTTCTTACCTGTTATTGTTGAAGGACATGTTGGACGATGTATGTGCGTGCACACATGTTCATTCCATGTTTTTTCATTCAAATTTTATTATCTTTCTTGAATTACTCGATGATCGCGTATTAATGCCGAGTTTCATGAATATAATTCCATTCAAATATATCCCACCTTTCGCTTCAGAAAAAAATAGGCGATGAATAAGGGGAAACTAAGTTGGAAGTTACTAAGATTGGCTGTTTTCTCTATTGATTATGCATGTTTCTTTCATGAAGTTTCACTTATAACTTCAAAACTAATAACTTCCTGAATAAGTTGGAAACTAAAAGAGGCAAAAGAGTCGGAAGATGATACTCTGCTTCCAAAGAAAAAAATATTTGTATACTTATGACTATAAAAAGGACACAATCAATCAGGATCAGCACTGTCCCTATGAAATAAATACTTTAGGTGGACCTTGTGCAATAATATATTATATATTAATATGTTTATATTGTAATTACATGGGTTGCATGGAAATTCCTATCTATTTATCTGTAAAATCTCAAAAATTCCTATTTTACCAACTTTTAGGGCTCCTGGCTTTAGACCATACTTGTTTCGTTGTTTCTCAGCTAGCTTTGAAAATTTCTTTCGTGCTCATATCACCTGTTAACTTTGCGAATTCAACAGGAGCTTGGGGTCAACTGTATAGAGCTAATGCCTTGCCATGAATTTAATGAACTCGAGTACTTCAGCTATAATTCTGCCACAGGAGAAAACAAGTAGGTCCACTACTCACAGAGAATTATTTTCCTTTGTGGATTCTGTATATAGTATTTTTGCAATCCAGAAATTCCTCATAAACTAGAACTTGTTTAGTTTTTTTAGTTTACTGAATTTATAATTTAGACCGTATTAACAACTGGCGGATACAGTAATATCGTAAAAAGTATACACCATCACTCTCACAGCACAAGGTACTCAGCGTGGGATTGGTATGATATGCTATTAGTTACTTGCTTAGAATTTCAAAGATACCCAGTCTGATAAAACATATATCTAAATGTAATTTAATCTGCTCAATCCAAAAAAAAACAACTAGCGAGATAAGAGGAAACAGAGATATACCTCCTTAACTTGTTCAAGCAGTTCTATACCTCAGCTTCCAAGAGATCATATAAGAAATGAAGCGCATTAATTTCTCCTTTTTGGACAATGACAACTTAAATTAAAAATGAAGCACGTATATCTGTAGATGATTCCATTCAAGATGGTGTAATCAATATTTCTCAGATAATCATTTCACTTGGATGATTCCATTCTCTTTGTGCAAAGGGACTTCTATCTTAGGACAAGGATAAATATGACCGCTTGATTGTGACTGACGTACTAGTCTTTTTCTTTTTATTGGTCAGGTTTAACTTCTGGGGTTATTCAACAGTCAATTTCTTTTCACCAATGATAAGGTATTCATCAGCTGGCTTGGGCAATTGTGGCCTTGATGCGATAAATGAATTTAAGTTTCTTGTCAGAGAAGCCCATAAACGTGGAATAGAGGTAAGCCTCATAACATTATCAAAATGGGCTTATGAGGGTTTTTGCTCGGGTTAGAGACAGTGTTGCTGTTTCAAAATGCGAGTGGATTATTTAGTGATGAACCTTGTATTTCAGGTGCTCTTGGATGTTGTCTTTAATCACACAGCTGAAGGGAATGAGAGAGGCCCCATTTTTTCATTTCGAGGTCTTGATAACAGTGTATATTATATGATTGCACCCAAGGTACCTTTGGAATTTTTACTTCGTGGGCTATCACTCAGGGAACTTACACTGACGGCTTTTTTTTTTTCCTTGGTTCCATTTTGATATGTCCAGATTTCATGATCTATGTTGAAGCCATTAATTTTTTGAAATGAAATGTACTCTATTTATTTTTTTATTGAATATAAATTATCTATTAATTTACCCCATTACAGTGTGTATTAATGAAATGCGCTCCATTAATTTATGTTTTTTTTCCCATTACTTTCTCCTCTGATACTGTATTGTATTGTATTTTTTGAATGTTGGAACTACAGGGAGAGTTCTACAACTACTCAGGCTGCGGAAACACTTTCAATTGTAATCATCCTATAGTTCGACAGTTTATAGTGGACTGTCTAAGGTCGATTTCAATAACTGACTTTAAAGAGTCATACTGCTTTCTGATAGCACTGATTTTTATGTTCTTTACATAATTTCATATTATTATTGTAACTTTTTGTTGCACCGACTGCATTTGCTGAAGTTTTCTGTTAGTAACTTGAGGGAATCATTAGTTTTGTGCAAATAAAATATTGAGAGCAATAATAGGCTGATCCTAATAAAGTGGGTGTATTGAAAACATTTCTTCTATCTATTCAGTCTCCTTACAGTGCAGATATTATTCGCATTTAGATAGCTTCAACTCATATTAAATTCAATAAATTTACTTATTTAACTTTCCTCTTCTTTCTTATGTCATCTATTGGGACGTTTGCATTATGCAATAGATACTGGGTGATCGAAATGCATGTCGATGGATTTCGTTTCGATCTTGCATCTATTATGACCAGGGCTTCCAGGTTTTTCTTCTCTTTTCCCTATCTTTTCCTGCCTTTCTTTGTCCCAAGCTTATCGCTCATAATTTTTTCTCTTGATTCTGTTAGCCTTTGGGATGCCACTAATGTACACGGAAATCCAATTGAAGGTGACAATATAACCACTGGAACTCCCCTGAGTAACCCTCCATTAATTGAAATGATTAGCGATGATCCAATTCTAAGTAAAGTCAAGGTAAATTTTCTCTTTCATATGTGTTCGATTCTTCTCAGTTTTTAATGGCCAAGTCGAGTAGTCCAACGGAGAAACATCTTGTGAATGATTTTATTTCATTCCTAATGCTTTTCAATTTCATGGTTGCTACCATCTTTTCATACGCTTTCGTTACTTTCCCCAAGAGAGAACCCTTAACGTGAGCATGGGACCAGATAAGATCAACGTTGGATATTTCGATATTTGTTGGTTGCATCAGGGGATGCAAGGGAGGAAGATGAGGCCTTATGTCCTAGAGAATGCATGGAGCAACCTGAGAATGCATGGGAACGATTTGTGAATCATAGTCGTGCTTGACAGAGTGGTCTAAGAGATACTGTGGGAAATAGACTGAAACTTCTGCCTCACCATTAGTGATATCAGGTGGACACCTATTTGAGAGAAGATTAACCTCCTAGTTTTCCTCGTTTTTTCTCTGAGAAACTTTGTTGGTGTCTTTGGCTTTTGCTTCAGTAGATATAGAGTGTCCCCAGGTGGTTGTGGTTCGAAGCTGACTGTGCTACACTTCCATGATCTTTTCACTCTCCATTTGTCAAGTGCCTCTGCCCTGGCTGTTCCCCATCTCAAAAAGTAGTAGTGGTAACGGTGGGCCCAACTGTCCTTCGGTGGTGGGCCAGTCATCCCCAATCGCTCATTTTACCGTAACTGATGTTTAGTGACCTACATACACCTCGGATATTCAGTCTCATTTGGAGGGATATGCAGGCTTTATAGAAGTATATCATCTCTTATTTCTTTTCATTTATGCACGTCGAAATTATAATGATATTTTTCTCTAACCTTTGAGACAGCTTATTGCTGAAGCATGGGATGCTGGGGGTCTCTACCAAGTTGGCAAGTTTCCTCACGGGGGTGTATGGTCAGAATGGAATGGACAGGTCTGCTGTATTTTCCTTTGTTTCTTTGCATCTCAACAAAAAGCATCGGAGACAGAAACTAGGACAATAGGCCCATGGTTAAATAATTCTTTGGTATTTTTGTTATTTTTGGATTTTTTGTGCATCTGTTTTTTCATATGATTTAGTACTGAATTCTGGTTATGGATGATAAACTTGAAGAACCAGTCAACTTGAATACTCATCCAGGATTTATAGAAAAGTGTAATTCATTTGCTTTATTGGTTACCTATTAGGATTTGTGACACTGATTCCATTACGGCGATTCCCTCTGTTGTATAAGATTCTTATATTGAACATACCTAATTCGATAATTTTTTAACTGTCCCATCTTTTTAACTCCCTTAGTCGCTTCTTGTGTTGACTTTTTTTTACGCCTCCAGACAACGTCGAACGTTCATTAGACTTTTTTCTCTAATTTTTCCACGGCTCTTATTCTTCTAATGAAGTCATTTGATGAACAGTCCCTTTTTGTCTTCTCATGTCTGAACATTCTCATTTCAATCACACTCGATATGCTTTAATTACCCCACACGGATGACGATGCTTTGTGTGTGTGTGTGTGGGTGGGAACATAATTATATGTGAAGTATATACACCTCTCATATGTCATAATTTTCATCTTCTCCATTGTAATTTTTCAGTATCGGGATGTAGTACGACAGTTTATAAAAGGAACAAATGGGTTCTCCGGGGCTTTTGCTAAATGCATTTGTGGGAGCCCCAATCTATACCAGGTGATCACATACATCATTGCTTGCACATGTTAACTACCTTCTTTCTAAGACTGAACCCATAGCTCTTACGGTTTATCGTCCCTTGCTGCATTCTATAGTTGGCCATCACACGCGCAATTCTTGTTCCTGAAGTTTAGTTCAGATTTAATTATTTTCTGTCATTTATTGTAAATGCAGCCCTTGTCAAAATCCGAATGCTATGTCACGAGGTCAACTTTGAATGGCCTGTGGATCAAACTTTTCTTATTTAAATGCTTCAGCATCGTTCCGATCTTGCTGAATTCTAAAATTCTGTTAATCTGCTGGCACACTAATTGTGACTTCAGTCGTATACTGTTAAAATTCTCTCTACTTTGTCTTTTAAAGGCCACGAACTGGTTGTACAGCTAAATAAAACATGGATTCTCGCATAGGATATCCCTCGAGGGATCAATCATTTCTTTTATTTCCAGTCTCGGGTATTCTGTGTTCTCACATTTTTGGCACATTTTCATAGCTTGGGGGATCATCCACCCTTGATAACATTCAACAAAACCCCTACTATGTTCTGCAACTTTCCCTTTCTTTGTTGTACGGGGAGGATTATTTGAACCAGGTTGATATGATTTTCGCTGACTATGCTCTTTTCTTTTCCTCGACGATGCTCCATACCAGGATGGGGGGAGAAAACCATGGAACAGCGTTAACTTCGTGTGTGCCCACGATGGATTCACGCTTGCGGATTTAGTGACGTACAACAGAAAGAATAATTTATCTAATGGGGAAAACAACAACGATGGTGAGAACCATAATAACAGCTGGAACTGCGGACAGGTAAATCCTGCTGACCCTACCTTCCTGTTTTAATTCTTCATGGCTCGTAGCATCGCTAGCACATTTGCTATTTTAGTTCATCCTGTACCCAATATAACTTCCGCAAGAACTCGTCAAATCAGATCCATAGAAAAACGTCGGTAAGTGGGTTCTCATGATGAGTGGAAAAGGCTCTTGGAATACTTTGAATCGTAGGCAGATACAGAAGCCTCCATTCCTGTTCTATTTAAGCATTTGTAAAGTTGAATCCTCCTCCTTGTTAACCGGCCATTTCGCTTTCCCTCTGAGAGTGACACACACTCAACCATACCGACAATCACAAGCCCCCCTCGCTCCTCCCCCCAACTCCAACGACGCTAAATTGTTTCTGACCGTGATTTATTGTACAAAAAACAATGCAGGAGGGAGAAACAGCTGCGTTGCCCGTCTTAAGGTTGAGGAAGAGACAGATGCGGAATTTCTTCCTCTGTCTCATGGTCTCCCAGGTAACCACCGGCCGTGTCGAGAACCGCCTCTCTTTTCATCCATAGAAGCCATCTCCCAGAAACTCCCTACTCGGGGAGAAGGCTGGAGATTGGCGCGCTGCGCTCACCCCCCTGATCTTTCTGTAATCCGTCCCCTCCTGTGGTTCCTGATGGTCTTGTGTAAATAAATAAAAATGGCCAGGGCGTGCCGATGATCCTCATGGGCGACGAGTACGGCCACACAAAGGGCGGCAACAACAACACCTACTGCCACGATAACTACGTACTCCCTCTCTCCTTCCCTCGATGCGTCCGCCATCACATCTTCCTCTAACTTGGTGCCCTCGATGCAGCTCAACTATTTCCGGTGGGATCAGAAGGAAGAGTCCTCCCGGGACTTGTTCAGGTTTTGCCGCCTCATGACCCAATTTCGCCAGTAAGTGAAGCCCCACCGTCTTCTTCTTCTTCTTCTTCTTCCTCCTCTTCCACCTCTCAGAGGGCGTGGATTCTGACCCGTCGACGGTGCAGAGAATGCGAGTCCCTCGGTCTGAACGACTTCCCGACGGCGGAGAGGTTGCAGTGGCACGGCCTCCTTGCCGGGAAGCCGGACTGGTCGGAAACCAGCCGCATCGTGGCCTTCTCACTGGTACCGCTCCACTTCCCCCCAGCACCTCCTCCATCTTTTCTTCTTCGGGTTGGACGTCGTTTAACCCCCCCCCCCCCTATCATCCTTGAACAGAGGGACTCGGTGAAGGGAGAGATCTATGTCGCCTTCAACGCCAGCCACCTCCCGGTGACGGTGGCGCTGCCGGAGCGCCCGGGCCAGCGGTGGGAGCCCCTGGTCGACACCGGCAAGGCCGCCCCCTACGACTTCCTCGCCGACGACCTCCCTGACCGAGACGGCGCCTCCCGACAGTTCGCCCACTTCCTCGACGCCAATCTCTACCCCATGCTCAGCTACTCCTCTGTCATCCTCTTACTGCACCCCGACTCTACAGCAGCCTGAGAAAACTTAACCTGGTAAAGAAGAGAACCACTACTTGCTCTTCCTTGCTTATGCCATGTCCGTCCCACGTCCCATTGAAAACACAGCGATAGAGAGAGAGAGAGAGAGAGAGAGAGAGAGAGGGAGAGAGAGGACGGCCAGACCTAGCGGCCGGCCGAGAGGACGGCCCGCCACATCTTGCCGAAGGCGCCGAGGACGTGCGGCGCCGCGCTGCCGACTCCCTGGAGCACGGCGCCGGCGGCCACGCCGAGGGCGAGCAGGTGCGGGTACCCGGGTTTGGAGTCGAGCTTCATCTCGACGATGGCGAGGCGGGCGCCGACATTGTCCAGCTTGCGCCCGGTGTCGGCCGTGAAACGGTCCCTCTTCCCCCTCCCGGAGGCCATCGTCCGGTAGAGGACGGCCTGCAGGTCCTTGATGACCCGCAGTGACGCCTCCCTCGGCTCCATCCCCTGCGACTCGTACAGCGCCACCAGCTCCTCCGGCGTCGGCATGGTTGGGGCCTTCCTCGGCGGCCCCGCCGCCCTCCTGCCGCGGCCCCCGTTCAGCTTCCGCACCGGCGGCACAGATGGGGCCGCGGGGGCGGAAGAGGAGGAACCCTCGGACCTGGGGGACTCCGCCTCCATCCCCACCGCAGGAGCAAGGACGCCGGCCACCTCACCTGCGCCGGGGAAACAGAGAGAGGCGACTGCGTGGCTGGCGGTCGCGGTGGGGAAGAAGAAGAGGATATATGATATGGCTCTGCAACTCACGAGGGTCATTTTGGGTATTGGCGCTTCACATCAGACTTGCAACGACGACAGCACCACCCTTCCCCGAAATTAAAATCATTTACAAATAAGGTTACTCCTCTCGTTCGCCATGGGAAATTCCCAACTTTTGAGAAATAATTACTTCAAATTATTCCGAAATAATAATAGAAATAGGGGAGGAAGGGAAGGGGAGCTTTCTGGGCGCTAGTGTCACTAGGCGACTCTCGTGAGGTTTCCGAGGAGGACTAGTGCCAGCCAGGGGGAAGAGAGCTGCCTGAGCGGGCTAGCAAACCCTAGAAGGGTCTGGACTGCGTCTAATTCCGGGAGGGGATCTGTGCAATTCCTCCCAGTGTTGTCGTGGATTGGTGCCTTTGAGCTTGGGGAGTTGACGCGATTTGGGGCTATCCGTCGGGGGTTGGCTGCAGGAGATGGCGTTCCACGGGTTCCCGCTGGGATGCGGTGCCCGCGAGATGGACGGGTACGTGCCGGCGAAGATGAAGAGGAAGGATCTGGAGGAGGTCTATGACGAATTCTCCGAGTTCTCCCTCTCCTCTCCCGCCAGAAAGATCAGGAGGCTGGTGAGAGACTCCTCTACCTCTCTCTCTGTTTCCCTCTCTGTCCCTCGCTCTCGCTATCCATACATCTCTTGCTTTTTATCCTTTCTTGACTCTGCTATTACATTCATCTAATTTGGTTTATTTGGGGAAATTTTACTTACTTTTAAAGCAATAGTCGCTATCCATATGGAATGCGAACGCAGTGAACGTCGTATTCCATTTATTTTTTTTATCCCTCGTGCGGCTCAATTCCAATCTTCCCCTGCAAAACGAGACATGGCTGGCGGTGGTCTGTCACCGAGACCGAAGACCCCCAATCTTCCTGCAATATCATCAGCCTGGGGGCGGTTGGTGTCCAAACCTATCTCCATGATTTCTGGCGTTTTTCTGCCGATCCCTTGTTCCGTTTGATCGGTTTTCATTTCGTACCCCTCTACCTCGGAGCTGATTCCCCTTGGCTTTAAGATCAGATTGTAGATGAAAACCCTGATTGACGGAGTAAAGCATTTTTATTTTATTATAGGTCTGAATATTGAGCTCTCCTCAAGCTCCAGGCCTGTGATTCCGAAATCTCTTCATGTTCTTGATTGTTCTTGGTCAAAGAACTCGGCGCTAATTGTGATCGATGTTTCTTCTTCTCAACGTGTTTCCATTTTTTTTTAATCTATCTAGTTATGTGATTGCATTCAATTTTATGTGATTAATATCTTGCACGCACCTGCTATCTTATGATCATTCAAACTCTTTAATTCTGCTGGATCGCTTCAAGGATACGGAGCTGCCACCAATCATGGAGGAAGAGGAACTGCCGGCTGGTCCACCCACAGCATTTGGGCGGCCATTGACCAAGGAAGATCCACTGCAGGACATCTCACCGCAGCTGGCTGCTCGATCATCTGGAGGGTACGAATCCTCTGCTCCTCTGAATGAGGAGCGAGCCCTCGTCCTCTATAAACCTGTCAGGTCCCGGCGGCCATTTGACTCTCGGCAGCCATCAAACGTGTTTCTCAAGGTCGACCCAGATGTGATTGCCAGTTTGAAGAGTAAGTAAGAACCTCAGAGACCATGGTCAACGATCTACTTGCCACCTGGTCTGAGAATCTTGTCATTCAGAAATGCAAATGTTCCTGCAGATCAATCGCTCTGGCTAGGCCAACCAAACTCGGAGAAAGCAAGGGAAACAGCACCTAGCAACCTCCTGGCTCTCGTACCATGGATTCCACCCCCCCAGCCGCTGGAAGCTGCGACTTTGGCTAGTGTGGGTGGAGGAGAAGATGGATCGGTGGAGGAGGCCATGGAATCTGAAGACGTTGTTGGCAGCACGTCTATGGATATTGAACCTGGAAGCGAGGGACTGCAGCACAGGCATCAGCAACAGCAGCAGCAGCAGCAACAGCACTGCATGAGCTCGCAGGTGAGTTCAAGTGAGTCGAACCCTGTCATGTGGTCATGGGGATGATGATAGACCCATCTCCTCACCTTTGTATAGACTTTGTTTAGGGTTTTTTTTGGTGGGCGGGGGTTGGCGGCAGGGGTCAGGGAGGTTGGTGATGACCCACTTGCTGCCCTAACGTGGAATCTCTTCCTCTTGAGCCCCGGTATCTTGGGTTTTTTTCCCATGAGAAGAGATTTTCCCTTGTTTCTGATGGAGAAGAAGATCGGGTTATCAGACTTGTACAGGAGATGCCGGCCGGGGATGAAAAGGAGGGATCTTATAGAAGCAGCAGGAGTCTCTGCAATTGATCTCGCCTCCTTGTTGTACTCCTCTTCCTCTTTCTCACCCCCCCCCTTCAAATCAACGTGTTATCTTCTGGTGTAGTGAATGGTTATGCTCCTGGCCGTCTGATGTGTGGGGTCTGGTGATCCTTGCAGCGGTGTAGCTATCTTTGGTTTGACCCGCGAGTCACCAGACACGCCCCCCGATAGGAGGTTAAAATAGGCACGAGATCCTCTGAGAGAAGAAAGCGGTGTCCTTGCTTCTTAGGGTTTTCGTTGTTGATCGCGGAGGAGGGGCGGGAGGTGCGGATCGATCTTCTTCTCCTCCATGGCGTCGAGGGGCGGGAGTGCGAAGGGCAAGGGGAAGTCGTCGGGCGCCAAGGGGTTGAAGGTGGAGGAAGGGGTGCCTGTGGGGAAGTGCGTGAAGGTGTGGACCACGTGGACGATGAAGAAGGCGAAGGTCGTAGCTCACTGGGGCTTCATCCCGCTCGTCATCGTCATCGGCATGAACTCGGAGCCCAAGCCCCAACTCTTCCAGCTCCTCAGCCCCGTCTGAGATCAACTAGTAGATGGCCCTGGAACGGGAGCAGACGATAGAGAGGCCGAGGATCAGCTGGGGTCGCGACTTCCCCCCTTTTCTTCTCCATATTCTTCTCTTTTTTTTGCCTGAGAGGGTATTGTTCGGTGCCGTTTCTTTCTCCTCTACTTTTTTTACTGATCCTATCTCCCGATCATCAATATGAATCTCATATGCGTTCGTTGAATTTTCTTTTGCATATTCTGTGAGCGATTGCGTGTTTATCTAGATCTATGTGACGCCCTTTTTCATCCAGTGTCATCTCCACGTCTGCAAATCCTCTGAAACTGCCCGCATGTTCCTCTTCCCCATCGAGGGAGATCATGGAGATCACTTACATAGTTCGTATACACTGTCCGTGATCCAAACACTGCGACATATGCCTCTCTTGATCGCATGTGGAACTGTAATCAATTCGCTGCATCCACTTCTTTGATCTTATTGTTTACTGATCAAGTGGGGCTCTTTCGGTCCGCGGTCGATGATCAGGAAAGAACGAGACATTGGTTGATATCCTTCTTTCTCAGTGACTGAAACGGGGTACATCGGCTCATCCTCAGATTGGCCCTCTTGGTGAATCCTTAATTGTAACGTGAGAATACAACAGCACATAGTGTCGCTTGTGAGTTTCTTTTACTATCTGTTGAATGTCCTGAAACGAATGTGCAACACCAATCCGAGTTGTATTTTCCGACCTTTTTCCTATAATTTTTGGATTCATAAATCGTAAGTCTGGTTTGGATTATCAGTACATCAGAGCTATGTTCTGATGAGCTGGTGGGAAGATGATTATTTTAGAGATTTAAATCTGGATAAACAGTTATTTGAAATCATTTATTTGAAATATTGTGCTTCATATGTTATGATGTTACACGATGCAATTCTTATGTGCTTAAATATTGAATTCAATATAAAATATTATTTGTGTATTGGTCCCAAGTTCCATTTATATGCTTTGCAACATGATGGATATGTATACAAATATTAAGCTTGATATGCTCTATTTGAAAAATAACTTTTCCTAAACTATCCTACATCGTAGCTTTTTATATATATTTTTAAAAATATTATGCTTAACGTGGTCCACTATTAAGCTTCTTTGATATTGACAAGCTAAGCTTGATATAATTTATTATTTTTCAATGTAATTTCTCATATATTGACAAATTAAGTTTTATACCTTTATTGAAACATTGTATTTGACATATTGAATTATTTATGTACCACTCCTAAGTTTGATATTTGTGTTTCATAACATAATTTTATGTAGTGAAATGTTAACCGAGATATATTCTACTATTCTGCAACATAAATTTTCATATATTAAAAACTAGACCTTGATATAACATATTATATTATATTACAAGGTAAGTAATCATATGCTTAAAAATTAACTTACTGTATAGTAATCAATCTGTCACAACACAATAAAATATCGACCTTGATATATTATACAGTCCTGCAACATAAACTTTAGATAAGGAAATTGATATGTTGCGCTATTCTACAAATTTTTATGAATGATAAACATTGCGGAGTGAGAACTAGGTTTGATTAAAAGCGTAATGAGATAGATAAACATGCTTAAAGGAATTATCAAGGTAATTAGATCCTTAATGGTGTTATAAGGCGAGGATATGGAAATGAATCACAGTCAAACAACAGTAGAGAATCATATTTGATAAGGCGCTCAAATAACTTAAGATTTCTACACAAACATCAAAACTAATTAAAATTTATGAGTGATTAGAACAAGAAATGTAACTTATTATGAGCAAAGGCTATGCAGTAGATAAACATTCATTCATCAGAGAAAAAGGTTGAAAACATTCGTCATGGTAAGATGTTCAGTCATAGGGCGTCATATCTTTGCAGTGGTATAAGGGTGGGTGGGTTGCTCTTATCCGGCCCATGCAGGAGCATCTTGCTAGTATTCATTATTTTTGTTAATAAAAGTTAGTTGAGAAATGAAGGGAAGACCAGTAGGGACACTAGAGTAATGAAACTAACTAGTCAAATGTACATAAATATTAGAGTCCCGTCGTCCTAAGATTGGCCATTCGAGCAGTGATCCAGTCGGATGCTCCTCCAATCCATGAGACCCAAGTGGCTAAAGATGAGTTAGAAGATAATTTCGAGGCCAGCGGATGGTGGAGATGCGATCGTCATGCCCAGGAACTGCTCCGCGGGGAGTTCATTCCACCTCTGTAGAGATGATTCATGTACTGATTATACCCCGAGACCTAATAGATAGATGGAGATGGGGGAGATGGCGACGGGAATAGCGTGGTGTGGTTACGTCCCCCCAACTAGAGGAGTAGTGTTGTCGGCCGGCGACGGCGATGAGGAAAGCATGACGTACACCAGCAGCCGCAGTGGATGGAACTGGCCTTCGGAGAAGCGCGGAGAGTAGGTGGAGTCTGCACTCGGATTCGCATTCACTCCCGAAAGAGTAGAGTAGAGTAGAGTAGAGTAGAGTAGAGCTTCTGGATCACCATACGGCTATGCTCCGACCGAGATTGTGGTAATAAATAACAGAGGCGAGAGGGACAGCGAGGCCCTCTTCTTCGACGGTGGGTGGTCGATAAGGTATGGCCCTCTCCGTTTCTCTCTATTTACAGGCGTCCCCGGTTTCATTGGAGAATTCCGGTTGCACCACCGCAGAGGAGGCAGAAGAAGGCAGAGGGTTGCGTCGATCCGGCCGGAGACAGTCTAAGCTGGTCCTTCTGGTTCCGACTTGTACGTGCTGGATTGACGTCGGCGGTCATCTCTCAGTCGGCTGCAATAATCTTAGACGGACTCCCGAACAGATTAATTGATGAGACCCTTCACGTCAAGAGCAGCGTGGCCCGATGAGCTCTCCTCCGTTGGTTGATCTTCTGGAAGCCAGGGAGATGTGGAGGAAGGGTGGCATTAGATGCTTTCCTCGTCGGTGGACGTGGGCTCTGATACCACCACAAAGTTTAATTTTATGTTAATAAGAAAGCGACCGTGACTGCACATGAAATCCGCGGTCCATCAGAGAGAGTGTGTGTGTTTGTGTGTGTGTGTGTGTGAGAGAGAGAGAGCTCCCAATTACGTGGGGTGGGGTCATGCATGCAGGACGCAGCTATCGTGGGGAGCTGGTGCGCCGTCTCCCTCTGTGAAAGGGGTTGGGCACAGACTGTGTCCGTCAAGACTGGGTCTGTCTACAAGCTAAGGGGAAGGAAGATGACGCTCGCCGACGTCACCGGCGACGCCGTTGTCTGTGCTTCCAACTTCCCTCTTCACCGTGCTCGCAGCCTCGCTTCTTCTCCCTTTCGAATCCCCAGATCCGAGAACCAGCGCTTCCTCTCTCTTCCCAACCCTTCCTGTGGCGATCGAAAGCCAAATCTAGAACGAAGCCGCTCTCCGACGATGTCGATGTCGATCGAAGCGGCGGAGGAAGAGCGCCCCCGACTTTCTGGGAATTCTGCTGACAGTCCTCTTACAGGGGAAAAGAGCGTGAGGCTGGCCTAGCCTACCTCGCGGAGTCCGTTGACCTGGGAGCGCATCCCCCCCGTCCCTGGCCGAGGAGGCTGCCAAGTGGACTGATCAACGGTCGCTGGGTCCCTGTATCGGCCTTTCTGGACGTTGGAATTTTGTGGGTCACACCGGCCGTTGTTGTAGTCTTTCAAGCACATCGGTTACCACATCACATCGGGTGTCGTACTTTGCCTTCTTCATTGGCGTCCACCGGTGGAGTCGCTATCTTCGCCGCTCTCCCCCTCTTGTTGACCTCCCTCCTCTCTCTCTCTCTCTCTGTCTCACGCAAACCCACGAACAAATATAAGCCTTTTGTTGGTTTCACTCTCCGTCCGCTGCGCCTGCGGCTTCTCCCCCAGGGTATTGAGGCTATAGAGTGACAGTAGAAGGGCGAAGAGGGAGGGGAGAGGACTCGGGGAGAGATGGGAGTTATGGGCGAGGCTGGAGATCAGGTGCACCTCGTGTTCGCCTATTACGTCACAGGTCACGGTTTCGGTCACGCAACCCGCGTCGTCGAGGTGAGCCTGGGGAAGCTCCTCCAGAGTGCTGCAATTCTAAATTGCTCATCTCTCTCTCTCTCTCTCTCTCTCTCTCTCTCTCTGATCGTGCTTTTTTGTGGTTTGTTTTTTCTATCTAATTTGGAACTAGCCGTAGATGCTGTCTTACACTTCTTTGTGAGAGAGTAAAAGACAAAGTGCATACATACGAGAGCTGGACTAGAATTATGGTGCTGTCCTTCATGCTCGCCAGGGGACTAGAAATTGCAAGACTTTTCTTCGTTTAAAAGTTTTCATTCCAACTTGTTCTTTGCTTGTTTCACTGTGGGTGAACCTCTCAGTCATCGGTTTTCATCGCAGAACCTTGTGTAAGTAAATGGAATAATAAAATTAATTTTTGATTTATCCTTGCTTGGATTATATTTATTCTTTCAGATGTTTTTTTTCTCTTCATTTACTTATGTTTTCTTGATTAAATTACAATTTGCAGGTGGCCAGGCATCTCATAGCTGCCGGGCATGTCGTACACATTGTAACTGGTGCTCCAGATTTTGTTTTCACTAGCGAGATACGGTCACCAAACCTCCACATTCGCAAGGTTGGAAGTTTATGCCACCGTTTGTACCGTATGTATGACTTAAGTGATGTTCTTTCACCATTTTAATGTCATCTACTTGAATTTTTCGCTTTTGTTGCTGAAAACTTTCACCGTTGAGAGCTTTTATTGTATACACGATGCCTTTGGTTTCAGAGCTTTAGGCTTTGATTTGAATCTTTTGTGAGAAAAGATGCCTCTCTTTCTGATGATTTCAGGTTTTGCTCGACTGTGGGTCTGTGCAAGCAGATGCCTTGACAGTAGATCGGCTTGCTTCTTTGGAAAAGGTCAGGATGAAATCCTCAAATGGGCTTTAACATTGGACCTTCTTTCTCTAATTTCCTTCTCCCATCTTGATTTTAGATTTTTCATCCGTATTTTATTCGTTTTTTTTCCTCGATGTAGTATTCCCAAACGGCTGTGCTACCTCGAGCATCTATTCTTGCATCCGAAGTAAAGTGGCTGAAATCCATCAATGCTGACCTAGTGGTATGTGCATCTTTACTCTATCACATCCGTTTTTTGTTTCATAGTCTCTCAAACGATTAATCTCAGTGCATTAAAACATTAATGACAGTGTACCATGGTTAGATCATAGTAATATTCAGATTGGTTGATCATCATCAGGTCTCCGATGTTGTTCCCATCGCATGTAGAGCCGCATCAGATGCTGGGATTCGCTCGGTTTGTGTCACAAACTTCAGGTAAAGCATTTTAAATTCAGGATGGACATTGCTGCACGATCATGCTCAACAGATAGAGCCAGGAGGATCCTTGGAAGTTCAAACTTTCATTTCAATTGTACAGCGGTAGTATGATGTCCCGAAAACTAAATGCCATCTCTTTACAAGATAATCTATATCTTACCTTGAGAAAACTCCGTTTCTCAAGTGCTCTTGCCGCTCCTTTTGAGGATCTCCCTAATCCTTAGCCGCAAGTTCTGCCTTTGCAAATAAGAAACAACACATAGGTGTTCTCCATTCAATTTTGCGCTCTGGATTCCATTCTGTTTCAAGATTTCATAGGTGTTCTCCATTCAAGTTAAAAAATGGCCGATGGTTTCATCGTATGTTAAATTTGTCTTTTTATTTTTAGCATCTGTGTTACTCTGAAATTTATTTTTTGTACTGATTTAGTTATTAGCAACCTCAAAGGATGCTAACATATGATGACAACAAATTATTTTATTTTGGCAGTTGGGATTTCATATATGCAGAATATGTCATGGATGCTGGACGTCACCATAGATCTATTGTTTGGCAGGTGACTTGCTACCCTTATTTGATGGGAAATAAATTATTTTAAAATTTTGATAATTTATTTGCCAGTTTTAGGACATGTAACGATACACAAATGTAAATCAAACAGCAAGCGAAAATAAAATTTTGTATGGAAATTTCTGATCAGTCAAGTCCATCGTTTATGATATTATATCTTTTATGCCTGTGATCCATGCGCGAAAGTTCATCAGACGATCTTATGCATATTTCTCTTGATTGTTAGATAGCTGAAGATTATTCGCATTGTGAATTCCTTATCCGGCTTCCAGGGTACTGCCCAAGTATGTCAAAACAAAGTCATCATTTATGTCTTTTGAACTTTCTCAGTTTTTATCTCGTTTGGGCTGTATGCATAATAATTATTGTTTTTCAGTGCCTGCTTTCCGTGATGTCATTGATGTGCCTCTGGTTGTGAGACGGCTGCATAAATCTCGGCCACAGGTACATATCATGATATTGAAGCGATTATCTGGCGTAGTTTGTCTTGTTTTATTTTCTACATTGCTTTTCTTGGTTCAGGTGAGGGAAGAACTTGGAATTGGAGAAAATGTAAAATTACTCATCTTCAATTTCGGTGGCCAGGTAGGATAGCCTTCATTCTCTCTGTTTTAGTGCACCGATTCTTACTGGATTTTTTCTAATACTTTCCTCTCCTAATGCCTTCATCACTGTTTTAATGATGCATTAGAGATGGAAGTTTTGGGAAGCCTTTTGATGTATATAATTTATTGAATGATTTTGTGTGGTAGTTTCTTACTTTGTTCCTTCATGTACTACCGGTTTGAATCAGATCGTCTCATATATTATTTTAATTTATAGATCGAGTTTTTTGATTTGTGAGCACCCATCCTGTTTTCCCCTTATTGCCACTGAAACTGCTCGGCTGGAAACCCTTGTGTATGTTCTTGGTCTGATGGCACGAGATGATCCGCTGCATATTCCCCAAGATAGATTGATTCAAACTTCCGGGATTTTATTTTATTTTACCTATAATGGTAGTGTCGGGTATCAGGGCATCTGACTAAGTTGTATTTGAAATCATATTAAATTTTTATTGTCATTTTTTTCTTTGATAACATTGATCTGTTGATGTTTTTTCCCTTAGAAGTTTATTTTTATGGGCATCACCTTCATTATCATCGCGATTGCAGATGATGTCCAGGCTAATGTAGCCTTATCTCATTGAGCATCTTGTCCTGTAGATCGAACTTTTAGGAGATTCAAGGAGACTCCATTTAGCCATAAACTCGGCACCCACTGCCTCAAACAGTCATAAAAGTTTTCCATTTCCGGATTGGAAAGGGAGGGAATCTCTTCTTGATCTTTGTTGAATGTATATCGAGAGTCTGGCAGTAGTTTCTTCTGAATTACATATGCAAGTTGATTGGATGGAATGAACAGCCATGCTATGAAATTAGTGGAACGAGCTAGTGTGTGGGAAATGCACAAGACTTGGCTGTCAATATTTTTATTTTGATTTTATTGTGAAAATATATTCTGTCATGACGTTTAATATGGTACTTCTTTTGCAAGTATTCTAGTTTTTATCATATGCATATGCATATCGTATTACGGAAATTTCTTTCATACATGGTGATTTTTTTTCAGCCATCAGGTTGGAAACTAAAGCAAGAGTGGTTGCCTGATGGCTGGATATGTTTGGTATGACATTCTTGGGTTTTATGAGGCTTCGTTATTTGCCAGAATGTCACATCGATACTTTGCTAATGCCGTTTATTTTGATTACTCACTGAGTGAAGGTTTGTGGTGCTTCTGAGAACCAAGAGCTTCCCCCAAACTTCATAAAACTTGCGAAAGATGTGTATACCCCTGATCTTATGGCAGCTTGCGATTGCATGCTTGGTAAACAATTGAGCAATATTTAAAGTATAAATAACCTTACAATTATGTTAGAATTTCGGATCATTTTCTTAAAAACTGTTGTATTTCAGGTAAAATTGGCTATGGCAACGTAAGTGAAGCTTTGGCATATAATTTGCCATTTGTTTTCGTACGCAGAGACTATTTTAATGAAGAGCCATTTCTCAGAAATATGCTTGAGGTTTGCACCAGAGATTTTCTTTTTCAGTTCGTGAGAAAGTATTTGACATGCTTCACTAAAATGTTTATCACTTTAAACAGTGTTACCAATGCGGTGTTGAGATGATAAGGAGGGACTTCCTCACTGGTCATTGGAAACCTTACCTTGAGCGTGCAATCAGTCTGGAACCGTGCTATGATGGGACTATCAACGGTGGAGAGGCAAGTGCCTTTTATTCCTTTTTTCTACTTTATCATAAATGTAAAGTTCATTATCTTCTGCAAAGATTATTGCAGATTGGGGTCAATGCAAGGTCATACATTGTGGTACCTTTTATGTTGGAAGGGACATTAATACACAGAGAACGATTCATTGAATTTTTCACTATTTTCTATTCTGTTTCTTGAAGAATCTTTCAAATGTGACTATGGACATGCCATATTGCATTAACTTTCTCTTCCTGATGCATATTTTTTTAAATCCAGAAAGTTGACATTTCTGTAGCTGCATCTCCAGGTAGCTTCTTGCATTCTACAAGATGCAGCTATTGGAAAACCTCATGCACCAGATAAGGTAATTCATCATGGAAGCCCGGTTCATTTTACTGAGCTCTGTGTAGAAACATGATATTGATTATTTAGTTCTTGTCCATTTTCTAATTAAGTTGTCATTCAACCAGATTTAATTACGTTGACATTTTCTACAGTGCAATGTTTTCCGCTGCCTTTGATTGAGAATATCTATTATTTTTTTAGAGTATGCGTATTGAATTGGTTATCTGTAATAGCTGAAGTTTTATCATATCATCGCTCTTAGTACTTCAGACTTTCAATCCTGCAAAGGTTGACTCTGCTTATTTGGTTAGAAAATCACTCTTATGATCGGGGACTGAACTGAACTTACTGAAATATGTTTGGGTTGAATGGTCTTTGTGGATGATGCCGTCATGGTTTATTCTACCCAACTCTGTTATTAAATCCTATTTAGTTCTGAATCTGACAACTTTAATGTTTTATTAATAGGTTTTATTCATGTTTGCACTGAGTCTCTCGTCTTTTATTTTTGATCTCTTATTTTTATTTTACACCTCGATTTTCTAGCTTTAATTAATCCCTGTTTTTTCGATTATTTTATGCAGTTGAGCGGAGCAAGGAGGCTACGTGATGCAATTGTTCTCGGGTATCAATTACAAAGGTCCCCTGGTAGAGATATCAGTATTCCCGAGTGGTATTCTCGTGCAGAAAATGAAGTGGGACTTCGGCCTGGATCACCAAATTCAGACGTGGATGAGAACAACTCCTTTGTGGAATCGCATGTTTTCTATCTCTGTGCTCCGTAATCTTTTTCTGTGGCTATATGCTTTGTTACTTATATTCTTCTCGCACTTTTGTAGGTATATTGAGGATTTTGAGATCCTACAAGGGGATATGCATGGTTTACCTGATACAATGGCTTTCCTGAAGAGTTTATCAGGACTTCATTGTTCAGTTGACTCAGGAAAGAATGGTGAGAAGCCTCAGCAGCGGGAACGTGCTGCTGCTGCTAGGCTCTTTAATTGGGAGGTCTTCGCTTGTCTGATTTCTCTTGGTTTTTTACTCTTTGGTTAATTTAATCCTTTTTCCTGAACGCATTTGGAAAACCGTTCATGGTAGCATGAAAAATGCATGGACTTGTGTTATATGACGCAAAAAACCGATGCTGCTTTTTTATGAAATGTTGAAGAAGAGCCTTATATGTTCTTTTTAAAGTACACAGGAGGAGATTTTTGTCGCAAGAGCACCTGGAAGGTTGGATGTGATGGGAGGCATTGCTGATTATTCAGGAAGCCTTGTCTTACAGGTTAACATCTAGAAAAAGTCATGATTCATACATATGTATCGGGGCTGATTTTCTATAGCCTACGTTCGTCTTCTCAGTATATGGTGATATACCATTCATCTAGAACTATGTTTTCACAGGTCTAACGACAGTTAAGTAACTTTAAATTAATTTATAATGTATTAATGTATAATACTTGGTTGGAAAAGAACGAGGTAGCTTAATTATTCATACTGTTAAAGATATATGTGGAATTATTTATTTTATAGATTTACTTAAATATCTTCCCGGCCTATTTAACCTGCCATAAGTAAAAAGGGCTTCTCCCATGAACTTGGACAGCAATCAACCATCAAAAGAAAATGGAAAAGCACCTCACCTAGATTTATGCATTTTTCTCCTTAATGATCTGTCAAGTTTAAAATCCTTTTCACATTGATCCGTACATTTGTACCTTTTACCTTTCAGTACTCTAGACAAGAACTGATACTCTTGTATTGTTACGTGCTTACTTCTCAAACGAGAGAATTTATTTCTGACTTGTATTATTTTTCTTTTTTTCTCTTACTCTACATAATTTGTTCTTAGATGCCAATAAAAGAGGCCTGCCATGTCGCTGTCCAAAAAAATCATCCTAGCAAGCAAAAACTTTGGAAACATGCCCTAGCACGTCAAAATGCAAAAGGACAGGGACCTATTCCGGTTCTGCAAATTGTAAGTCATGGTTCAGAATGACTATCGTTTAAATGTAGGATGTATTCCTCTTCTTACTTAGCTTTCATTCATCTTTAAAAGGCATTTTAACATATCACACATCTTACTCATAATATAAATTGTCAGTTTTTATAATGTGATGCTAAAAATCCACACCGGCATCGTGAAATATGCTATAATAAATATGATGTAGGCTTCTTTTTCAGGAAAAAGTGATATTTAGACAGGGCTAAAACATGTTTCCAACGTTATGTTGATGACCTTTGCCTGTAGTGTCTCTTTTTCATGTCTCTTATTTGTTGATAATATTGCTGTGCATGTGACAACCTAACATCTTTGAAAACCAAGTTTGATCATATTATATAAGTATGATATTGGGTTTTTTGGGCTTTTAACTGGGTCAGCATTTTTACAGAGTTTTAGGCTAATTGGGGTAAAGTGATGGGAGTGTGGAAAAGAAAGGAGATGAAGAAATGTCTATTATTTGTCAGTCATTCTCTGCCACTGACACTGCCATTGATGACACACTCTTGATTTTCACGTCTCCCTCCTCCAATACACTCTTGCCTCTTTGCCAAAGTTGCTGTCTTACACTGAGGAAGGGATTCGGTCTGACAGGCTAAAACGTCTTGAATTCGTACAAAAATACTCATCATTAAAGATGCTTTTATAATGGGACATAAAAAATATTCCTGTAGTATTTAATAAAGTATTAAATTTTATTGTATTCTATTCCTAAGATTGATTACAATAATTCTTGTAGGTCAACGTGACTTGGATCCTAGCCAGGCCAATTGGTAGTAGTTTAAATTCGGTTGTATGAAATCTAGCTTTTTAGTGGTTATCCACCAATGGGACTGCCGATCCTTTCATATCAATATGCATTAGCATTATATAATCGAAAACTGGGCTGTAATTACAGATTGCTGAATGTACCCGTGTCACCCAGGACTTGGACTTTTTCTTCTTCAGTTAATTGCAATCTATGATTTGAGTACCACAAGCAGTCTTGGGGCCCTTTGCTTTCAACTTTTATTTCTTGCGTTCTATGAACGATTTGGAAACATTGAACATCATTTATTTTGCTTTGTCACGTTCAGAAACTCACTCTTGATCCTTCTATTTCCGTTTCAGGTATCATATGGTTCTGAGTTGAGTAATCGTGCACCCACCTTTGACATGGATCTATCAGATTTGAGGGAGGGTGACAAACCAATATCGTATGATAAGGCATTCAATTTTTTTGCTCGAGATCCATCTCAAAAGTATGCCCGTGTTGACTATTTATCTGTAATAGGATTATAATAATTTCTTGAGTTATTTAACTAGCCGTGATATTTCAGGTGGGCTGCATATATTGCAGGAACGATTCTTGTTTTAATGTCTGAATTGGGCGTCCAATTCAAGGACAGCATCAGCATTCTGGTAATGCTTCAGTCTTTGTTCTGGTAATTTTAGTGATGTAACACAACACATGACTGCTAAGATGCTGCATTCTGTCTTTACTGATACCTCAGTCTGATGAACGTGCTTTTTTTTCGAAAAATTTCCTTCTTACGTTACTTGCACTACTGTTAAATATTCAAAAATTGGTGCCAAGGTGTTCTAGATCTAGACTGTATCCCAAGTACACGAATGACTGAAGAAGGAAGGCAAGGATATTTTTCCTGGAAAATTAAAAGATATTTCTCATCATATCAATGCCGTTATTCATGGCTTTACTGAAACTCCAAGTCTTTCGGCTAGAATGTCAGGAAAACTGTGGGTTTATGATTGAAGAAGAAAAGAACGGAATGAGAAAGACAGAATAGAACAGTGCTGCATCAGTCGTTCTCACACCTGCGCAGGCCCTTTCAAGTTTTATATGTGAGGATAAAAAATAGGACAATGAAACTTTACATTGTTAGGTAAAATGCTAAATTACACCCTCTCAAGAGGATACAATTACCACATTGACCCTAATTTTCACCGTTCCCCCAGTTGAGAGGAGATGTCTATCACACTCAACCTACATAGAGTAGGGATGTGTTGAGTTGTCATTATCATTTTTAGAAAAGGGGTGATAACGACTGAATTTCTCTCTTCTAACCGCGATATGTATAAACCCCCTCACTAAAATTTAATTTTTCTCTGGTGAAAAAATCATCAATCTCCGTGTTTAGAATAGTCATGTTGCAGTAAATTATTTTGTGATGTTTGACGCTGCCTTATCCTTACAGTAGACTTTTAGTGATATCTTGACTTCAATGTTCGGATTTCCCATGAAAATCTTTACTCATAATTTAGCTTAGGCAGTAGACTCGGCGTATACTGTTTATTTCTTATTTCTCCGAGTGACTAGGTTCTGCCCGAAGAACATACACAACCCCATGGTGGACCTCTTGTCATCATGAGATCTTATCTAATCAGTATCAATATGGCCTTCAATATGTACGTGATCAGACTTAAAGAATAAAAGTCCTTTTAGAGGACAAGGCGTAGAATATCTATCATGCAATTAGTGTTAAGGAATATGCATATATTGATGGACCACACTTAAACCAGATATTAGTTGTTGTATTGTCGAACACAAAACTAATAATATTCTACCAGTCGTTGTTATGTAGAAGTTTCAACTTTGAATGCACCTCTGAATTGGTTTTTAATTTGATACTGTATGACTTTAAGATGGTATCAAAGCCAATATATTGTCTCAGTGACAAAGCCCATGGCATCTAACTCATAAAGGGGCGTGCTGAGAGCAGTCCTATCTATGTGTAAAGTTCTGATCATAATATGGGCTTACTATGGGCTTCACTGATCACCCATTGGCTTAAGTTAGGTGGATCAATACCTCCAACATGTATTCATTAGATATTTGTATTATTTCTTATTATTCATGGGCAAATATAATGAATGATGACGTTTTTCTGCATAAAATACAGACTAAATGGATTGGACAGCCATCTATCATTTCACCTTGTTTTATCATCTGGAACTTTCAGGTTTCCTCTGCAGTTCCTGAGGGGAAAGGTGTTTCTTCTTCTGCAGCGGTGGAAGTTGCCACCATGTCTGCCATTGCTGCTGCACATGGTTTGTGGTTTTTTTCTGAAGTTAGAAAAGTTCGAATTAATTGCTTCTAATCAGAAAGGTTATCCTAGTATTTTGGAAAATAAATTTTGTATAACTGCATTTTCAGTCTGGTTGCCATTTTCCTCAGACGAGATATAATCACTATACTATCAAATTTACCTGGCCGTTAACATGAAATAACGTGACATGCTGTTGGTAGTTGAACTATGATGTACTTATCCATAGATTCTTTGTAGTCTTATCCCATTTTAGGTGGAAAACATGTGAGCCTATGATTACATAAGCATGTCCTTGTGAAATATAAGGCGGCCCCACAGTAGAAATGCAGAGACCAAATGGGTGATGATTAGATTAATATTGGAATGGATGACACCAACATTACAGAAATCCTTCCAAAATAGGCACATGCTTCAACTTTTGACTACAAATGAAAGATGTTTGGGAAATTTTATTACTGGCGACCAGAACTTGAGGACCATTATTTCTAAGAATTTCAGAAGTTGCTTTTTAGTGTCTAAAATTATACTGTCCTTCATAAATGGAATCTAATGGCTTTCCTTCTGTAGGACTGAATATTACACCTAGAGACCTTGCATTGCTCTGTCAGAAGGTATGAGCCTTTAACAAATTATATGATTGGTTGTCATAGAATACAAATATATGATGTTTATGAATTTTTTATCGTTTGACAGGTCGAAAATTTAATCGTTGGAGCTCCTTGTGGAGTGATGGATCAAATGACATCAGCATGTGGTGAAGCAAACAAACTGCTTGCTATGGTTTGCCAGGTAATACTTGTGCCTGTTTCACGAAGGAAAACCATTCTGGCATGGATTCAACTCTTTGTTTGATTAATTCGTCTTCTGCAGCCTGCCGAGGTCAAAGAACTTGTTACTATCCCAACACATATACGTTTCTGGGGTATTGACTCTGGGATACGGCACAGGTACTTTATAAATCTATCCATCCCTCTCATGTTGAATTTATAAAACTAAAATTTATTAACTTTTAACCTACAGACTCATTTGTTTGAAAAATGCTAAAATTTTCTGATGATTTTACATTCTCCATTCCTCAACTGCTTCATGGGGTTGCGATTATTCCACCAAAACTAGGACTTACATAAGGCTTGCTTTCTTTAAAACAGTCTTGTTGACCTGTTCATATTTTCTATCTTATTTACCTATCTGATTTGGAGACATTCGTGGTAGTTAAGCAATAGGAGATTGCTCTTGGGGGCCTATAGGCGGCATGCCCAACCTTCATTCGAGGGTCTGACACATTGCATGTATTAGGCTTATGTTGGGTGGGATTGTGGTGAGTGTTCACTACTCATATACCCGCGGGTCTCTTGAGGGTTTGAGGATTCCTTTATGTTTCATTTGGGATGAAATTAATACCACCTCTTTCTGTGCCCTGTGATCTGGAGTTTTTATAAAGGGTATGCAAATGTGAGTACTTGAGCCTTTATTTTCTTTGCAATATATTCTGCTGTACGAACCACTTTCTAATAGAACTTAATCTCTATGCAGTGTTGGCGGCACAGATTATGGCTCCGTGAGGATAGGTACCTTTATGGGAAGGAAAATCATAAAGTCTGAAGCTTCAGCTTTATTATCCAAATCTCTTGATACGAATACCCTTCTGGGAGTAGATGCCACGAATCCTGATGAATTTGAGGAGGATGGCATCGAGTTGCTTAAAAATGAAAGTTCGATTGATTACTTATGCAACCTCTCAACTCACAGGTGAAGATAGTGCTTTTCATCATGTTGCATTGCTTAGTTTCATCATGTTGCATTGCTTGGTGATAAATTTATTATTGCGTTTGCTTAGATAGCAGACTGACCATCATAATAATCACTTATGTCACTGGAGGAGGTTTCCTCGGTTTCATGTTCAGATTTCCAGAGTACAAATCTGGCCCACAAAAAAAAACTTGTAGCATTGCTCACTTTAAACAGGTCTTTACGAAATTTGGAACATGACCATATCTGAATGTAATGGGCCTTTCTGAATTAAAAAAAAGTTATGCAAAAAATAAACAGTGCCTAGATCTTTCGGGGGGGGAGGGGGGGGGGGTGGGGGGAAGGTATGTGGAGAGGGAGGAGGTGGTAGAAAGATGATGTAGGCCGTTAGTAGAACCTTTGAACAGTCCATGTTGTGCAGACGGAGATCATGAGCTCGGTGAAGAGACAATGCAGAATCCCAAAGGTGTCAAGATGTTCGTTTTAGAGTAACCATGGGTTCTACTACAAGTTATGGAAGTGAATAGATCCATATTTTGGATAGTTATAAATGGTTTATTTAAAAAACTCGTAAAATATATTTTCAAAGAAAAATCCGAATCTTCATATCTTCTTAAGGAAATCAAGTTTGTATTTTACTAAATAATATAATATAATTTTTTCAAAATGATTTTACATGATCTATTTATTTCTCATTGATATCCATTTTTTTCTCAATCCTCCTTTCATCGGCTTATCTTCAATTAAAAAATCTCTTTTTAAGGTTAATTGCCTCAAGAATAAGATATTTGCGGTTGTTTAACAAAAAGGTCTAGAAAATTTTCTTTTCGACGACGAACATGAGAATCGACAGAGTTGTCTAAGGATATTCATAAATAAGAAAAAGAGAAACGCAAATAATTTAGGGTGGGTATCATAGTGAACGATTTTAGAAGTATGGAGGTAGTTGAATGCTGCGTCCTTTTTCTATTCCCTGCTTTTTTTTCAGGTAACTTTATCTTGTCTTCTTTTTTTAAATACCAAGTATCCTTTATAGCACTTTTTATATTTATATTTCCAGAATTGGCTTATAAACATTTACGCTTGAGCACTTTTTTTTTTCAGATACGAAGATTCTTATGCCAAGATTCTTCCAGAGTCTATCCTTGGAGAGACATTTCTAACAAATTACGTCGATCATAATGATCCGGTGACCGTTATTAATCCCAAGCGCATTTATGGAGTCAGGTCACCTACCAAGCATCCCGTATATGAAAACTTCCGAGTGAAGGTAAGTAAATGCGCTGACTACGCTCTTCCATTGTCTTCAAGCTAAAGACCTGGTTAAGGATATCTGTTCTTACGTATACATACAGTCGGCAAATGGAAGATAGCTTCTTATTTTTTTGTCTAGATGGATGGAACCATCAGGCTCGCCAACCATGTTTTCATATGTTTATGATATTCTGTATGATAGCAGTCACGGTAAAGCACGAAAACCATGTTTGTCATAAATTGGCATGATTGCATCATAACATAGTCATATTAGGACTTATCTATGAGGCTCTGAAACTTCTTTAAGCCGTGCCCAAACTTTTTACGAACCCAATAACTTGATACCATTCCAGATGAACATATTCGCTTATCCATCTTATGTGTTATTTCTCTGCAAAAAACCACCTCTTTTATGCGTACCTCTAGGCCTTCAAAGCCTTATTAACGGCAGCAACAACAGATGAACAGCTCTCTGCTCTCGGAGAACTCATGTATCAGGTAACTCAGATTGCTTGGGTGGGGTTATTTCATTGATGAATAAAGATAAAATGCCTGGGATGCGTGAGCTAGTTCAAAGAGTTCGTTCATGGAGATCCCATGTTATCCTAGTTTTTTTGTCCTACATTTCCTTGCAGTGCCACTACAGTTACAGTGACTGCGGGCTAGGCTCCGATGGAACCGACAGACTTGTGAAGCTGGTTCAGGAAATGCAGCACCGCAGGGCGTCAGATGGGAAAAGTAGCCTATTTGGAGCAAAAATCACTGGAGGCGGCTCGGGTGGATCTGTCTGTGTTGTTGGAAGGAATTGCATCCGAAGCAGCAAAGAAATACTCGAGGTAACCAATGCATCCATAACCAGTCGCCGATTTACTGAGGCAACTGATGAAACTTGAAGTCTTCATTCAGATGTGATTGAACAGAGACCCTTAAGATAGTAAATTAATGGGCTTTGGAGATCAGTTTTTGATTCCTTCTACAACAGTTTTAGTCAATGGAATCGAGCATATATACATTCCAGTTAATGATCCTTGTCATGTTTTCTGAAACCAGATACAGCAGCGATATAAGACCGCCACCGGCTACCTGCCTTACATATTTGAGGGCTCCTCACCGGGTGCTGGAAAGTTCGGCTTCTTGAGGCTGCGGCGCCGCCACACCACCGCCGCCTCCAAACCCGGCAAGTGATTTTGCCTCCCCAGAATAAGAATGATAACCATTGCCCCCCAAGATGTCTGCCCATGCGCCTCTCTACCTGAAGAACAGGCCTGCGAGGCGTCCAATAAGCCTCTCTCTGTATACATATACAGCTCTGTAGTTTGCTCTTGAAAAAATTAAGCTCCTTCTCCAATGCATTTTTATTTTTAGATGGCGGTGCTTCTTGGAGGCATGCAATGCAGGCCGGTAACATTCCATGATTGGCAGTCGAGGCAAAGGGGCAGCACGATTAGCGCAAGGAAAAGGCAAATAAAAGGATAAAATTATGCATCAGAGTTCTTCTAGCCCCCTCAGGTTTTGGCTGTGTAGGGAGCACGGCTACAAAACTAGCAATTTTCCCCGCCGGGGGAAGCGGCGGGGGGGTGTTCTCAGGGTGTTCTCACTGGGGACCGAGCTCTGACATCACCTCCCCCCTCCCCCCCCCCCCCGGGACCTTCGAGCGGACCAGTCCCTGTTGGAACTGGGTCTGGGTGATGTTCTTGGTGGTCTGGTGGAGAGCCAGGCCGCCCAGAAGAGCTTCTCAAGTCCACCCAGCACTCAGTGTAATCAAATAAACATCTTCAAGGTAGTAGTCGGGGAGTGCTGGTCTTCTCATGATGAGTACTCAAACGGCTGCGGCGGCTGGGGCTCGTCGTCGACAGCCATTGCCGCCGAGGACGTCGATCCTTGCTGCGCCACTGCAGACCCACCGCCGGTGGTGGATGTCACGGTCGATGGTGCGTCAGTGAGCGCAAGCACCTCCGCTTCAGAGGGCTGTAGATCCCTCAGGAGGACGAATCCTGAGAGAATAGGTCTGCTGGTGTACTTCTGCTTCACGGGGACGTATCTGCTCCCTTCTAGGAGCTTTATATGCTTCTCCTGGGCAGGGAGGACCCGGGAAGGATTCACCAGTGTAGCAGAAGATGGCTCGCTCTCTGGCTTCCTCTCTGACGTAGGCTCCACCTGCAAGTATATCAATAAAAGCGTGAGAAAAATATGGGTAAAGGAGAGAGAAGCGCCCCACTCCATGATTCCTCTCTCCTGAAGAAGGAAAGAGGTGGTATGAAAGCCATTTCTTGAGTGACTAGGAAGCAGCAGAAAGAGTGAAGAGAGGCTGTCACCTGCATGGCATCGGCGGGCTTTTCCGAAGATTTTTGGCTCTTCCCTGACCCTGAAGCCGCCTCTTCGCCAGAACCTCTTTCGGTGTTGGCCTTCTGTTCAGCATCTTTCTTGGCTCTCGCCTTCGCCTTGGCAGATGTGGACAGCACCGCAGTGGGAAGCTTCACGGTGGACAAAGAGGTGGGGGGTGTGGTGGGCCGAGGGTACTCGAACAGAGAAGGTTTGGCGTTCGACAGGAACTCGAAACTGGGGACCTTGAGGTCGTAGTTGAGCCCGATGAAGGCAGTGGGAGAGAACGACAGGCTGATGAAGTATTGGAGCGGGTACCAGTACCAAAACTGACTGAAGACGGCGAGCCCAACAATGGCGGTCATCCTATCGTGACTGTTCTTCGAGAGCAACTTGATCGAGACATTCCGCCCGCCAGCATCGAGAATCCCAGAAGCTAAAATGGCACCCATCTTGCTCATCGTGTCTTCATGTTTATCGAGAATTATCTTCTCCAGTTGGCGCCTGGCACAAGGTAAAGAATCCGGCAGAGAAATGCCGGTGAATCACGAGGATGGAGAAGGGGGGGGAGACGGGTTATCATATCAGAACGGCGGCAGTAGAACATACCTGAACATCCCAACCCGGAAGTCATAGGACTCGTTGACTTGAATCATGACCATGGCCATAGCCAGAAGGGCTCCCTGGCGAACAAAGTCTACGACGTCCGATGTGAGAGGCTCCAACAGAGATATGGCTTCACTGGATCCAGTACCAGCACAGGAAATGCCAACAGCTAATGCCGCACCATACCGTACGTGGGGATTGTAAGATTCCGAGAGCAGGGACACGATTCTTGGAGTCTGTAAATCCATGATCAAGAGGAATGACCGTGAGAAAGTTTGCAGTGGTCTGCAATAGAACCACCGATTTTTTATTTTTTTTTCTGCCAGACAACTGTTGCCTGATGACTAGTCAACCAAGGATGATTGATTTCCTGGTTTATGAAATGATCATCAAACAATGATGGATTGATCAGAGTTATCAAGATGTCACATACAGATGATGTCCCCAGAAGAGAGCCCATGGAGCAATAAGTCAGGGTTTCTTTCTACGAGGAACATGACCTCACAACCAAAATGAAGCCTGATATAGTCTTTCCAGTAGCATCATGGATTTTGCAGAAGCACGAATGACAAGGGTCTAATTTCAAGACAACACTCGGTGAATGAGGACTGCCCAAAACAGATTGTTACCTATAAAATTAGTGAATGTTCTACATAGGCAATGCACATGGGGCTACCAAATCTTGAAGCCATCTAAGAATTAATAAAAAAAAAAAGAGGTATTGTTTATAGATATCTTTAAATTCAAATTCCCTGTAAAAATTCAGATGCTTTCACGTTCTGAAGAACTTTGTCCAGAAAGAAGGGCCTCTCAGGTACCATCAAACTTATATTATCTTCTGCTATCAGACAGACTACTCAACTGACTCTCCTAAAACTTAATCAAAACCCAGAATCACCAGAAAATCTTCTCACGTTTCTTAACCAACACTCTTTCACATACACACAAAAAGAAATAAATAGATCAAGGAATTGAATGAGAACACATGAAACATGTACACTGGGGGGGGGACGGCCCCCACCCCAGATCATAGGGTCACCCACATGATGTACATGACAATATAAAAGGTCGATGGAGCTCACAAAATAAGATTAATATACAAACCTGTTCGGGTTCTGAGCATAGAACAAATCCGAGGGCCAAAACCGCCGTCCTCCTGACATCATCACTCACGTCTGATACAGCAAAATGCAGCAATTGGTGGATAGCCTTATTGTTGGAGGTCCCTCTGTAGGCCAAAGCCAATGCGTACATCCCACCATACCGAAGAATCGGATCTTGATCTCTTGTCATCTGCTCAATCAATGTGTCGGCCTCCTCTTCCCTCCCATAAACTGTCAGCGCGATCCCGAGGGATAACCCCCTGAAACAATAGTGAAGACATGAGCTAAGAGATGCATGAAAAAAAAAGAAAAAGAAAACTGCACATCACATGATATACGAAGTTTTGTAATGTTCTTTGCCAAAAACCAATGCAATGCAGAATAATACAGTTCGTAAGCCTCATTTCAGTTCTCAGGTCTTCATATCGTCCGAGGATTAAGCACATTAAAATTGAGGCCATTGGTCTGCAATAATTTCAATCCACCTCAAATTCCAGGGAGTCTTATAGTTGCCAGCATCAGTATTCAAAAACCAGTTGTTGTAATGATTAACCACCCAAAACAGAGTTAAAACAGATGGCCGATTACCACCACTGGTCTAGATTGTGTTAAGGAAATAAGACGCGCCATGCAACAGAACAGTCTCACCTAATTATTTTCTCGTGTTGTGTATCATGTGCATACGCAAGCATCTCACTCGCCTTCTTGCTGGACGTTCCAACCATAAGTAATCCCATACAGATACCAGCGGCCTCACCAGCTACTGCACTGTCTGTATACAGGACATTCTTTACATCTTCATATATTTCCTCATCTGCAGTTCCCAGGGCTGCCAATCCCAGACCTAAACAAGCACCATGCTGGATGACCTGAAGCCGGGAAAAAGCACTTTCGTTAACCTCAAGCAATCAAAAATCTTGGATAATGGAAGTTATGCTGAAAAGGGGTAAAACAGGCACCTCAGAATTAGTATTCCGAAGACTTTCACGAAGAAATTGTTTGATGCCTTCACCATGATTCGCATGAATAAGGCCCAGAGCGTAAAGAGCACCACCTTCTGAGTATGGACTAGAGCTAGCCGCTGCACCACTCTGGGGCAGGTAAGGTGCCATCAGAGACCTACCTTGCTGAAGGTGACCTCTGTGAATGACACCTAACCCAGCAGTGGCACTGAACTTAGCCCAGTTAGTTGCCCTACTCAACCATTCCTAGATTATCATAGAGCTATAATCAGTCAGGTGGAAAAAGAGGAATACCAGATCAAGATCTAAACCGAAAAACTGTATAAACAAGTGGAAATTTAACGTCACCAGATTTTCCCTAAGAAATGTGTCCACAGTTGTTCCAGCGTGCATTAATGCATTGGCACAAATAGTTGCACTGTGACAAACACTGTTTCTCATTTCCACCGACTGCTTTATTGTCTTCAGAATCAAAAGATCCGACCTATTCATGTATCCCGATCATCATAAAAACTTTTCACAAAAACCCCTCCCCCAAAAAGGAGAGTTTCTAAAATAAAAAAGGTGGATAATGCTAAAAAATAATGTCTAACCTGTTATGGCTATAGAGAAATTGCAAAGTTAGCTGTATTGGAGTCTCTCCAGATAAAATTCCCTTAAGCTTTGTGAAGTCATTGGGCTCCTTTACCCCTGATGCTGGATTCGAACCATTAGGACCATCGATATGAGCATCCACTGTGGCGCTTGTAGGAATTATAACATCAGTAGAAACATATCCATTTGGTGAGCCTGTTTCAACGTGTTCAGGGTCAACTGACTCCACAGGCTGTCCACTCAAAGCTTGCGGTCGGGAGTCTGGCAGACGATCTCTCACTTTTAAAAGAAAGGCTTGATGCTCATTCTCCACAAGATCGAATGCTATCTGGAAGGCCAGAAGAGCATCATCCTGACAAAAAGTTTAAATTCATTAAGCAGCCGTTCAGATTGTGTGCGTGAAAATGAATCCAAGTACACAAAGTACCTTGCTTCCAGACAGGAGAAGCTTCTCAAGTATAGCAGCAACGCCTTCAGGTTCATTTAGAAACATAAGACATTGGCAGATGCTCACGTAATCAGGAGATGGCAAACTCTGGTAAATTTTAACAAGAAGCCGAAGAACCTGCAAGGATGTAGGTAATATATAGTCAGGGCCTAAACTGGGAAATGGTCAGGTAAATTTTAGAAAAGACGAAAGGGTATTTATTAAATACCAATGAAAAAGGTTTCAACAGAATAAAAGAAATAGTCGAGAAGTTCTTCGAAAATCTTCACATCCATCTACAAAGGAGAGCTGAACTAAGCACATCCAAATAAATTGTTTTCACATCTCCCAATTTGATTTCTTTGTTCACCCTCCCCCAGCAGAAAGTGGGCCAAACAGCATAACCCTCACCTTTCACTCCCCAGAGAAATTTTCTTTGAATATAGAAAGCACGTTCGCATGTCCTCAAGAAACAAAAAGTGATCAACTCCATCAACAGCGCAAAAAACCTCCTCAAATAAAAAAAAAATGCTACTATATTTACTGCTGGCCCTAAGCCAGATTCAAGAACCAGCATCTCACTTAAGAGGCTCTAAACTCCTCAAATCAAAACCTACCCCACATATCCATAAATAGATTATGTTATAGATGATCACCCAGTAGTAGTCGGTAACGCATACAATTTTGAATCATTTGACATTAGATTCAAGGAATGCTGAACGAAGTGGAAGGATGCATACCTCAGAACGGTATTCTCTGTGATTGACGAAGGTGTGGGAAAGGTTAATACAATATGCAAGTGCACTGTGAACGTTATCACTGCGCATAATTGTTTCTTCTAGCTTATCCAATCTTCTACACTCAACAGCCATTCCCATTGCTTGTTGATACTTTTCATCTAAAATACATCTACAGAATAAAAAAAAAGAATCAATCCCTTCAAATTGAATCAACCACTATACTTCTATAGGTCCGCAATGGTCATGATATATAAAGACTTCAATCATTTTGGATGGAATGTATCACATACTTATTTAGCATTCTTTCCACAATGGCCTCCAATCTTGGATCAATCGTGACAGCTTCTTCATTAGACTTTAAATACTTCGACTTAAGACTCGCATATTCGTCTAAAGCTTTGGCTGAAATGGAAATAACACAGGATTTAGTAGTTTCCCTAGACGAGGTGCAAGGTATCTGCGAGAGAAAAGCCTTCCTACCGAGAAGAGTGTGGGCGTAATCAGAAATCTCAGAAACATCAAATAATGGTCCAGCACCAAGAGCATAAGACAATGAGTCATTAAGTTCTCCAAGGTAGTAAAATACCTGCCAAAGGGTGAAACAAGGACCCATATAAGCAAGGTCAAGAGAAGACAACATAATGGCGTACAAATACAAACCAGAGCAGTTATCAACAATTCTTGTATGGACATAAACAATCGTCAATTGAATTTATCTCAGCATTAACAAACCATGGCTGACGAACATAATAAAATCACAACCCAACACGAAAGGCATCTATTGGGCATAGACAACAGATCTAAACAGTACAGCATCTATTGCATTAAATTTTTAGTACACATACGATAAAAATAAATCAAAATAATAAAAACTATATGAACTGCATAAAGGCGGCCTTTATGCCTTAAGTGATTCAACACAGAAGAATGAATATTTAAATAAAAATATGAAGTAAATAGGCGAGTCTTTTAGTCAGGAATTTTTCGATTTCGATGCCCCATATTTGGATTAAAAACAGCCTCATTGTCAGATTATAAGAAAAGTTTAACTAGTTTACTTCTTAAGGTTCCTACGTGTCTGGGCAAGGGTTATTCCACCGTTATTGTCATATAACAAGAATATAATTCATCAGATTATTCATGAATTATAAGACTTTCTACAACCCAAAAAAAAAAAAAAACAGCAACAACCAGGCATCCCTGTCCATTTTTTCCCCAGAATAGCATGAAGTGTTGGAAATAAACCCTCCTTCCTATAGCCTCGTTGACCAACAACTCTACTGTGAACTAAAGTTCTAGGTTTCCCTAATCTAGGTTTAACTCTTTGCACGCCCTACCCGCACAAAGTTTATGAATAAGGTTTCATTCTATCGAATACTTGATTTCCATCGTTAAAAAGCATTCCTCTTTCAAAATCAACATCAAATACAGTATCCGTATCATTGATGTGAATAGTTCTCAGAACTACCTTAGACCTGTATCAAGTGATGTTTCAATTAGAGAGAAAGCCAATGATAACTTCAAGAAAAAATACGCTAGTATTGGCTAACTTCGAAATCATGGTTCGGTACTTCCTGGTTGATAAGCTCATCGATGATCACATTCAGTAGTTGAGGTTAAAGATGAGCTAACACATTTTATCATTAAATATGCACAACTTAGCTAATTTTCGATAATCTACTTGACGTGATATGCATTACAATACTTTTTGTTTCGTATAAAACTTTTAATACCCCATAACATGTTTCAAGAACACATACTTTGGTGGTCGTACGGTAATGTTTACTTTCATTAAGTATGGTCTCCATTATGATGGCGACATGGCAAACATAAAACAGTGAAGGTGCCAACCACAGCGAACACCTTTCAGTTCCACTTGCGAGGGATTCAAAGTCTTGTTCTCCTACAGAATTACACTACATATGTTACAGCTTAAGAACTTTGCCCTATAATCCGAAACAATGTTAAGAAAAGGATGATAATAATTCTTATTTTCGACTGCTTTGGCAACTTGCGAGTTCGCTATCAATAAAAAATGCTGCTAGACACACACAATATTGGAAGTCCCATATCCTTGAATGATCTCGTTGTCACCTGTGCCAGCAACCTATCTTCTTCAATTTCCACCTTTTAAACACAAAATGACGAATGAAAGGTGACCGCTTTTAATGCAAAAGTAATTAAGCCTCCATTTCTCAATCTCCTCCGAATAAACTATGGCATTCTTGGCACCAACTTCACGATCCAAGATATTAATAAGAATAAAATGGGAAAGACTAGATGCACAATACGGATAAACCACTAGTTCTTTCCTTTCTCCCTACTAGTCTCTAAACATATGTTTCCAATCTACCTCATATCACAAAGTTACCCCATCATAACTTACAAATGAAGATAATATCGTCAATATGTAGGCTATGAGTGATTTGAGGGTCCGTAGCATGTAAATAAAAGCCCCTTTTAAGACCTGTTCTCACTAAATGGTCCCACACGACACTCATGGAATAGAGTAAACATGAGAGACAAAAAGACAAAGAGAACAGTGAACGTGGAACAGGGAAAGAAATAAAAACGACCGCTAGATTCAATCCTCTCGTGGTATAGAGTAACTAGTTAGTCAGTCGTTTACCAGTGCCATTAGCATCGAGTACATTATATGGTCCGTGGTTCAACCATTGATTATCCGACATAGTATCCTATAAAATCTAACGATGGCAATTCTGCCCCACCCTGTCGCAAGCCCTCTTAAAGTCTAAGATCATCAACCACTTCAGGCATATCTTGTGGCACAAATTTACCGGCGAAAAAATAAGCAATCCCAAATATGAATATTTATGGAGAGGAAGTTCATGAAGGATTGAGTGATGAAAGTCACTCAATCCTCCATGAACTTCCTCTCAATAAAATAAATGACTTGACGGAAGGATATAATATAGAGACAGATTGAGAAGAGACAAAAGGAGGGAGGGAGAAGTCAAGGAATTAGAGATATTACTCATTTCCCCCAGTGGTGGAAAAGAGAAATCATTAGGCATAACGATGGTCAGTATAACGGTCCAAATTTCTTCATCTTTATACAAAAGCATCTGCTGGAAATTATCGTTAATATTGGATATCCCGGTGAGTTAGGCTCGTGCCATGCAGTACCACACTGGGACTGCACTGGATAAATGCAGAACGCTCACATACCAAATTTCAAGTCAACCAAAAAAATTCCCCACAACGAAAACATGCTGTTTCTTGGCTCTGTCAGGTTTTCGCAAATGTGATTATGAGAAAAGGCGAGCCAGCGTGGTCTAATAATTTGATGCACCATGTCGGGACCTGGGGTTTGTTGTTGTCAATGGCCAGGCTAGTCCTTGATTATAAGGTTGATTACCATTCGAGAAGGTCTCATTTTTGTTCTTGGTCGAGTTAGCTGGTTTCACTAAAGCCGTACAATATCACCCCCACGTTTACAGGAAAAAAAGGCTCACGCATATCCCAAAGCTAACAAAGCATAAAGTCAAAGATAACAAAAATCTCACCTTCGACGCTACCAACGCAGCGAGTTGCCTCTGCTCGAACTCCTCGTCCTCATACAGGCTTTCACTGCAGAGCGCGAAAGACAGAGAGAGAGAGAGAGAGCGAAGGGAGAGCACATCAGTGTCTTCAAATATTTGTTATAGGTTTCGTCGCCAAGAAAACAACATTAAAGAAAAATGAACATACATAGAAAAATGAGGGGCACAGGCACGGGCAACAGAAGGGAATGTGGAAAGAAATGATTGATAAGCACATAGACTGTTTGCTGGTCTCAAAGATTCAAGTTTTAAATTGAGTCAAAGATCCACAAACAGCCACAGTTCACAAATCTACCCGGATCTGTTTCGACTGCCAGTCGGGAGATTCCACGGAACCCTAGAACGAGCAAGGAGGACGAGGGGGAATGGATGCCAGGATGGGGAGGAAGAATCACGGACATGGTGGGGACGCTGGTGGAGATCTCCGGCCAGAAGAGGTGGATGAGCGAGTTGATTTTCTCGAGAGCGTGCAGCTTGAGCTCCGGGTGAGGCTCGTTGAGCATGGCCAGCAGCCCGCTGGCCGAACTCGGCGAGGCCAACGTCGTCGCCACCATCTCTCCCCTCTTTCCGCCGACCCTCCCCACCGCCAGCGCTTGCGAGGCACCGGATCTCCGCCGCTCTCTTCCCCTTCGTCGCCCTTCTCAGTGGCCGAGAGATTGCCGACCCCCCAAGCAACAACAGAACGTTTAATGGAGCCTAAGACAGCGCCGCTCTGTTCAAGTACTCCCCAGAACACTCAGCCCATTATTGTTTCCGCAAAAATAAATATTTAAATGTTTCTTCTTCTTTAAATAAAAAACAATATTTCCAAAATATCCCGACTTTCCAAAAACGGCGAGGAAAATAAATCCGCTAGCAGGCAGCTGATCGCGCAGATGGGCCTATGAGGGGTGGCCCAAAAGGGGAACTGTGGACTCCGTCGGCATCGGCCCAGGTCCACGGCGGGCTTTTGGGACGCGGGCCCAAGAGCAAGATTCTCGGAGGAACAGAACAGTTGACCTGCAGTTGACCTATGCCTGCCTGACAAGTCTTTGACGGGCGTCGCCTTGTTGTCCGTCCCTCGACCGAGCGCGGGGCTGACCGTCCCGCCCGTCGTGTGCGAGGGCGACCAATCGGTAACTCTTTTTAAGTTTAGACTGGCCATTATTAGCAGACAGGATAGGAGGACTGGAATGAATCTCTCTGAGGGCTATCGGGGGGGGGGGGGCAGCGCCGCTCCCCGGATGGGGAGGACGAAGGGGTCAACGTCGAGCAAGCTGGCGGCGCTTGGCGTGGGCTTCGGGCATTGAATGCGAGCTCGGCCCATCCGTCCGCCACTGGGGCCCCCCGCCGTCGGCAGGATGGTCTGACATGCCGACTGCAGTGCGCCGTTTTTCCTTGCCCAAATGAATTCGGCGGGGCCCGCCGCAAACATGCGGACTTCCTTCACCGACCCTTCGCCGGACAACGTTGACCGGGCGGTGGATGGCCTCTTAGACGGGAACGGCCCTCTCTACTCTCGTCCGGTTTCTGAAGAGGAAGAAGAAGAAGAAGAAAAAGAAGAAGAAGGGAGGGCAGTAATTAATTGGGCCCCGCCGATTGGCCTGACGCATCCAAATCCTGTCCCCTCCAACATGAACAGGTCGACCACCTGAGCCGGAAGAGGGAATTGGAAGTTCCTCACTCCCTCACTTACTCCCTCCCCGCCGGTGATGGGTCTCATCTCGGGTGACACGCCAGACCCCCGAAAGCAGCGGCGGCGTATTAGAGTGGACGTAGAATTCCGCTGCTCGTCGATTCCACGCTGAAACCAGGTGGGTTAGCTACGTAGGGCGTCGAGGGTGGTCCGCCGTAGCACGTTGGTCCACGGGTTGGGGAGCGGGTGGAGCTGCCGCACGGCGGCGGCGCGGCTCGTCTTGTCCGAAGGAATCTCCCTAGCGACTGTAGGGAGGGACCCTGCTACTGCGTAATGGATCGATTGGGGATGCTCCTCTCTCGGAAAGTACGGTTGCTTCCACGTCGCGTTGGTGTCTCGTGGATGTGACCGAATGGCGGACGGCCAGGCTGGATGCCGCTCTGCGAGCAGCCGCCGGTCACATCCCACCGACCGACCCCAGGGCGCCGCTGTGGCATAGAAGGAGAATAGGCAATGGGCAATGGGCAATGGGCAATGGGCTGGAATGGAAGGAAGATAAGGCGCTGTTCCGACGGACCCCCCGGGAACCACCGGTCGCCACCCCTCCCAGGATGTCACCCTCTCTCTCTCTCTCTCTACCATTCACTATCTCTGTCTATCTCTCTATCTACCTGATGTGTGTGGGGGTGGAGCTGCTTGTCTCGTCGGCGTATATAATAATGGCCGGAGATGGCTTCTGCGGAGACCATGTTATGGACAGGAGGGGTCCTCTCCGCTCCACTTGTTTAATGAACCGTCTGGAGCAGAGAGCTGAAGGAGACGACCCGTCACATGGGGTGGCGCCGCCGGACATGGCCGCTGCGCCGTCGTCTGTCTCATCCTCCACCTGCGTGTGTGGACTAAAGAAAGGGGTCTCCTCCAGTGAACGCGTTCCATCTCTTTGTGGTCTCCTACTCCACAATTATTCACAATTCCGATCGTCGCTCTCCCTCGACGAAAGCTTGATTCGACCGACGACGACTTAATGTCTGTCTGTCTGCCTGAGCTGTGAGCAAAAGGTCGTCGTCGATCTCGCCAGCGTGGCGGTTCTTCTCTTCAGAGAAGAGCATGACGCCGGAGGGGGAAGAAGATGCCGGGAAGAGAACCCCGGGGCATGGGCCACCGTTGAGAAAGGAGCGCCGGCACCATCTTTCCCAGATTCCTCCCTGGCCTTTAAAGATATAAAGGCTGCGTGCAACACTAACTAGCTTGGGATCATGGGGGGTACTGTGCAGGATGGGTTCTGCGGCGGTGGCGGCCGGCTGCCAGTCCGCCACCAGCCGGCTCAGGTCAGTCCCTCCTGCCCGCCATCGTCGTCCTCCACGACGAGCTTGCGTCCTGGGGGAAGCGGCTGAGCCCCTTACGCATCAGGCGCAGTCACAAAATGGAGGGAGGGATTAACGCAACCAACGATAGTTGGTGGCGGCGGCGGCGAATCTCTTCAGCAGTAGCTTGCAGGGCTTCAATTTCCCACTCCCACGCGCCGGCGCCTCCCGTGAGAATCTCGTTCTTAATACGGCGGGGAAGGGGGGTAGGGGGACGCTCTATCGTCAGGCGGCTGCAGTTGCTGCACCATCATATAAATAAAGAATCGACGATCCTCCCGATCCTACCAACCAGCAGTCCACGAATCGGCATCGGCTTGACAAGGGGAGGGAGGACGGCAGGTGATGTCAGAGAGCGAGCGGTTCCCATTCGGGAAAGGCCGAGAAGAGCCACACATGCGCCGGGCTTCGCGGTCGATCGAGGGCCGAGGATACAGAGTTGACTAAAGAAGGTGAGGCGGAAAGGAGAGGCCTTTCGTTCCCTGCCGCGATGGGGGCTGGCGGTCAATCCACTGGCGAGGAAGAGAGGGGAAGGGGGGGGGGAGTTAAGGAGATTTATTACACTCCGGCGGGCGGACCCCGTCGCCGAATCCCTGGGGAGCGCCGATAAACCAGCCACGTGTCACCTCCTCGCAGCGCGTGTCGATGCGTCGGAACGCTCGGCGGCGGTGCCAAAAGCGGCGGAGTTTCTGCCGTCCCCGTCTCTGGCTTTCAGACCACACGCAAAGAGCACGCCGGAGCAGAGTCCGATGTCTGGAAACGGCCGCTGCGGCGCCGGAAATCCAGGAAATCGAGGAGCTGCCGGAGAGCCGCCGCTCCGCGAGATGCCACGGCGGCGCCGCTGCGGCTGGACAGCGCCCCAGAAAGCGGGACCGTGTAACAGTGCGAAGCGGAAATCCAGGCCCGACGTCGAACCGACGGATCTCCGCCAAACAGGGGGGGGGGGGAGGGCGCGTCGCCGACAATTGGTGGGGCAGTGCCACGTGGAGATCTGTCACTCGCCGGCGACTCATCGCGGCTAGGAGAGCCAGTAGAATAGGATACGATGCGGTTAGGATTAACGGTGCCGCTCGTCGCCCGGATAAACGGCCTCCGCGCTTGTCCGTACCACCCATCCCACGTTGACGGCCGTATTTTCCGGCTGGAGCGTGCGGGTTTCAGGGTTGGACTCGGTAAGTCCATCCCCCTCTCTCTGTCTCTCCCTGTCTCTCTCTGTCTCTCTCTGTCTCTGTCTGTCTCTCTCTGTCTCTCTGTCTCTCTATGCGTAGTGATTCAAGATGGAATGGAGGCTTTCTGGGAAGAAGCGAGGAAGAAAGGGCCTTTTCGGGAAGTCCATCCCATTCGCCGGCGGATCATCCCGTCAGGCGACGGCGACGGCGACGGCCATTGGGTCCGTCGGCCTTTCGTTTTCTCCACATTAGATGCTCGATCTCGTTATCCCTCTAAAGCAGAGGGGGAAGGTGGGTGGGGGGAGGTGGTGGGCGGAGGGGGAGGGGGGGTCTGCGAGAAGGGAGGTCCCCTTCGGCGGCGTTCCTGTGTCATTTATTACTGCGACGGAGGTGAAGGGGCGACCGGACATTCTCGGCGCAGAGGTCCCCCGCTGCGAAAGAAACAGCGAGGGAATGATAAAGAAATCCAGTCCAGGCGCGGCACGGAAGGCGCGGACGGAGCTCTCCGAGAATCACCCGCGGCGCGGCCAATGGGGCCCCTCCGGGTGGCAACTCGGGAAGTGAGCCCCACTGCCGGCGCCCGTCGCCGGAAAAAGCGGCGGTGGGGGCCGAGACTGTAGCACGATGAGGGTGGGTAGCATTTCGGGAAGCGGAGGTCGCCGGCCTGGGGGATTTGTTTATGGCGAGACGGAGTTTAGAACAGTCCGTCCTGTGTGGACCCCGCGCAGTGATGCCCGTCTTCATAATCTTCATGGCCTTTTGACTTCATCATCGTCCGCCGCATTTTGGAGCTTAGCCCCGACTCGGGGAGACCCAGCTCAGGTAGACACAGGGAGAGGGGGGAGAGAGAGAGAGAGGGGGGGAGGGGACAGTGGGAAGGGCGCAGGCAGGGCTAGAGGGGAGCGGTGGAAGCGGGGATGGTGGCTGCTGTCCGGTGAGTGTAGGGGGGAATAGGGGACACTTTTTGGAGGACACGCCCTGCTTTTCTTTGCCGCTGCTGGCGCTTCCCCCTCTCTGGTCGGGGCCAGAGGGAGGAAGACACTGACCCAGAAGCCGACCGCCCCCTGCCGCTCCCTCGGCGGCACGGGCTCCGCCTCTCTGCTGCTCCTGATGCCGATGCTGCTGCTGCCGCTGGCCCCCTACCGCCCCCTCCACCGGCGACGCTGATATTGGCCTTCTACTAGTCTGGTCCAACCCCCCGGAGCCGCCTCCCCCCCGGGGGGCCGCCTCCCTCGCCGGAGGCGCTTGCCTGCGGTCTCCTCTGACTCTGCTCCGCCGCCTATGGCCGGTCAATTTCTGCGCGCGGGGGGTTTCGCGGTCACCGTGCGGAAACAAAGCTTCTGATCTAATCGCCGACGGAGGCTGGAGTTTGGTTGGTGGTGGCGCTGACCTCGCTGCGTCTAGCGTTCAGTCCCGAGGCACCGGTCACTCTCTTCGCTTTTATTCGAGGTCAATCTCCGAGGGAGCTCGAGTTTCGACCCTCTTCGTCTGAATCTCCCCCGTTCCCCGGCTCGCCTAAATTCCAAGTTGAACCTGAAGGGGGGCGGGCAGGAAGGAGCTGAGTGCCGGCGAAAGGAGGCCTGATGAGCACCTACCGTCTGATCAGGCGTGGCGATGAGGCGGCGTCGGCGCTGAGCATCTGATTCGGCGTTGGGACGGAGGGACGATGAAGGCAGCAGGGAGCACCAGCGCGCCGGCGGCGGCGGGCATGAGCCCCTCCGGAGGTGATGTGTTCTTCGTCATCGTTTTCAGTCACCCGGATTAAACCTGAGAACCCCAGAGATGCGTCATCGTTTACACTGACGCATCTCGACTGCGGATTGCTGCGCAGGCGGCGAGAGGAGGAGCATCAACCCCGAGCTGTGGTACGCATGCGCTGGGCCGCTGGTGAACCTCCCCCCCGTGGGGAGCCTCGTTGTCTACTTCCCCCAGGGCCACAGCGAGCAGGTAAAACGAAATCGCAGGGCCTCTCCTTCCTGCCGACCGCCCCTCTCCATTTCCAAACTCCGGCCTTCGTTCCTTCGCGGCGGAAACGGACGGGCGGCCGCCGGAGTTTGAAGCTCGCCGCGTGGGGCTGCGTCGACAATTATGGATCGAGCTTCCAATATTCCCCCCCTCCCAAAATCCAGATCCTATGCTCTCTCTCCCTCTCTCGCTGCACTGGCGGGTCGTCCTCGTCTGGTTCCCGGAAACGGTTGGTTGTTTCACCGGAGCTCAGGATTCCATCCACAGCTCTTCTGATCTCTGGGGCCTGTCCATCCTCGTCGTCTTCCTCGGAGAAGTTGCTCTTCTGACCTCTCTAGTAACAGCCATCCCTTGCCTTCACGTTTCCTTCGGCTCCTCCAGGTTGCCGAAACTCTTCTCCCCTATGTACATCCAAAGCTCGGTGTTTCCAAGTCGCTCGTGCCCTATTTTTCTGAGGATTCTGTCCTCTGCAATGGCTTCGATTCAAGCGAGTTCTCTCCCCTCCCCCCCTCTTTCAGGTGGCGGCTACCATGCTGAAGGATGCGGACGCCCAGATCCCGAACTACCCGAATCTCCCCTGGAAGATGATCTGCCTCCTTCACAGCGTCACTCTGCACGTAGACCCCCGCCTTCAGTTCTCCAAACTCTCCCTTTCCATCACCATAATTTAAAGCAAAAATCAAATGCTTAATCTTTCAACGATTATTCTTCGAATTTCCCAGGCGGATCCGGAGACCGATGAAGTGTACGCTCAGATGACTCTCCAGCCAGCGAATACGGTCAGTGCCAATCTCTGCTCGACAGGCGGCTGAGCTTGCGGCCGAACACGCGGTCGTCTGAGATCTCTCTTCTCTGGGCAGGGTGATAAGGAGGCGTTCCTGGCTTCCGATGCTCCGCTCAAGTTGAATCGCCCGCAGACCGAGTTCTTCTGCAAGACGTTGACCGCGAGCGACACGAGCACCCACGGAGGCTTCTCCGTGCCTCGCCGCGCTGCGGAGAAGATCTTCCCTCCCCTGGTAAGCGATCATTTCTTCTAGTCCGCGAACCCCCGAGGAGCTCCTGGTTCTCCTCCGCCTTACCTTCAACCCCGTCGCGCAGGACTTCTCGATGCAGCCCCCCGCACAGGAACTCCAAGTGAGGGACCTCCACGACAACGTCTGGACTTTCCGACATATCTACCGGGGTACGCGAACTGGCGCATCCACGAGGATCCGCGCGTGATCTTCGTCCCTGCAACTATTCTGTTCATGGGCATAATGATTCCACTTTACTACATTAAAAAAATAAAAGGTTCTCTTCTCACTCGGCTCGATCCTGACTCAGGCCAGCCGAAACGGCACCTGCTCACCACCGGGTGGAGCTTGTTCGTCAGTGGGAAGAGGCTCGTCGCCGGAGACTCTGTCTTGTTCATCAGGCATGAAGTTCTTACCGCTCTTATCCTACCCAGCCAAGATCGGAGGGTCCAAGCTTCCCACTTTTTATTCTGATTCATCTATTTGGGCGTAATGGCAGGGACGAGAAGCAGCAGCTTCTCCTGGGGATCAGGCGGGCGAACAGGCAGCCCACGAACATATCCTCGTCAGTGTTGTCTAGCGACAGCATGCAGATCGGCATTCTGGCGGCGGCCGCCCATGCTTATGCGAACCACAGCCCTTTCACGGTGTTTTATAATCCAAGGTTGGTCTGTTTCGAACACGAATAATTTTTTTATTTTATATTCTGAAAAGAGTATTTTTTTATGATGACGGGAAAATTTTAGAGCCCGGGTGAGGACTGGAATGTCTGGAATATTTCCTTTCTCTGGCTTGATATTTTCAAGGGCATGAAAAAAAATCTATGAACAGACATTATTTTAATAACATACAGAAAATTTAATAATGTCATGGGCCGAAGTGACTGAAACATATTTTTAATAATTTTCAATTTTTAAGGGCATGGAGCAAAAAAGAAAAAATATTTCTCAAAATGGTTGTGTTTTTTTTAATATCGGGAAAAATGTATTGTCCAGTGTTGAGTACTGAAATGACCGGAATATTCTTCCTAGAAAAATTCCTAGCTGAGGTTATTAGGCTGTTCGGATTCTTCCATCTGCTCGGAGAATATCATCTGGGTTTGAAGATGCTCCTAGAAAAAACATGTATTATTCAGTGTTGTCTCAAACATCATCTGGGTTTGAAGACGCTCTTCTGCTGCAGAGCCAGTCCCTCGGAGTTCGTCATCCCCCTCGCCAAGTACAACAAGGCAATCTACAGCAACCAGCTCTCCCTCGGCATGCGCTTTCGGATGATGTTTGAAACCGAGGAATCAGGGACCCGAAGGTGATCACCCGCCTCGTCGCTCGATGATTCCGGCTCCTAATCTGCGCGTTTCAGCAGTGGATATATTCCAGCTTCCTTCGTCATCTCTCCGACGAAAACGAAGGAGAAAGGGAGATGCGTCACTACTATCTCTGTTGTTGCCAATGTGCGGTCTTAATCTCCTCACTGCAGGTACATGGGGACGATCACAGGCATCGGCGATCTGGACCCTGTGAGGTGGAAGAACTCGAAATGGCGTAATCTTCAGGTCCACTGCCCGGTTCATGATCCCTTCTTTCTTTGCTCCTCTGTTTCTCTGAGCGTTCGTCACATCGGTGCTGCTGGAGCAGGTCGGATGGGATGAGTCGACCGCTGGGGAGAGACGGAGCAGGGTGTCCGTGTGGGAGATCGAGCCAGTGCAGGCCCCTTTCTTCATCTGCCCCCCTCCGTTCTTCAGATCAAAGCGCCCCAGACAGCCCGGAATGCCTGGTGATTGTCCCCTTAAATCGGTCAAAAATCTATATTTTCTCTGATCCGTATTGAAGTTACTCTCCCGGGTCTCTCGCCGATCTTGAGATCTTTACCTGGATGTGATTGGATTTCTTCTTCTGTTCTCTGCAGATGATGACTCTTCGGACATGGAGAGCCTCTTCAAGAAGGCCATGCCCTGGTTAGGGGACGAGATCTACCTGAAGGACTCTCAAGGTCAGAATGCGGGCATCCATGGCCTGAGCTTGGTCCAGTGGATGAATATGCAGAACTCTCCCATTACGGGCTCGGCGCTTCAGCCCGACTACCTAAGGTCAATGACCGGGCCCGTCGTTCAGAACTACAGCGCTTCAGATATCTCCAAGCAGCTTAACCTGCAAGCCCAGATGCTGCAGCAGAGCAACATGCAGTTCGGTGGTTCAAAGCCGCTCCTGCAGCAGACCCAGCAGATCGACCATCTCTCCAAGCTGGCGGTCCCTCAAGACCAAGCGGGCGCCAGCTCCATCCCGCAGCAGCAGATGCAGCAGATCAACCAGCAGCAGAGGCAGCAGCTGATCGCCAGTGAAGCTCTGCCTTTGAACCAAAATCAGAATAACGTTCTACAGCCCCAGATAATAGTCCAGAGTCATCAACTCCAGCAGCAGCAGCAGCAGCAGCAACCACAGATTCAGAATCACCAGCCTCTGCCTCCCACCTCCTCCCCCCTTAATCTGCCGCAGCAGCAGCAGCAGCTCCGACTGCTCCAGCAGCCTCAACAGCAGCATCTTCTTCTTCTGCAGCAGCAGCAACAGCAGCAGCAGCTTCAGGGTAGAATGTCAGCGCAGCTGCTTCATCATCAAGCAACGCAGCAGACGCAGTTGTCAGAACAGCAGATTCATCTACAGCTCTTGCAAAAACTTCAGCAGCAGCAGCATCTCTTGGGACAACCTCCATTTCAGCAGCAGCAAGCGCCCGAGCAGCAGAAGGTGCCTCTGGACCAGCATACGCCCCATTTGCCAAACCTGCAGTCGCTCCCTCAGCAGCACGCAGCCCTGAATCAGACCACAAAGAACTCTCCGGCAGGGATGATGCAATTTCCTCAGGCGATGCAGCACCAGCTGCAGCAGAAGTTTCAGCAACCTCAGGCTGCTCCGACCGAGATGATGGAGGTCGCTGTCCCCCAGTCATCCGTCAACTTGCTCTCAGCAGCGGGCAGCGGCTTCCTGGCCTCGAGAGGAGCTCAGTCGGTTCTCACTGAAGATGTCCCGTCCTGTTCTACCTCCCCGTCGACAAACAACTGCTCCGCTCTCCCCCCAACAGCCATCGGTAGCAAGACGCAGCAGCAGCAGCAGCATGGCATTGCCACCGCGGAGGAGATGTCCCAATCTGCCATCACGATCATGAGCTCTGCTTCTTTTGCCGACATAAAGCCTTCGATTTCTACTGCGAAGCTGCAGCAACCTTTGGTGCCCACCACCAGGGCAGCTTTTGCACCTCAACAAGCGTACGTCAACAACGCCGCTCATATGGATTATCTGGATGCCTCCTCTTCGGGAGCGTCGGTGTGCCTCCCTCAGACAGAAGCCCACGAATTGCAGCAGAACTTTCCTCTGTCGTCGTTCAGTCAGCAGCCTTTGTTCTTCAGAGATGGCGGGCAGGGGAGCGAAGTGCCGGCATCAGATCCCAGGAACAACGTTCTCTTTGGGGTCAACATCGAGAGCCCGCTTAGGATACCCATCCCCAGCGATCCCTTGCTGGAGAAGGGCGTCGACTCGGCGAGAGATTATCAGAATCATCTCACGTCAGACACCACCCAGGCAGAGCTTTCGTCGTCAATGGTCTCCCAGTCTTTTGGAGTTCCGGACATCGACTCTAACATCAACGACGGGAACTTATTAAATAAGTGCTCGTGGGCTCCGCCGCCCCAGTTTCAGAGGATGAGGACGTACACCAAGGTCCGATCTTTGTCATCCATTTGCGAACCCTCCTAGCAAGAACATGCGGGCTGCTGCTCTTAGTTTTTCTTTCTTTCTTTCTTTTTTCTTGAACATCGCCCGTGGATCTGAAATCGCAGGTATACAAGCGTGGAGCAGTCGGCAGGTCGATAGACATCACGCGGTATTCCGGCTATGACGAGCTGAAGCAAGATCTCGCCAGGATGTTCAGCATCGAGGGGCAGCTTGAGGATCGTCAGAGAATAGGATGGAAGCTGGTGTACGTGGACCATGAAAACGACGTCCTGCTCGTGGGCGACGACCCCTGGGAGTGAGTGGATTGGAGCTCTTCTCCCATCTCCTTGTTTTTCTGTTTTCCCTCGACGTCTCACCCCCCGGGCTCTCCGGCCTCCTGCATGCAGGGAATTCGTGAACTGCGTCAGATGCGTGAGGATTCTGTCCCCCCAGGAGGTGCAGCAGATGAGCTTGGACGGTGACATCGCCGGAAACAGCAGCCTCCCGAATCAGGCCTGCAGCAGCTCCGACGGCGGGAATGCGTGGAGGGGAGGCCAGTGCGACCAGAACAGCAACCCTTCCGCCGGATCCTACGGCCACATGGACTGAGAGCTCATCTCGTCGTCATCCCTGCTCGACAAGGAAGAAGAAAGAAGAAGAAGACCGTGTAGAAACCCACAAGCAGCAGCCCCCATCTCGAGCGAACACGGTCAGAGCCTGCACGGCGGGCAGGAAGAGGGCTGCCTACGTTCCGGCAAGCCCGGCGGAACAGAGCAGCTGTGGATATCATTGCTTCCGGTCGAGGGGGGACCGTGGCGTTAGGCTCCATCTGTATGTAGGTAGATTTCCCACGCAGCCTGCCTGACGAGGAAGTTGCAGGCGTTTTTCCCACGTTGATGGTGCTGGCTCAAAGGCACCCCCATCCCCGTGTATTGGTAAAGATGACCCAGAAGGGCGGATGCCCCCCCATGTAGCTTCTGCTAAGTTATGACAGACGGAATGAGGGCTCGCTAACTCGTTCTCACTCTCCCCTCTCTCTCTCTCTCTCTCTCTCTCTCTCTCTCTCTCTCTCGCTCTCTGTACACGCTGTATCCAGATGATCGCCGGCCTCTTTCCGGGGGTTGGAGTCTAAAAAGCCGTGATTTTTCACTAGAACAGGTGAGCCCCATTATTCGCAGTTCCCCTAGCGAACAGTTTCCGAGGATTTGAAGCCACGCAACGGTTTTCCGTCAGCTTCGAATTTAACCGGCTCTTTGGGATAGGTAGAACCCGGGCCGGGTTGGACTTAGTAGACTCGGTGAGTTTTTAACTCGGACGGCAACTAGTACTGACCACCGACCGGCCTCTGAGGGTTTACGACGGAGGCGGTAAAGGAAGAGGTGGGGGCGGGGGAACTCCTCGCCGAAACCTCGGGAGAGGACTGCATTCGGCCGCCCTGCAACGGCGATGGCCGGGGGGGGAGAAGAGTCTTCCCCGGGAGCTGCTGCCCCTGGAGTCAAGAGGAAGACGACGGAACCCACATCGGATGGTTCCGCCGTCGAAGGCGCCGCCGCCGCCGTGCCAGCGCCGCCTCCTGCGGAGGAGCCCGCCGCGAAGCAGCAACGGCGCGGGTCCTCACGGACATGCGTTCACGAGGTTGCCGTCCCGAAAGGTTACGCCTCCACCAAGGTGGAGTCTGTCCACGGCACGATGGCTGATCCCTTCTACAATGGCCCCATGGCCAAGACCTACCCCTTCGAGCTCGATCCATTCCAGAGCATCTCCGTGGCCTGCTTGGAGAGGAACGAGTCCGTCCTCGTCTCGGCGCACACCTCTGCTGGAAAGACCGCCGTTGCAGAATACGCCATCGCTCTCTCGTTCCGGGAGAAGCAACGGGTCATCTACACGTCCCCCTTGAAGGCTCTCAGCAACCAGAAGTACCGGGAGCTGAGCCAGGAGTTCTCTGACGTCGGTCTCATGACCGGAGACGTCACTCTGTCCCCCAACGCTAGCTGCCTGGTGATGACAACTGAAATTCTCCGGGGGATGCTCTACAGGGGTTCGGAGGTGCTCAAGGAGGTCGCCTGGGTCATATTCGACGAGATTCACTACATGAAGGACAGGGAAAGAGGGGTGGTCTGGGAGGAGAGCATCATCTTCCTGCCCCCAGCGATTAAGATGGTGTTCCTCTCTGCCACTATGTCAAATGCGACGGAGTTCGCTGAATGGATTTGCAACTTGCACAAACAGCCCTGCCATGTGGTTTATACAGATTATAGACCAACGCCATTGCAGCATTATGTGTTCCCCATCGGTGGAGCCGGTCTCTACCTGGTCGTGGACGAAAACGAGCAGTTTAAGGAGGACAACTATATGAAGCTGCAGGAAACCTTCTCCAAGCAGAAGGGCCAGAGCAGCGGAGGCCGGAGCGGAGGGAAGGCTTCTGGGAGGATTGCGAAGGGGGGCACTCCTCAAGCCGGTTCTGATATTTACAAGATAGTGAAGGTATGCATTGGGAGATGAGGGCAATCCTGTGCCAGGTCTTGCTTATCATTTCCAAAACATATGGAAGACGTGTGACCTTTCAAGTTTTTTATCGTTCTTTGTTTACATGTTCATGTTCGACATCAACATGTTTACTAACTTGCACCTATTTTCTGGCAAGGTGTTTCTCCTGTTTTCATCCTCTGTAACAAGTGTAGAGCTATGTTTCTTCTATTATTCACTTTGAACTCGGAATGAAACCCTTGAATGTCTGAAGAAAATGATGGATTATTTTTTGTCCATGCCTAAAAACAAAATAGATCCACTGATTTTTTTTTCTGAAGGGTGGCTGTTATGGTATCTCAGTTGGATGGTCATAGAGTAGTTCAAATGGTGCACGAAGGGTACCATTTATGTGCAGTTGGAAATAAGAATAGAGATTTCAGTGTCTGAAGTAAACTGATTCGTTTAGTCACCGAACTATGGATATTATCAAAGCAATTTCTGTCGCTAGAACAAATCACTCTTTTAATTGTTCCATTTGAAGTCAAAATGGAATTTTAATTAGTCTTGCATACTCAGTCGTTATTATTGTTCAAGTGCGATATACTATAGACGCTATTTTATTTTCTTTAGAATATCTTGATTGAGTCGAACCAGAAGCATGCCTCATCACTATGTTAATACCAAATAATTTTGTGCACCCATTAATATTCGATTGGACTTATCTTTTCTTTAAGGCATATAGATGTGCTATTTCTTGGTGTACCATTTTTTGTTATCTCTGTTTCTCACCCTTACATCAAGATTATGACGTTTCAGTTAGTCTTGCTACATCTGAGTTAGCTACTTTTTTATGCTGCAGATGATTATGGAACGAAAATTTCAGCCTGTTATTATTTTTAGCTTTAGTAGAAGGGAATGTGAACAACATGCCATGTCTATGTCCAAGCTTGACTTCAACACACAAGATGAAAAGGATGCTGTAGAACAAGTTTTCCGAAACGCTATACTTGTCTTGAATGAAGAGGACAGGTCCTTACCTGCTATTGAGTATATGCTGCCACTTCTTCAACGAGGCATTGCTGTGCATCACTCGGGTCTTCTTCCAATAATTAAAGAAGTAGTGGAGCTCCTCTTTCAGGAGGGGCTTGTAAAGGCGCTTTTTGCTACTGAAACAGTGAGTCATCTGAACTCTCCCGCTATGTTTTAACTGTTTTAACAAACCGATCTCCTTTCATTTATAAAAGCTTTTGTCGTCTTCATCTTTAGCATTTTCGCTTTAGTGAACTCGATAAATCTTGGTTTAATGATCTCGTTAAAAGACTGATTGGTATCACCGTGCTCTGTGCATCTTACTGCATGGTTTACCGTAATTTTTAAAAATATTGTTTTTTTCCTTTTCTATGCATTAGTAGCTGGAATATGTTACATTGTATAGAGCTGTCGATTCACATCAACCATTCGATTTGTTTTATTTATTTTCAGTCATGATTGAGGCCTTTTCTTCTTCACAGTTTGCCATGGGTCTAAACATGCCAGCAAAGACAGTCGTGTTCACATCAGTTAAAAAGTGGGATGGTGATAGTCATCGGTACATTGGGTCTGGAGAGTACATACAGGTACAGAAATACCTCCAGCCACAGTATTTTTCTGGTTAGGTCTTTAATGTGATCCTCTGATTAAAACTTGCTCTTTGCTGTTACATCAACAGATGAGTGGGAGAGCTGGTCGACGTGGCAAAGATGAGCGTGGCATTTGTATCATAATGATCGATGAAAAGGTGAAACAATGCATTTTACTGTTTAGTAACTTGCTTTTTCAAATTTATTCTACTGGAAAGCATAAGAAGCCCATATTTTTCTAGAACTGTTATATTGACCTCTAAAGTATTGGAAGTTTCTTCTTGTGAAAAAGATTATTTGCTTCAAGAGTCATCTATCGTTTGATATATATATATATATGGTACTTTTTTATAGGTTATTCTCCATTTTATTGGTATTACGGCAATTTCGTCGCGTCATTTCATAATTGAAACACTGTTCCGTGGAATATATATCTATGTTTTTTCACCAGTAAAAGGCTTCAGATTTTTGTTGATAATTAAATGCCTTGACAGCTTAAAATATCATTAATGTCGTGAAAGTCCTCTTTGAGGACTGCATTCCGATGAAGTATTTGGTTTCCATTTTAAAGACAGTATATACTATTGTTGGCATCCCTCCCCCAAGAAATGAAACCATGCTTTTCATGCCATGGGTTTTATGAAATTTAAATGGCATCGCATGGATTCGTCTACAGTGCATGGCATGATTATTCTGCTCCTCACTAGGTATACTAAATAGATTTGTTGTTTGCCTATGTCAATGTTAACCCTGCTTATTCTCTCCCCTGTCTGACAGATGGAGATGAACGTTCTCAAAGACATGGTTTTGGGCAGACCTTCTCCTTTAGTTAGTACTTTCAGACTCAGCTATTATACAATTTTGAATTTGATGAGCCGTGCAGAGGGTCAATTCACTGCCGAGCATGTCATCAAGAATTCATTTCACCAGTTCCAGTACGAAAAGGTTTTCCCTTTCTTCACATCATATTTTATTGAGAGGTTTCTTTTGTCTACTATGAGTCCTTGTAATTATAGAATTGTACACTTTTGGCTTTAGGCACTGCCAAGCATGGGACAGAAGATTTCAAATTTAGAAAAGGAAGCTTCTTTGCTTGAATCTTCCGGCGAGGTTGTCCCTGGACCTATGAGCTTAGTTACACTGCTTGACTTGCTAAAGTTTATTTCTTACAACGTGGAAAACTGTGTTGTGATGCAGGCTGAACTTGCTGAGTACCATAAGCTAGAACTTGACATAGCTGAACTTGAAAAGAGAATAATGTCTGAAATTGCCAGACCTGAAAGGGCCCTACTTTTCCTATGCACTGGGAGGCTGGTAAGTACGTGCAGTTTGTTTTTCTGTGTTTTCATTTATCTTGGTTTATTTTTCATCAGATTCCTACTGCAGGAGAAATCTCTATTTTCTATATCCTCATAGCTAGCTGCATTATTATGGTAATACTGCTACTCGAGGGTCCTCCTTTTAAGTTCGTTTCGGTACTAAGCGTATCTTTTATGGCAATACTAATTTTGCCTCATTATTATAAGTTCTTTATGGTGAACAGCGGGATGACTCTGCCCCTGAATTTCTTTGAGCCGAAATGTATTTCTGTAAACATCTAGAAACTGACTGCCAAACTGTCGCAACATTGTCATTATATCATTGATTTCATTACACTTGGATAATATTTTTTAGATGTGACAGGGATGTATAATGTCCATGTATTGTCAGATGTTAGACATTCATCACATAAATGTCCATGTGTGAGGGAATTTTACAACAGACCAAATGGGCTAATTTTTCATAAACAATTATTACGGGTAAAATTTCTTTCTCTACGGTCATCCGAATGGTTTAGGCGACCAGTTTGTCAGATATTACACCTTAGGCCATCATATAGAATGGTGTTGAAACATCTTGTTGAGAAGGATATTCTATCTTAGACGGCAACAATCCAGTTTGTATGAGTTGGGTTGATTTCTGGTCTGTCCAAGGTGCAGTAATTATTTGTTCAGTGAGTATGACTATTCTGGAGTTGGATAGCATGGAGGAGTTGAATATTGTTTGGATCAATGCAATTCGTGTGGAACTGGTAGTAGTATACTGCTTGCGCTGGGGAAGCAGCTGCTGCCCGGTTGATGATTGGTGACAGATAATTTTTGGCTGTGGTCCTGTACAGCCAGAGCTAGAAGAAAAAGGGGGGACATGAAGAAGAAAAAGCATAATTTTGTCTTTCCACCGTCAGTTATTTCTCCTTTTGCTTCTTCCTCCTCTTGCTTTAACTAAGCCTTTGCTGCTTGTCGCTATCACCATTTTCTACGAGTAGCTCATGAGGTTTGGGAACGATGTATTTGGACAGGATGGGGGATGATAGGCTTTGATACATAGAAAAAGTTATACAGAAACTAATTGCATTTAAAGTGTTAATCGATAAAAACACAAAAACTATGAGGATATTCACTTTTATTTTTTTCTATGTTACACGATACCATAACTGAAGATTTGGTGCATCACTACCTCTGTGGGGAAATTGGTTGATGCTATTTATGCTATTTTAATACAGTTTGAAAACTGCGTAGTTGTATTTAATATTATTCTTTTGTCACTGGTTTAAAACTTTTATCCTCAGGTTAAAGTGCGTGATGGGTCCATTAACTGGGGCTGGGGGGTGGTGATAAATATAGTGAAGAAGCCCCCACCTTCACTGGGGAGTTTGCCAGCTGCACTAGCTGCATCACGCAGTAATGCTTATATTGTCGACACCCTGCTACACTGCTCTCCTGTACTAAGTGAAAATGGATCTCCTCCGAAGCCGTCCCCTCCTCGCCCTGGAGAAAAGGGCGAAATGCATGTGGTGAGTTGAAGCTCCTGGGAAGCAACAGTTTTATCATGGTTCGTCCATATTTCTTATCAGCTTGGCCATTCGAGCTTGAATGGATTGATGTTTTTTCGTCTCATGGGAGTTAATGAAATTCATTCGTGAGATTTGGTAGGTTCCTGTCCCGTTGGGACTAATTTCTGCCGTTAGCAGTTTGCGAATAGCTGTTCCAGCTGATCTTAGGCCACCAGAGGCGAGGCAAAGTATACTTCTGGCCGTAAAAGAGCTGGAGAAGCATTATTCACGAGGCCTCCCAAGGGTTAATCCTGTGACGGTACGTACGATAAGTTGACTTTTTCCATTTACTGGGGGAGCGGTTTTACTCCATTCATAGATTTGCTTTCACATGGTGTACCATTTTTAAGGTTCTCTAATTCTTTTTCAAAGGCATTTTTTTCAAGAACTTGCCATTTTGACAAGCCTCTCTCTAGTCTTTGGGCAAATTTCACACTGTATCTAGAGCTCAAATTATACTTTCATCCTACTAATATAATTTAAGCACTATGGAAACAGCAAGTTGTGCACCTTAATCAGCTTCATGAGTTGTTATTTCTGGATTGCGCATACTGAAGATGGTCATGTAGACAGTTCACTGCAGTCTTTGAGTACTTGTTCATAGTTTCTAGAGCATAATTTCGAGTCCAAGTGTAGTATGATACGTTTGAATTGAGCTATCCTCGGATTGTGGTTGTGCATCATGTATGACTGAAACAAGTTGGGGGATGATTGTCGTTACATAATTCCCTCACCACAAACTGCAGCAGCTAGCATGTCTGTGGTTCTATTTTACTTATATTTTTCTCATGTTTATTTCCAACACGAAGATATGTTGGCATCTAGCTCTATGCAACGTTGTTTCCCTTTGGGAAATAAACAGATAGATACTTCTTCATCTTCCTTATTGCTCTCATTACAGTACATTAGATGGCTGTTGCAAATGGGTGTCGTTCGGTTCAATCAAATAAGTAGCTGAAAGTTGGGTTCTCGTAAAAAAAAATTATCCACAATTTCTGATTAATTTTTATGGTCTTCATATCAGGAGATGGGAATAGAGAGTCCAGAGATTATTGAATCGGTGAAGAAGATCGAGGAACTTGAGAAGAAATTGTTTTCTCATCCACTGCGCAAGGTAGGCATATGGCAAACTTTTTCTCGTTGACTTATCAGTCCTGGCAAACGTCATCCAATCTTCACCCACTTGTACATCATTAAGAATATAGTTTCCCTTTCATCTCTGCATTTACTTCGCTGTTGCAGGATGAGCATGAATGTTTAAACTGTTTTGAGCCCATAAAGAGAGCATTCTGCATTCCACGTGGGTCCTTCCATTTGCATCTGGGTTTCTACGCTCTCTGGTTTCAGTCGATATGAGCATTTCCGTTGACTAATCTTCTGCTGATTTTTGGCGGCTGAACTGCTTTGAATCCTCTAGAGATGGGATTGTCCGGTGAGAGTTGACTGAACTTATCGTCCTCTTCTATTTTTCCCTTTGGCTGTAGATGGGGCAGAACGAGCAGCAGTTCAAGTGGTACCAAAGAAAAGCTGACGTTAATCACGAGATACAACAACTCAAGTCAAAGATGCGCGAATCGCAGGTATCGTTCGCTGACTTGACTTGCCCACATGTGAGTCCTCTTGCCATATTCAACCTGTTCAACTGCGAGGATGCTTCTTCCTTATACGCAGCTACAAAAATTCCGTGACGAATTGCGGAACCGCTCGCGGGTTCTGAAGAAACTCGGCCACATAGATTCTGATGGAGTAGTCCAATTGAAAGGTCGAGCTGCTTGCCTGATAGATACAGCGGACGAACTGCTTGTGACAGAGCTGATGTTTAATGGTGGGATCTGCTGCCCTGAGCCTGCTTCACCGCGCTCCATCACGGCGTCTAGTTTTCTGCAGCTGGGGCGAGGTTTTCAATCTGATTATGTACTTTGCTCCATCTTCCAGGTACCTTTAATGATCTCGATCCTCATCAAGTTGCGGCGCTGGCAAGCTGCTTCATCCCCGGGGATAAGTCAAATGAGCAGATTCATCTGAGGGGCGAGCTCTCGAGACCGTTGAGTCAACTCCAGGAAAGTGCCAGGAGGATCGCAGAGGTTCGTAAGCCACCTCACCCGGGATTGCAGTTTGTCTCGGAGAGTTTGACCGAGCGAGTGTTTGTGATGCCCGTTTGTCTGTCGCTATCCAGATACAGCGCGAGTGTAAGCTGGAGGTCAACGTCGAGGAGTACGTGGAAGCTACTGTCCGGCCGTACTTGATGGACGTGATCTACTGCTGGTCCAAGGTCGGTGAAGATTCTCTCTCTCTCTCTCTCTCTATCTCTCTCTCTTCTGGGTTTCTAGCTCGTTTGATTGGGTGGGTTTGCAGGGGGCGAACTTTGCGGAGGTGATTGAGATGACTGATATCTTCGAAGGGAGCATCATACGGCTGGCGAGGAGGCTGGACGAGTTTCTGAACCAGGTATGGGATGATATAATTGCTCAGCTGTCGTCGTTTGCAGTGGAAGATATTCCTTGGTCAATGCATGCGGGAGTCTTCTTCCTGTCGGTCTCACGCCCTCATCCTCCCGCAGCTGCGCGCCGCCGCCCACGCCGTCGGGGAGGTCGACCTCGAGAAGAAGTTCGAGGCCGCCAGCGACAGCCTCCGGCGTGGGATAATGTTCGCTAACTCCCTCTATCTGTGAATCAAGCTCTGAAATTTCTTTAAGGTAGTACCACTCTCTCTCTCTCTCTCTCTCTCTCTCTCTCTCTCTCTCGCTCTCTCTCTACGACGAGGACAACTTTGGGGGGTTGACTGGCTGGAAGACGACGACGGAATGCTTAGCGAGATGGAGGCTGAACTGGCCGCCCTTCTCGGTGACGTCCACCTTGCCCTCCCCCGGCGGCGGGAGGAGGCGGAAGGCGGCGACTAGCTTGCCGACGACGAGGGCGAGGAGGGGGAGAGCGAGGATGATGCCGGGGCAGCTCCGGCGGCCGACCCCGAAGGGCAGGTAGCGGAAGTCGACCTTCCCCCCGGCAACCGCCGCCTCCGTTTCTCGCTCCTCTTCCAGGAACCTCTCCGGGCGGAACTCGGAGGGGTCCTTCCACCAGGCGGGGTTGTTGGCGAGCCACCAGGCGTTGACCACGACCTTTGACTCCTTGGGGATGTCATAGCCGCCGAGCTTGGCCTCCTCCAAGTTCATGTGGGGGACGAGGAGCGGGATGGGCGTGTGCAGCCGCAGAGTCTCCCTCACCACCGCCTGCAGGTACGGCAGCCGGGGGAGCTCCGCCTCCGTCAGCGCCGCCCCCCTCAGGACGCCCTCCAGCTCTCGCCGGAGCTTCGACTGCACCTTCGGGTGGTTGACCAGCTCCGCGATGGCCCACTCCATTGACCACAGGGTTGTCTCGATGGCTGCACCGACGATTTTGTCATATAGTTAGAGAGAAAGCTAGAGTTACAGAGAAAGAGCGGAAGAGAGGGGGGGGTTGGGACTCACCGGCGACGTTTATGTTCTCGACAATGTAGAGGACGTTCTCGGGGCTGATCTCCCCGTTCATCTCGGCCTCGAGGATGTGGTCCATGGCGCAGCTGAGCTTCTTCTGCCGATTCTTCTCCCCGACCGCGAGCGCCTCCCTGCGGACGACCCACGCCACCGTGATGAGAGAGAGGTGAGACGGAGGGAGGACATATGAGGGAGAGAGAGAGAGAGAGAGATGGAGAGGGGCGGGTACCTCCTCTTCTGGATGTAGTGGGCGTTGAAGAAGGCCAGTCGCCTGGTCTGGAGGTCCCGGCAGCGACGGAGATAGCCGCGGAGGAAAAGGCGGAGGACGGGGATGAAGTCACCATAGTTGTACTCGAAGCTCTGGGCGAGCCTGCTCCTCTCGGAGTTGAACTGGGTGGCCTGCAGGAAGAGGGGGTCCCTCACGGACTCGAACTTCGTGTCGAACATCATCCTGTACATGACGTTGTACAGCATCAGCTGCAACCGCCGCCGCACGACCACGCCCTCCGGCCTCGCCCACTCGCCCCCGCCGGCGCCGCCCAGGTCCGCCACCGCCAGGTCCATCTCCTCCTCCCACATCCCCCGGTACTGCTGCACCACCTTGTTTGTGAAGAAGGGCATCGTCATCACGCGCCGCATCTTCCGCCAGTGGTCGCCGTAGACGGTGAACACCATGTCCTGCCCGCCGCCGGTGAAGATGTCGAAGACCATGTTCCGCGGCCGCGAGCCGAACTCGACCCCCTGCGTGTGGAGCACCTCGGTGGCGAGCTTCGGTTCGGAGACCACCACCAGGTTCCGTGCCCCCAGCCGGAGGAGGAAGACGCCCCCGTACTTGCCGGCCAGCGACGCGAGCAGGCGGTGGTTCAGGTCATTGCCCACCTGCAGCCAGTTGCCGAACACCGGCAGGGACAGAGGACCGGGGGGGAGGTTCCTCAGCCGCCGGGAACCAGACACGACCGAGGGGATTATCAGAGCGAGGAGGGCCGGGAGGGAGAGCCACGCCGGAGTGGGGGAGGAAGACGGCGACACGAGAGGTAGCAGGAGGTACTTGGCGACCGAGAGGATGAAAACGGCGAGGAGTATCCCGGAGAAGACGGTCTTTCCTAGAGCAAGAGCCATGGCTGGTGGGACTTCTCACTCACTTTCACTTGCGGGTTCTACGTCCCTCCCCTGCGGACAGCCCTGTTCCGAGCTGCTGATTTATAAGGAGAGGGCATGTGAACCGAACGAGAGAAGAGGTCGAGGAAGGAGGAGTTCCACGGTTTTACGGGGCAGAACCAGTGGGCTATCCTAAACCAGTTAGGAGACGCCATTTTTTTTATAGTCAACCAGATTCCCATACGGTAGGTGGACCGATGTGGGTGAGTCAGACAATGTCAAAACTCCGCGCAGTGCTCTTTTGGATGCCACGGCGTGGGTTGGTTGTGGACGACCAACCCGGAATCCTGGGTTTTGACCTGGCAGTCTCCACCAAACTCTCTCACGTCCTTATCACTCACAAAACCTTCTAAAAGAGGTCATTCGGTAGTAGCAGAATCCGGCCATCTCTCGGGCCTGGGCATATATGTACCAGAGCGACAAAAATGGCGGGGTCGGTGGGTGGGTCTCCCTGCTCCTCGCCGGTTCAGTCCCAAGTGCCGCTCAAGAGGGGCTTGACAGAGGCTGAATCCCCCAAGGACTGGATCAGATCGGAGCACGGGGGTGCTCCCTCCTCCGTCTTCAGGTCGAGGCCCAGCTCCGCGTCGATGTCGTCTGACGCCGAGATCAGCAGCAGCTCGCAGCCCTCGTAGTTGAGGAAGTCCGGCGGGTCGGCCGGCGCGAAGCGCAGCCCCCCGAGAAGGCCCTGCAGGCGAGCGGGGAACGCCGCCCTGCGCTTGCCCTGCAAGCCCCGGGACCGCCCCGAGTCGGCGCCGCCCCGCTCCGGGTTCTTGATCTGGATGACGAAGGACTCCTCCCGCTCCACGTTGAGCGCCTCCTGCGGCCCCGCCGGAGGAGGCGCCGCAGGAGGCGCCGGAGGGAACTCCAGTCTATAGACGAGGTGGGTGTGGGCGTCGCTGCGCCGCTTGTGCCTCAAGATGCGGTACACTCCCTCTGCCAGGGCCCTCGCCGGAGCTCTGCGCCGGCGCCCCCGAGTCGCCGTCTCGTACTCCTCTGAAACAACAACTTTGCCCCGTCAGAGGACAAGAGCCAAAGGAAAGCTGCACATTTCCCTCCTTCACCAGGAAGTACCTCCTCGCAGGGCCGTCTTCAGGTCCTCTGGATCCTTGGTGACCATCTCCACGAACCCCCAGTAAGGGGCGCCGCGTTGACTCGGATCCGGAAGGCTCTTCCGACCCATGACGATGAACCGGTGCAGCGTCTCCTCCTCGATGTTGACTTTCTGGGTTGTGCACCGCACCGCATCACGATCCAAGAAACTAGAAGAATGAGTCAAGGAACACCTTCCCTCGAACGGCCAACAGTCGATATGAACCCACCTCGCTGCCGCGGCCGCCTTCGCTTCCCCTTTCTTCAGTCGCCTCGACGATCCTCTCTCCCCCGCCGCCGCCGCCGCCCTCTTGCTCCTTGCCGCCTTCGTCCTCCTGCTCCTTCCTGCTGCCGCCACCCTCCTGCTCCTTGCTGCCGCCTTCCTTGCCGGAGCCCGCCGTCTGCTTCTCCTCCACGGCCCGTTCGCCGGACTGCGGGCGCAGGACGATGTACAGCCGCTGGACGTCGTCGGGTTCGTGGGCCTCCTCTCTGTCTACCTTTGGCCGGTAGAAGAAGAATATATCTCCTCTCTCCTGCAGACACGCAGTTTTCTCACCAAGAACAGCCCCTCAAACTAGTGACTCAGAGAGAGAGAGAGAGAGAGAGAGAGAGAGATACCTGGATCTCAACTTCAGGATCAGGCCTCGTCTTCGTCTCGTCACCCTGTCCCATTTCTCCTTCCCTCGTTCTTCCTGCTCCTGCCGCACTCCGTCCGTTTCCTTCCCGGAGAAGGGGCAAGAGCTCGGTTCCGAGAGTGTGGCTTCTGAATCTAATGGCGGCGGCGGGGGGCGGTGGAGGGCGACGTGGACGCCTGCATGGCAGGCATACACGGAAGCCACGTTGCGCCCTTACAACCGTCTTCTACTCGCTTGACAATTAGCAAGTCAACCGCCTGACCCATTGAAATGCAATCATATTTATATTATATTTTTAAAAAAATATAGTTTCAAACATATATTTATATTTCATATATTACTGAGGAGTTTACCGTTAGACTCGTCAGGTTCCTGCCCTGCCGTTGACGGTGAGCGTGCTTTCCTGTAATGGGGTTTCAGAATGCATTTTCGAAATCTCCTTCTGAGGGCAGCGCCATCAACGTGGGTTTTTTCAAATTCTAGGTCTGTTCTGCTCCGCCGACGATCGCTATCCCTCTGGTTCCTTCTCTGGTCGGATCGCTCGCTGTTCCTTTAACCCCCCTCCAGTGGCGCGCTCTCTTCTGCAAGGATCAGGTTCTCTCTCGCTCTTCTTCCTCTTCCCCTATCTCTGGTTCCGCCTGTGCGACCCTGGCACTTCGTCCGGCCATGATGTTCTCAGAGTGCTCCTTGAAAGGGTACTTGACGGCTACATTGTCGAGTCTCGTCTTCTGGTGATTGGTGGTGGAGGAAGTTCCTCCCAGTATAACGTCGGGAAGGGTTTTTTTTTTTTGCTGCTCTTGGGGGATATATTGCCGTGAAGACACTGATCTCTGCAGTCTTGTTCTCTGTTACCTCCTCTTCCGTTCTTGATCTTCGAACTGTCTATGCCTCACGTGAAGAAAGAGTGTCTCTCCCTCTCTTTCTCTCTCTGTCTCTTATCTCATTGCCCTTCTGGATAGGGAGAGTTGGGATCGGCTTAGCCTTCCTGGAAAGGAATGGTGGAAGAATGCTAGCGAGTAAGAGTTTGTCGTTCACCCTGAGTACCATAATATCCCTCCTCCGTGAATAGAACAGACGCCGCCATAGTTTTTAGCCTTTCCCTATTAACAATAAACTGCCGCCTATAATAGTAAGATAAATCTGCTTTTGTAAAAATGTGATTTACCTGAAATAAAACTTCTTATATGCTATGTGATCAAATGGATAATTTTGGATTGTGAATTTTCGTTCTTGACTGAATTAGTTTGAATTCTTCAAAAAGCGAGAGCAGTGTCTTCAAAAAAAAAAATTAAAAAAACAAGTCATGTGCTACTGGAGATCAAGAATAAGGCAGGTCACCCAAATGATCACTAAATAAATTAATGAAAATCATATGTTCCTCGATCCAAATTCTTTCGCCTCCATTTTACCTTCCTTTATCTCTGTGCTCGCTGACTTTCCATATGCATCTTGATCTGGGTCATCGAACAAGTTTCTTTTGGTGTCACAGGGTTTTTTTTTCCTATCAGCAATAATGGAACAGGAGAAATGCAAGGAAGGGAGGCAAGCGACGATTCAATACAGATGTGAAAAGATATGTGCTCATACAGAGGAGCACATTGTAGCCAGTACCCAGAGAAAAAATAATGATGAGATGAAACACCACGACGGCAGTCTTGCTTCTCCAACACCAGAGAAGAGAATTCAGCCCCCAAGGAGTAGACAAAGCAAGGAGCACCGCTACCAGTTCAAGCAAGAGGAAGATGCTTCAGAGACGACTTCCGGCACGGATGATGACCATGCTTTGACGATTGAAACCTCTCAAAGCGGCGGTTGCAGGGATACTCCGGAAGTGAAAAATAGCCATCTAAGGTCTCCTTTCCCTAGTGAACTGTTAAAAGAAAATACAAGACAACTTTCAGAAAAGTAAGTCAAAGGGATAGATAATGGGTATATTATTTGCTCCGTCTTCTCCTATGAAATATTGACTAAATAAGTGACCTCATTATAACAGATACAAGATACTAGCTGAGCTATTTGACCAAATGATCGTATCTGTGAGGCTTCTTCGCCTCAGGAAGAGGCTGGCTAGCTTCTACAATGTCAGTACTCAAGTGGAAATATTGACCAAGAAGTGAGTATGAATAACTAGCTCTCTAATTTTTGCTAGAAATGCTAAATGAGAAGCCGATGATGCTTATGATGCATCCAGGAAATTCTTGTTGGGTAATCTTGCCCAAATGAAGTATTTGATTCCTGAAGCCATTTCTGCTGAGAAGATCCTCGTTCATGACGAGTCAAGCCTCTGCATGAAGCCGGATCTTAAGATTTTTTTAACAGTGGATGCTGTCAAGAGCTTATGGAGCTTGCAGCAAGCCTCAAATGCCAACTTGTGCCAATTTTTTCGAGCCAGACTCCTGGATTTCATAAATTCGCACCCAGAGGTATTGACTTTCATATTCCCCTTTTATCGTTCGGTGGAATAGATTTCATTTTACTCTCAAACTTTGGGAACAGGATGCTGATATTCCAGAGGCGCCTCTACCGGATACATCAAGCCACAAAAACTTTGAGAAGTCTTCCAGTCAGCTGCCCGTGGCATCACCCGTTGACCAAATCCAGTTGGTTTCTGCTGATGAGAATCCTTCACCATTGGGTGTTGCATCTCACTTTTCCCCGTCTTTCAGCAGATACCTTTCCCAGAAAGTTCTCGACCCTGATGAGCGAATGGCCGAGCCATGTTCTTCCTCCGTGTCAAGGATCTCTGATATCGCAGTACGTGAAAGCAATGAGGATCCCGAAACTCATCTGAAGGACGGTTCCCGTTCCTTCTCTCACAAGGCATGCCCTACTGAAGACATATCAAGCCCCATGAAGCTCATTTCAGAGAAGTGTGAAACCTCAGTCAACGTCAGTCAACTTGATGACAAGACCCCTGTGAAACCGATCTCGATGCCGGTCAAACTGATGACAGAGACGCCGGTGCTGTCAACGCCTAAAAGACCAGTAGGCACCCCCGATGTGAAGTTAACCAGTCAAACTGTGACGCCAGGTCTTTCTGCCCGTAGAGCCTTACTCTACTCTCCTTCAAAATCTGATGAAGAAGGGTCATCTCTTCAGGCCGACGGCAGTCGAGAAACCAGAAGATGCCATGCTGCTGATGTACGATTCGTATGCTTCCCTGGCTTGGTGACCGACTTTTGCACGGGACATTATCCGATTTAGTTTACCCGTAAAGTTGACTTTTTCTTGTCTTGGGAGATCTTTCTTTCTTCCCCCCGTCGAGAACCTTGACTTTTCTTGTCCACCGGGTTCAGAAGATTGCAGCATGCACTGGGGAGCATGTTGACCTTGGATCAAGTGGCAGGCGAGCTCTGGCGTCTCTGCCAGATACATTTGACACCATCACCTTCGTCTTCGGTGGGTCAAACTCATCCTCAATCACAAAGCAGGAGCTCGTGCACAAGATCATCTCCTACAACTTAAACGTAGAGGATCGACGTAGATAATCTTTTCTTGGACCCTCTCTCTCTCTCTCTCTCTCTCTCTCTCTCTCTCTCTCTCTCTCTCTCTCTCTCTCGCTCTAACTCTCTCATGGTGACAGGCGAAGTGGAGGAGCAGCTTAGCTTGTTGGAGGAGCTGGTACCAGATTGGATTTGCAGCAAGATGATTTCCACAGGAGACTTAATGTACTGGTGAGTGGGTGGGTCTCCCACAGACAATTTACGGCGGGAGATTCTGTAAATTTTTATGATGAAGATCCCACTAGTCCTCTCTCGTACTGATGATAATAATTAATTTCTATGATTTTCCCTACCCATGCAGCATCTCGAGGGCATCTGATCCGAAAAGTGTCCGAGCGAGGCTCGTTGAAGCTCTATGATGCTGTCTTTTCCCCTCAAGCCCCCCGAAGCTTTTTTTTTGGGGAGAGAGAGAGAGAGAGAGAAGAGAGAGAAGAGAGATTTCCAAGTCAGCTTGTTTGGATTGCTGAACTCAAGACTGATGGGTTCGAACTCCCCCATTGATTCCGGTGACGGGAGCGGCCGAGGTTAGATCCAAAACCTCCCTAATTACTGCCATCTGGTGCAATTATGAGACGCTTGAGCTGTGCGGATGGAATCAAAGATATAATATGGTATGAAGTACAGCTCCTGGACGTCGCCGGGGTTGTGGGCCTACTCTTTGTCTACCTTCCGCCGGCAGAAGAAGAATATATCTCCTCTCTCAAACGAGAGAAAGAGAGAGAGAGAGAGAGAGAGAGGCCACGTTACGCCCTCACAGACAGACCTCTTCTACCCGCTTGAGAATGAGCAAGTCAACCGCCTGACCCATTGAAATCCAGTCATATTTATATTATATTTAAAATTAGAGTTTCTGAATATGTGATATTTATATATTTATATTTCATATGAATATATAAATGTACCGGCTTCCTTTTTTGTCACAGCTCACTTGTCTTCCTAGCGGCAATCGTGGGGACAGGAGAAGTGCGGGGAAGGGAGGCTATGAGCAATGGGCGAGTGGGTTATGAAGAATAATCGGGGGAGAGCGCGGAGCGAGAGAAGAATATGAGAGAGAGAGAGAGAGAGAGCGTGGTCGCGAACGGCCGCCATCTACCTAGGAGAACGTTTATCGGTGGTCGACTAGGAGAAAGGCTAACGGGGCTTTTGGAGTGGAGAGAGAGGAGAGAGAGAGAGAGAGGGCTATAAAAGACAGCGTGGCCCTGTCGAATGGCCGCCACCCACCTAGGGTTCCGAACCCTAGCTTCTTCATTTCTCGGGCGTTCGCCTTGATTTCTCGCTTCCCTTCTGCCTCTCGATCCGGTGTCTCATCACAGAACTCCTGTGAAACCCATCGGCCAAACGGATGACAGAGACGCCGGTGCGGTCAACGCCTGGAAAACCAAAGGGCACCCCGATCTGGAGTTGGCCGGCGCGGTCAACGCCCGGAAGACCAAAGGGCGCCCCCGTTCGGTCCGTCGGCGCTTGTTCATGTCTCCTTCAAAATCTGACGAAGGAGGGTCGTCTCTTCAGGCGGAGGTCAGCGAAGAAACCAAGGCCCATTTGCGAATCGTATGCTTATTTGCATGTCTGCAGGGTCTCTCTATCATGTAAATCATCACCATTCTTCCATGGCTCGGTGATTGACATTTCCACGGGAAAATTACCCATCAAGTTGACTTTTTGCTTCATAAAGTCCTGAGACCCCCCCTTCCACTTAGCCAGGATAATGTAGCAGATCCTTGGGAGCACGTTGACCTCAACCCAAGTCAGCAAGCTCTGGCCAATACATTCAACAGCATCTTGTTCATCGTCGGTCGGTCAAACTACACGATGACAAAGCAGGAACTCGTGCACAAGATCCTCTCCTACAACTGCGACGTGAAAGACCGACGTAAAATCATCTTTTTCTTGCTTTATTGCATGCTGTTTCATACGGATTCCAATGCTCTCTCTCTCTCTCTCTCTCTAACTCTTAACTCTCCCATGGTGGCAGGCGAACTGCAGGAGCAGCTTACCTTGTTGGAGGAGCTGGTTCCGAACTGGATTTGCAGCAGGATGATGCCCACCGGAGACCTGATATACCGGTGAGTGGGCAGGTCTCCCACAGACAATTTTACGGAGGGTGGTTTCGGTAAATTTTCCAGAAGAACAACATCCCATTGATGATAATAATAATAATAATAATTAATCTCTATGGTTTTTCTAACACATGCAGGATCTCGAAGGCGTCTGATCCAAAGTTTCTTCGAGCGAGGCTCCCTGAGCTCTGTGATGCTGTCTATTCCCCTCAAGCCCGAAGCTTCTACTAGAGAGAGAGAGAGAGAGAGAGAGAGAGAGAGATTCCCATGTTTTGGGGTGATGGATCAAATATATAATATATATAAAATTATTTATTTGATTTTGATATTATACAAAACATCATTAAAAGATCTACGGGAATATTTAATAATTGAAGCAAGGCCCCGCGGTGGGCTGGGCCCATCTCAGAGCCAGGCCCGAGGGGACGAAGCGGGCCGGGCCGGTTTCGGAACCCGGATACTGAAAATACGAGTAAAACGATAATGTCACTAAAATGGAGTAAAATATTTTTAAATATAAAATGGATAAACACGAGGGTTGTTGCTGACGTAATAATTGGAATACAAATGATAATTACCATCATCCCCTGGATAAAAAACCATTTTCGGGAAAACCTGGGAGCAAGTGACGTGGCAGGGACTGGGCTGACGTGTTCGAGGGAGCCCCATCCAATGGCAGCAGCGGACGAGATCAGAAAGGCAGGCAGGCACACTCGGCAGCTTCCACTCTCCATCTCACCTCACGATTCCGGCGGAGAGCCCAACGTTGCGCCCCCACTCCTCCTCGATCCTCGAATTCATCGAACCTTCCTTCATCCGCTTCCTCGCAGATTAAGCCGTCTCTGGTATCGTCCATCCACTCGTCTTGCCCTCCGGCGGCGAGAGATCTGACGGATCTCCTAGGTGCGACGGTATTCTCTCCCGGGGTCGCCTTCCACCTCGCCTGATCCGTTTTTACTGCGTTTTTCTAGGTAGATTGGGTCGAGATTGAGTGTTTCCGTACTTGAATTGACTTCCGTTCTCTCTGTTGAGTTTTTTTGTTCTTTTGTTTTGTTTTCCTTCTGTCTCAGGATGGACTCCATCACGGTCTGCAAATCTGTGAACTCACCCCTTGTAAGTCCACGCCAGCTCCCTATGATCGCAGGCATTCTGTTTCATTTCCACCTCTTTACCTTTTGCTCTTCTTTCCTCAAACCAGGGTTTCCTCGTCAGACCGGCCAAGGAAATTAAGGCTACGTCATGCGGCTTCATGGTTGGCAGTGTTGGGAGTTTCCCAAAGCTGTGCATTCCCAGGACAAATGTTGCACATGTGAACCGAAAGTTCAAACCAAGAGGAGGAGCTCTCAGCGCGACTTGTAGGGATGAAAAGATCCTTGTGGCAAATAGAGGGGAAATTGCAGTAAGAGTCATCCGAACCGCTCACGAGATGGGGATACCATGTGTTGCTGTCTATTCAACAGTGGATCAGGATGCACTCCACGTACGGCTGGCGGATGAGGCTGTATGCATTGGTGAAGCACCTAGCAGTCAATCGTAAGAGATAATCCACGTTTCTCTTTTGTGTTATTTCGTTCCTGTTGCTTAACCTGAAATACGATGCCCATCTTCCCGCTCAAGACTACCTACACCCCTTATTTATTTTCTTAGCGAAGACTGAATTTTTTTTCTTGTGATTTTATCAGCTATTTATTCATCCCAAATGTGCTATCAGCTGCTGTGAGTCGTGGATGCACCATGCTGCATCCGGGATACGGTTTCCTCGCTGAGAATGCTAGTTTTGTGGATATCTGCAAGGAGCATGGCATCAATTTCATCGGTCCTAATGTAAGTCCTTCACAGTAACTTAGTTTATTGTCACTATTAGACTCTCTTGCGGGCTACTTCATAGCTGGAAAAGGCAGGAATGTGCACCCAGTAGCCTTTGTGGTCAGGATGTTGGGGTGGGATCCAATTTTCTTACATTATCGGAATCTGATAGCATAGAGACGAAGCGCCAGCTTTTCCAATGTTTTATCTGGTCTCTATGTTAACATAATAGTGAGGAAAAAAACACCATCTAGAAGAAGAAACACCAGCTTCTCTAGTTTTACTGCCAAAGCAGAATATGTTTGTTACGCAGCAAGTATCTTGTCCATTTTAAAATTTTCATGAATTGTGATAATTTTAATTGTCGTTGCCAAATCCGTTATCACTTTGGATCTTTAGATTCGTGATCAATATCATTTACTATGGAAGATTATCTTTTCCATATGAGAACTACGCAGAAAAAAAGAAGGAATCTCTTAGACCTTCTCTTGAACCTTGGAACCTTTGCTAATCCTGGACACAGCAACCGTTCTTCTTGAAAGGGCCGTCCCTGCTTTCAAAAGTTTATTTTTCGTATTTTTTAAAGTTTTTAAGGGAGGATTTTTTGTGTGTGTGTGGGGAAGTAGGGTCGTATTTCGTCCATTATCGTGGCTCTTTATGTTCAAAGGTCTAGCTAAATGTTTGTGTTCCAAGTTGGAGAGGGACATCTCTCTTGTTCACTTGCCATCTCTCTCTCTGAGGTCTTTATGTCCATTAGTTAGATGAGCTCTGCCTATGGAATAATGATGGTCGACCTTACAGATTATGCCATAAAATTACTCATTTCGGCTCTGTGTTGTCAACGGTTGAGAATCTATGTCTATGTGGTTCAAAGAACATCAGCTGCCAACAGATTTGAAAGGGGGTTAACCACTTGTGATTGTCACGCTAACCCTGATATTATATGCTGCTCTTGCGTAATTGTGTTCCTCAAACTTCTAAGTAATTTCAAAGATTTAAAGAACATTGTGTTTTTTTTTTTTAGCCAGATAGTATCCGTGTTATGGGTGACAAAGCTACTGCAAGGGAAACGATGAAGAAGGCTGGTGTCCCAACGGTTCCTGGGAGTGAAGGGTTATTGCAGGTAAAATAAAACACAGATGCACCCTAGATTGATGTAATTCAGAATTGAGGTTTCACAAAAATCGTAGCTAATCCTACAATAAGTTCTTCCCGAATGTATTCTCTCAACGAATGAGTAATTGTTTATGAAAAACCTGGTTCCTTCAACGTATTTTGTTTAACGAAGAGGCTTATTTTTTTGTTTCAGTCCACAGAGGAAGCTATTAAGCTTGCACATGAGATCGGTTTTCCTGTCATGATCAAGGTAATGCTTTCCTCTTAGCTTTCCTCATTAATAAAGTTTCACTTTGACTATTTAAAGAAGTGCAATCTTTACACACTGGGATTTCCCATCTATTTGATGAAGAAAGGCTAGATTAAAAAGGTGGGTTTCATCTCTGTCATCATAGGAGATGCTTATTCCTTACATTTTGGTAGATGTAGATTTCTACATGAAAAAAAATTGATCTTGTGAACTTCATATGCTCTTTGTGAAAGACAATTGAGCAGTAAATTCACTTTAAATGAGAAGTATCTTGTATGATCTCGTTGTGATCCAATTTCTCCATAAATTGTTATCCATCTGTGAAGGAGAAAATCATCTTAGACTGACTTCAGCCTACTTGTGCCAGGCCAGATATGTCTTCTACTATATAATTGTTGCACGAGGATAAACAGCACAACCAATAATCCTTTACATGTCTTATTTTGGTAGTAGAATGAGAACTTTTAGTTCTACTGATCAAGCTATGTTACGAGATGAATGAGGTGACAAGGAAGGCCTTGGTTTCATTGGAAATGACCATGACAGGCACTGTTTTTGCTTGGTTGCCTGGGCGCCTAAACAGCACACCCAAGTCTATGTATTGTTGCTTTGGTGTTGGCTACAAAACTAAGTTCTGGACAGAAGAATTGTTAAATTTTCATTGATCTGAAATGCTAGTTAGTTTTTAGATTCTATAATGAATTTGGTCGGACTGGAATAGCAATCTGATGTTCCCACTAGATTTAAATTATTTTGTGCCATCTCTGTGGTTGTTGTTGCATTTGCTTGTTGCCAAACCAGGATCTTGATCTTCTTGATCAGGTCTTCACCCTCCCTTCTCACTAGAGCTGCCTAGAAAATCCCATTAGAGTAGTAGATTCACAAGAAGTCTTATTTCAATTCACCTGTACATTGGTTTAAATACCGGTTACATCTATAGTGGGCCAAACCCTTTTATTTTGAAGAAAGAAAGGGAGAGCCCATTAAGTAGTCCATAATTGACTCACTTAAGGGCCCAAATAGAAGAGAGACACTACAATAACGAGATCTTAGCTTGTCTGACACCCCCTGCAAGTTGGGTGTGGATGTTAGACATGCCCAACTTGAATACAAGCTTCTGTAGAGTTGGTCCCGGCGGCCCTTTGGTAAATATATTTGCCACTTGATTAGTACAATTGATAAACATCAAGTTTATCATCCCTTCTTCAATCTTTTCCTTGATAAACTGAGGATCTATTTCAATGTACTTTGTCCTGTCATGTTGGACTGGATTATGGGCAATAGCTATAGCTGATTGATTGTCACAGTACAACTTGATGCAACCTTGAGAGTATAGATGTAGATCTTCAAGTAGTATTTTTATCCATATTGCTTCACATATACCTTGAGCCATAGTTTTAAATTCAGCTTCTGCACTAGATTTGGACACCACCTTTTACTTCTTACTTCTCCATAAGACCAGATTTCCACCGACGAAGGAACAATATCCAGATGTTGACCTCCTGTCACTTACTGATCCTACATCATTTGCGTCTGTATATATTTCTACAATACTATCACCACCTCGTGAAAATAATAGGCCTTGTCCTATAGTATTCTTCAAATACGGTAGAATATGATATGCTGCTTGTAAGTGAATTTCTCTTGGGTCATTCATGAATTGACTAGAGGAACTCACAGCATATGCCACATTTGGTCTAGTATGATTCAGATAAATCAATTTTTCAATCAACCTTTGGAAGGATTCCTTATTAACTGGAGGACTGTCACCTCCTGCTCCAAGTTTCACATTTATATCCACTGGTGTGACTATTGGTTTACAGGCAAGTTGTCTAGTTTCCTGGAGCAGATCAACAGTATATTTATGTTGAGAAATAAAGATACCTTCTTTCGAGTGTGCCACCTCAATACCAAGAAAATACCTTAGTCTCCCAAGAGACTTAATATCAAACTCTTGTGAAAGGTTTTTACTCAAATTTTGGATTTCATTTGTATCATCACTTGTGATCAATATATCATTGACATATACAATTAATACAGTCATACCTCCACACGAATTATGTTTGATGAATAAAGTATGATCTGCATTACTCTGTTTATATCCTTGACTTTTCATTGTCTTGGTGAACCTTTCAAACTAAGCTCGAGGAGATTGTTTGAGACCATAGAGGGCTTTCTTTAGTCTACAAACCACTTTTGATTGATTGGATAGTGGATATCCTGGAGGTATAGTCATGTAGACTTTCTCTTCTAGTTCTCCATGTAAAAATACATTTTTGACATCAAAATTGATGTCTTTCCTAGTTCAACTTAGCTGCTAGAGCAATCAATATTCTCATGGTGTTAAACTTAGCAATTGGAGCAAAGGTCTCAAGATAGTCAATCCCATATGATTGAGTATAGCCTTTTGCTACCAATCGTGCCTTATATTTTTCAAGTGACCCAATCTGCATTAAATTTCAGGGTATATACCCATTTACACCGTGCAACTTTCTTACCAGCTGGGAGTGGAACTAGATTCCATATATGATTCTTTTGCAGGGCTTCCATCTCTGCATCCATTGCTTGGCTCCACTCTTTTCTAGCTAATGCTTTATCAACTGTTTTTGGTACACTTGTCATATTAAGTGAGCTCAAGAATACTTTATACTCTTGACTCAATCTATCATATGATAGATAATTGGCCATTGGATACCTTGGTCTATTTCTGCAATTCCTTACCCCTTTACACAGGGCAATAGGCCATCCGAGCTGATCATCTTCAATTAAGCCTACATCAAGTTGTTCGACCTCATTTTGCCTTGGATCATCTTCTTCCAACTGCATTGGTTCAGTTACATTCTCCACCCTTTCTGAACTTGTCTCCTAAATATTTGTGTCACTTGAGGGCAAGGGTCTTCAAAGCTAGCAACTAAAGGATTTTTTGATCTTTGAATATTAGGCTCTTCGGTTCTTTTATAATACATCTCATATTCATTAAATGTAACATTTATAGCCATTTTGAGTGGGTATCCAACAAATATGTACTTACGTGCTCTAAGATCCAACTTACCCAACTAAGTATTAGCAATGTGAACATATGCCACACAACCAAACACCTTGGGAGCTAAGTTCGTTCACAACTTTACATTTTGATAAGTTTTAGATAGTAACTCAATTGGACTCTAATGTCTAGTTGATCTTATTGGTATGCAATTTATAAGATCTGTAGCTGTCAATATAGCTTCTCCCCAATATTTTTTGGGTACATTTCCCTGGAATAATAGTGTTCTAGCTGTCTCCACAATTTGGCCAATCTATCTTTTAGCTAGCCCATTATGTTGTGGAGTACCAATACATAATAATTCATGGATTATGCCTCTTTGAGGAAAATAAGGGGAGATGATAGTATTGAAATACTCTTTGGCATTATCTGTTTTGAACCGGTTTATCACTGTTCCAAATTGATTATCTATCATGTTAAAGAACTGTGGATAATTTGAGCAGCTTCAGCTTTGGACTTAAGCAGATAAAGTCATATAAACCGGATACAGTCATCAACAAATAGCATAAACCATTTGTCACCAGATATACTCGATATTTGACATGACACCCATATATCACTATGAATCCGATATAGTGGTACTAAACTCCTTTCATTCTTAAAATAAAATGTAGATCATTTGTGTTTGGTCAATTGACAGGCCTCACACATCAAAGTTTTGACATCAGCCTTATTACAAATGGTAGGAAACGAATGTTTCATCAATTCAAAAGAAGGATGCCTAACATGACTATGTTGAAGCATGATTTGGCTCTTAGTATCTCCGGAAAAACTAAGAGAGGAGAGATACTGCATCTTGATCTTCCAGATAGAGAAGGCCATCTTGATGCCTAACATGTCCAGTCTTCTATCCCGACATCTTATCAATTAGAAAACATGCATCATCTTTAAGAATAGATTTGCGCTTACAATCTTGCAAAAGTTTTTGTAAGGATATAAGATGTGCCTCAAGTCTAGGGACATGAGGGACATCTTTAAGTGTACCTAGTCCATTAATTTTGATGCTCCCAATACCCGCCACTGATAAGATTCCTCTTCTAGTTATAAGGACTTTATGTGGCCTATTTATCTTTGCATATTAACGAATCTAGAGATATTTGGTGTCATGTGATCTGTGGCACTAGTATCAATAATCCAATTTATTCTATTGGGTTTTGGGATAATAACATTACTGGAAAATACTTTGTTTTCACCTGAGCATGCCAATAAGGTAGAACTTAGTATGCTTTGAGTCGCTCTAGTTCTTCCTTTATCTTCATAAAGTCCTCCCCACTTTCATGAGCAGGCTCTCCTGTTTGCTCATTTGGCTGCCCTTGTTCTTCACCTTCATGACTTTGAGAAGTAGCAACATATACCTTTCGATTTTGTTGGGGCTTATCATATAACTTCCAATAGGTTTCTCTGGTATGTCTTTTGCATTTGCAAAAAGAACACCAAAGAGTATCCTTATAGTTATTTGAGGCTCTCTATCCTTGATTAGTTGAATTCTCTTGATCTTGCTGAACTTCTTAGCTTGATTTTTTTCAGTTTTCTTGGTAAAAAATACAATTGGGCTAGGCCTTGATGGATCTGAGAGTAGACGCAGTTGACTCTCTTCCTCCATAACAATACCGATGGCTTCATCCAAATCTGCTGGCCTCTCTATGTAGGATCTGACTCTGAAGACTCTCATATTCTAGATTGAAAGCCATTAAGAATGTAAACATTCTCTACTTCAATATGTAATTTCTTTCTTTGGAGTGAGGATTCTTCACAGGCCAATGATAATCAATCTCGCTCCATATAGCCTTCATTTCATATGATATCTTCATGATTGTCTTCTCCTCTTGTATTGCCCTCACTATTTTGGCATTCAACCCATAGATCTTCCAATCATTATGTTGCTTAGAGCAATTCTTGTGGACTTCACTCCACAATTCTTTCATAGTAGCCAGATAAAGAAAATTGTCACACATTTCTGCTGTCATGGTTCCAAGGAGCCATGAACGAAGAAAGGCTTCCTCGGATTTCTAAATTCTGTAATTCGGATCATTCATACCAACAGGATCATCAATTAGATGCTCTGGCAAACCTCTCCCAAGGAGGGTTAACTCCACAAATTTCTTCCATTGGTACAGATTGATACCATTAAATTTCAAGCGCTCAGACATACCTGGCAGCACATACATTGTCTTGTCTCGGCCACCAACAATTGCTGTCATGACTGAGTTGGACGCAGAAGCTTCTTGCCCCATTGACATCTCCTGTTTCTTGATTCTTGAAATCAAGAATTGCTCTCAATTGACCTCCTGAATGCTTGCTTCCAGTTGATGGAAAGTGTGTCCTTGTCCTTGCGATGCTTCGCGCCTCAACCAACTTTGATACCATGTCAAACCAGGATCTTGATCTTCTTGATCAGGTCTTCGCCCTCCCTTCTCACTGGAGCTGCTAGAAAATCCCATTAGAATAGATTTACGAAAAGTCTTATTTCAATTCACCTCTACACCGGTTTAAATACCGGTTACATCTATAGTGGGCCAAGCCTTCTTATTTTGAGGAAAGAAAGGGAGAGCCCATTAAGTAGTCCATAACTGACTCACTTAAGGGCCCAAATAGAAGAGGGACACTACAATAACGAGATCCTAGCTTGTCTGACATGCTTGTCTTATGCCCATAGTGAACTCCGGATAATTCTTCCTTTTCTGCTAATGTCTTGCAGTGTTCCTTGTTGTACTCTGATTTCTGTCTTGTTGGATTCTGATTGGGTACATTTTAAGTTTTCTGGCATGCTTCAATGTTATATTTTCATATTCTTATTTCCTGTAGGCAACTGCTGGGGGAGGTGGACGTGGTATGCGTTTGGCTAAGGAACCAGAAGAGTTTGTGAAGTTGCTGCAGGTAAGCTACATTTGTTTATATAGATGGTAGTCACAGACAATTTGCCATTTTTGCTGCTTGTTCTATGGCTTCCCTCCATCAGATTAATTTTAGAAGATTACCTTCTGCGCTTTTTTTTGTAAATCTATCCACAAGACTTTCATGATCCATTGGATAATTGATGGCCGAATGAAAATTGCTGCTTTTATATCTGAGACAACTGAAAAAAGAAGAGAAAGTTAGAGAAAGCGTTGGAAACTGTCACAATCTTTAAGAAAATTAACCCAGAAGATCTGCCCCGTAAAAAAATAAGTAAGTAATTAACTCCTTAGTGTCTTCTCGTGGGGTATTCTGCTCATTCAATTTAGTTTGAAAGGAATCTTTTAATTGGCTTATTTCAGTCATCTGACATTACCTGATTCCTTTTACAAAACAGAATTATTTAAGGATTCAGTAAAACAAGCCAAAATATTTTTGATCGCCACATGTTTGGTACGAGTAGCTTTTCTTCTTCGGTAATTTATTTCATTGTCTTGAAACCGTAGTTTATGTCCCCATATTTCCAATATCTTATCTGCAGCAAGCAAAGAGCGAGGCTGCTGCTGCATTTGGAAATGATGGGGTTTACTTGGAAAAGTACATCCAGAATCCAAGACACATTGAATTCCAGGTATGCCTCTTTTATTTTAATCGAATATGTGCTGAGAGAATCATTGAACCATATCTGCATATTGGGGATATCTTTTCTTTTTCTGATAAGTGGCACAAGCTGTTTCGAAATCCTTCTTGTTTTCATTGTGGGACTCCTTTTTACTTTAATACCTGACTGGAGTGCTCAAATTCTGTTTATGACGTAATTATTTTACCATACACTGCTGCTGTTATTGTTGAAGCCAACAGTCTAGACATTTACATTTTTCTCCTTACTACTGTACATTTCCGAAAAGCTAGTGGTGACTTGGCGAAGTTAATACTATCAACACCTCATAAAATCTCTACCAATGTCTCTATCCTGTCACGATTGCGAGACTGGCTCATATGGTCAGATCTATTATATCCTCGGTAAAGCTAGATTTGACGAGATATTTACTGTTAAATCTAAATAAGGCAAATGAAAATGGAAGAGCTAGAGGGCAGATGAGCTAGAGAGCCATAAGGTAAATCATGAAAAATGAGTGAAAGATGAATTTAAAGTTCTCAGAAAGAGCTCTGCATCCTAATATACTCCATCGAAAAGCTGTGCTGTATTGTCCAATGCAATACTAAAATAGGCATTTACATAACAACTGATCTGTATGTAATATTTACAAGTTCATATCATACAAATATGTTCTACTAATGGTACGATACTTGTAAGGAGAAGAATATGCTGAACATGACTGCTCGAATTCACTGTACCTGTTTTGGGGAGGGGGGATCTTCTCGAAGTAGAAACGTATAATCTCATGTGTATGCGTCTCTTTGCAATCATCCTATCATTCTCAGACACTGAAAGCAAATATATCGCACTAATAGTCCTCAGAAGTGATTGTGCTGGGATAAATATATTTTTCCTTTCTTTATTCCTTCAGTATATCGAATGCAACATAATGCTAAATTATTCATGAAACATTTCATTTATCAATAGCATCATTCATTTGGATGGAACTTTCTTTTTTTCGTGTTGGACATTGCAGGTTCTCGCAGATAAGTACGGAAATGTTGTTCACTTTGGGGAACGTGATTGTAGTATTCAGGTACTGTGATTTGCTTATTTTCTAATTAATTGTTAATCTTGTTTACTTGATTGAACTCATATTAATCAACTTTGTTCCTAAAATTTAGCAACCTATGCTACTGACTCTTACCTATATGTGCGACAATTTGTTCCTCCCTGGTAGTTGGTAATTTTCAGTCGGTGAAGTTAGTCACAGTATTGTTAAAACTGTTGATAGGCCATTGTATTTCGTGCATCTATGGGCACCATTACGGTTTGAACGTGAAAATTCTGACTGTCCGGCGTTTTGTGGTCATCGTACGGGAGAATAGATAAATACATCTTAGATCAGTGGATTTAACAAAATTTAACGTGGTGACCTTGACCATGGAGTCAGAAATAGGTTGTCTTAATGCGAGGAGGATTTCCAAAACGAAAAGAACTATTCTGGTTCATGTTATGCACTTAGCATTTGGGTCTTCATACCTTCATTGCCATCGGTGATTAGTTACTTCAATCGGTGCCTGGCCTTTTTTCTTAAAGTCATTCTGGGGTCAATTTGTAACTTGCCCAAGTCTTGATGGAGCGTCTGACTCCATAATTGTTGTCAGCACAAAAGTTACAAACAGAAAGGGTAAATTTTGCTTTATTTTTCCTTTTTGAGGACTGGTGTGTCAGTGATTAATTCTGTTCTTCTGACAAGGATTCGCCCCGAATGATGTCCTTTTGCTTGTTTAGGGAATCTTGTTTGTATAAGCTAATTCCGGCTTGGTCACTTAACTGGATTTTACTCGAATCCTTCTTTGCAGCGAAGAAATCAGAAGCTCCTTGAAGAAGCTCCGTCTCCTGCGTTGACCCCAGAACTGCGAAAAGCTATGGGTGACGCGGCTGTTGCGGCGGCTGCATCAATTGGCTACATAGGTGTTGGAACAATAGAATTTCTCTTGGACGAAAGGGGTTCTTTCTACTTCATGGAAATGAACACTAGGATCCAGGTAGATGTGTTTACATGTGGGTTTTTCACAACTTGCGTTGAAGAAAGATGTCAGCCGGTTATTATTTCTCTTTTTGGTAAAATCCAGGTGGAGCACCCTGTAACTGAGATGATTTCGTCGACTGATTTAATTGCGGAGCAGATTCGTGTTGCCCTTGGGGAGAGGCTTACCTACAAGCAGGTTAGTGTTAAATTTTGTTTCTGTAAGGCTCATTTTTACAGCTTTCAGTAGGAACGGAATAAATACATATTTAGGCGCGATACCTTCTTCGTGGATATAGTTATTTTTCGTCTTTGAAAAGGCATCTATTTGAGGTAGAAAGAATGGTCAAGAGTATTCCATCTTTGAGAGCCCTGGATATGAATACTAGCATGCACCGTCATATTGTATACTTTTTCCGATCCAGTATGGGGGACTCTGCACGTGTGATTGTATAACCCTGTTTTTTTTCTATTTCCCATACTTCAATGATCGCGTAGTATTCTCCGTTCTAAATAAAAAAGAGAAAAAAAATTCCTACAACCTGAGTTGTTCCTAACTCTTTTCTATTCACCACTTCAGGAAGATATTGTTCTCCGGGGACATTCAATTGAGTGCCGTATTAATGCTGAAGATCCTTTCAAAGGGTTTCGCCCTGGGCCTGGTATGCGTTTCCCTTGATTTCTAGCAGTATTAGGTTCTACTATTAGGTTCTTCCCATTATAACCTTTAGGAAGTCATTAAGTCTTTATTCTTTCAATTTTCTTATTTCATGTAGCCTGTAAAAGCTTCAATTTTTTGTTGATCGTTTATATGGTGCATTACATTGAACACTACGGATTCCCCTGACATCTTCTGTTTCGGAGGTATTAAATTTGTGGGCATCCTCCCCTTCGGATGTGTTTTTCATTAAGACATTTAGATCCTTGTAAAATTTCATTCTCGTCCCATCATGTTCTAGCATTTTTTATGAGAGAAAAAAAATCGACTGGACGCATCTGCCGCATCATTTCTCATCTTCACGTCAGTGAGGGGATGTAAAAGCATGATGCTGTCTCTTGTTTACCCTTCGATGAGCCTTTTTTTTTTTTTGGGTTTTCATCAATGTGACGTTCTAAGGGCTGAAACATATGGAAGCCTGTCTTCCTAACCAAAATCATTTCTTTGGCAATGCTGTGATTACAGGGAGGATAACCTCATACTTGCCCTCCGGTGGGCCTTTTGTGCGAATGGATAGCCACATCTATCCTGATTATGTTGTTCCGCCAAGCTATGACTCCCTACTCGGAAAGGTTTACCCCACAAGTCTCTCAAGGACAGGCGATTATATTTCTATAGAAAATACCTTGATTAGGAACTAATACAGAATCTTCCAAAGTTTATTTCCATCATATCTTCTATCTGGGCATGCATATATATATATATATATATATACACTCTATATGGGTTCTGGCAAAAAGAAAGAGTTTTAAAAACTGAGGTAGACAAAACTTGTCATGCGTACATTTCTTGAAAGTGTTTCAGTGATCTTAAATTTCAATATGATTTAGCCCTCTCGTTATTACTTATCGAAATATTTCATTGAGAGAGCGTGCTTTGTTCTGAGCCTGCCAGATTTCTTCATTATCTTGCAGCTTATTGTCTGGGCACCAACAAGAGAGCAGGCGATTAACCGGATGAAAAGGGCCCTCAACGACACTGTTATAACAGGTTTGTGAGTGATCCCTCTCTAGTGTTCTTATCAGATTACGCGTTCTTATCCTCCTTTTGTTCCACAAAAAAAAAAAAAAAAAAAAAAAACCAACCAACAGACCTTCGGCCCAGCGAAAGTGAAAAAAAATAGAGTACATATTTTCTTGGCGAATGAATGGTCTACAGATTCTGATAAAGAGGCTAAAAAATTATGTACCCATGCTCAACCTGTTTCTTTATCAATAAAAATGGAGAAATAAAAAGACGACACCGTTTTTCATTCATTCATTCATTCATTCATTCATTCATTCATTCATCCATTCATTCATTCATCTCTGGTGCTGCTTAAAAAAGAAAGAAAGAAAAAAGGCTTGCCCTGATGGGCGGATGATCTGAGTCTTCGATTGTTCCGCAGGAGTCCCTACAACCATCGAGTACCATAAGCTCATCCTGGACGTCGAGGTACGGGAGGAGCCACTGTTATTCGTCCTCTGCGGCCCATCCCCGTTGGGTGGGAGCTGCATGTGGAAAGGAAGGACCTAATGAGCTCCCCATCATCTTCCTCCTCCCTTGGATTTGCAGGACTTCCGAGACGGCAAAGTCGACACCGCCTTCATCCCGAAGCACGAGGAAGAGCTGGCCGAGGTGAGCATCTCACTCACATCAACCTCCGTTGGAAATTGATTGAGTTCTCTGAATGAATCTTTGGAATCTAATCCCGAGGGCTCATCCCAACTGAGCATCAATTTAATGTCCGGGTGCTCGTGCAGCCGCAGTCGCTGGTCCCGTCGCTGCCCGCCAAGGCCCTCGCCGGCACGAGCGCGTAGGAGGAGGAAGCCAGCCGGCCGGCCAGCCAGCCAGCCAGCCAGCCATGGATGGATGCAGCGCGGTCGCCGGCCGTCGTAATTCGTCTTAATTTTTGGATTTTTTCTTCTGAACGTTGCTGGGCTTCAGAGGACGCCCGAGGTAAAGGCTGTGCACGCGTAGGTGGTTAGGGATGGGGTTTTAAGATAGGTGGAGCCTGGTTTCCTTTTATGAGAGAGAACATTCTTTTTGCTAAACCCCTCTCTCTATCTCTCTCTCTCTCTCTCTCTCTCTCTCTCTAAAATCACGTATAGCTTGATGGTGGGTGGGGGGCGCAACTGAGGAATGGAATTAGGAAGGCCGAGCGAGGCGTCCACGATTTAATGGAGCTGACCCGGGTGGCATTTAGTGGTGCGTGGGTGTGAAAAAAGCACAGGCGGAAAAATCGGATTTTCGGCGGAAAAAAAAAAGTTTTTTATTCCCGAGATGATGATCTCCCCTCCATTTGTCAAACCTCAGCGTCCGAAATGGAGTTGACTCCTCGCAACCGACGTTCAGAGAGAGAGAGAGAGAGAGAGAGTATTCATTCAACTCTACTTGCGGACCTCCGGGGTTGAATTCATCACCCTAATCTCGCCCATGGATTTTTCTTTGTTTGTGTGTATATATGCTGTGCAAGTATTGAGGCCCCCCTATGATATAACTCTTCCAGGTTTCCTCTTTCGTCGTCGCGTCGCTCAGGGAGGAAGGGGGGGAACTACTGGTGCGGTGCGTACGGCATCGTTGTGATCCTTTTGCGTCATTTCAACCGTCTCCATCTCTGGATCGCTCGGAGGTGATTGTTCATCTGCAATCACGGAGCCCTGCCCCGCCGTGGGGGGCCCAAGTCTCGTCCTCCTCCCGCCCCTGTTTTCATCCTGAATCATTCGTCTTCCTCGTGGAGAGGAGAGCACCGCGGATCGTCTTACTTCCCTTCCCCCAATCTCCATTCGAGCGTCGTCACCTTGGCCTCCACAAACCCTGGTGCTGCCCTCTGCTTTAGTCGACGACCGTAGAAGACTAATTGAGGATGGATCAGAGGTATAAACTGCAGCAGGCGCTGATGCAGCAGGCCATGTTCCAGCAGCAGCAGCAGCAGCAGCAGCTTTACCAGTCCGGCGTCCTCGCGGCCGCCATGTCGCAGGTCAGGGATTCTCTAGCAGGCCCGCGTCCTCGCTGCCGTCATCTGTTTTCTCGATTGTTATTTTTCGTCTGTGGATCTCTACAAAACCATGGTTATTCGGGTCGTCGTGCTCGTGCTGAATTCTTTGTATCCCAGACATTCTTTGCATTCCAACCTTATCTTTCCTTGTTCATATAGCTCTTTGTCAGTGCGTGTCTCGTTCGGAATGCAGGCATTTTAGATTTTTTTTCTTGTTCTTCGGTTTGTCCGTCCTGATCTTTCTTCTGATTTTTTATTAGAAGAGAAATTTAAGCGTTAAAGGCCCGCGCCTCTTTAATGTCCCGAATATTTTAGAGTAATTTTGTTCCAAAATCTCCCGTCGTCAATTATTGTCGCCTATTTTTTTCATTGGTTGCAGTTTTTCTTAATAAGACTTAAAGAGGATTTTCATTAGTCTACCTGGAACACGACCTGTTCTTTCTAATTGCCTTAGTGCATGGATGACGACTCAGAAATGTTGGATGGACTTATTTTATAAATTGTAGCTCATATTTGGCCGGTGTACGATATGAAACTTTGTTGTTCCCATGCTTCTTTGTTTAGACTTCCAAAGCATTTCGGGCAGTTACTTCATGTGCTGTTGGATTCTACTCGTCGCCATTTCTACCTGAGGCACTTGGTGTTATGGGTTCTGTTTCTCAATTTTCTACTTTTGTGTTTTGCAGATGGAGCCTGCTCCAAGTGGAAATCTTCCCCCTGGATTTGATTCTTCTTCATGCCGCAGTGTGTGAGTGTTTTTTAGCATTTCCTTTGTCACGTTCCATCTCTTTTTTAATTGTTTTATCATGTTTGCTCAAGTATGTGGAGTATTTCTTATGACACTTTCCACTTGCGAGGTTCAACACCCACATTTTAGTTTTCTTCTTACTGGGTTTTTTTTTTGTGTTTTGCATTTTGGGGAATCCATTTTTTATCATATTCGTTTTTGTCACTGCTTAAGCATTTGACGTTGGGCCATTTCTAAAAAAGATGCATACTTTATGCACATTCGTTTATGCATGTTTTCTAAAAAAAGATGCTTACTTTTCATTATCCGTGTTTGCTATATTTGATATTCTAAAACTTTATGCTTGTCAGATACATCGGTAACATTCATCCCAATGTCACTGAGAGCCTTCTCGCAGAGGTTTTTCAAAGTATTGGTCCACTTGAAGGATGCAAGCTTATCCAAAAGGAAAAGGTTGGATCGCTAGTTGGAGAATTCTTCTTTGTGTCGAGCATTCCTTTCATCAAATTGTGGGACAAATTTTTAACTTCAAAATATTTCTTTTGGCTTTTTACAGAGCTTTTATGCATTTATGTAGCCGACCCATCTTTCATCACGGTCTCAAACACTTTGCAATAATAATTTTTCTTCTCTTATTTATTGCATCCATAATTGTTTGTCAATGTTGTAATTTGCATTCTTTATCTGGCCTAAGATGGTTTCCCTGCAAACCACGGTGAGATGTGGGTCAACACAGTTGTAGAAAAAGGGAAATGGATGAGAATCAAAGAGTAACAGTGCGGTAGATGGCTACGGAAATAAAACAAGAACTGATCTCGGTAATGAGAAAGCCTTTGAGATGGCAGATCAACCCGCCAAAATAATCATAACCTAGGTTTTGAGTTGGTAGGTTTTCCACACATCTCCCCCTCGCCCATCCTCGAAGTTTGCATATGTCTGCAAACCGTAGAATCTGAAATTATCCAGGACAAAAATGATTGAATCATCACTAGCCTATTTTGATGTGGCCCCAATTTGGTGGCTGGCGAGAGGTTGGATTAAGTTAAACTTTAGAACGATCAACGGAAAAAGACCAAATCTCGGTCGTGCTGTTTAGTTTCTGGGAAGAACCCTACTATTTTGGGAAACAATATTGAAGAGTCATGCTTATGGTTCGCTGATGGAGGACATAGGAAAAAGAAAAGAAGGAAAATAAAAGGAAACACCTGGATTTTCTTGGGATTGAGTTGGATTATGAGGAAAGTCAAATTGACTAGATGGGGAGAGGAGGTGAGATCTGTCTATCAAGCGAGTCTCTTGGAGGAAGTTAAAGACTGCAGTTGTTTAATTCCATTTGAGACATTAACATGCATACTAGCCGTGCTATATTATAAAAAGTAATAACTGAATAGGATTTGTGCATCTTTCTGGAATCAGTTTTTTGGAGGTGATTACGAAGAGTTTGGTTGGTCATGCTTGACAACATGACCCTCCTTAGTGGACGCCTCGCATATGGGGTGTACTAATGAATCACCTAGCGAGCCTTATTGTCTTGGAGCTTTGTTTCACTAAATCTTGCGTGTCTGCTTTGCTCACGCCGCTGCTTAAATATCCTCAGAGTGATGCATTCTGCATCAAACTTGAGTATTTTGTTAAATTCTGGCCAAGGACTTGAATGAAATACCACCATGAGAATTCAATAATTACTGTATTTGAGGCTTCACAAGGTGTTAAATCTAACCTATTATCATTCTTTGCTTCTTAGTCTTGTCGTACTCATATATGTTTATTTTTCGCAAAAAACCGTGGGGTTATCTCATGAAGTGATTAAACTCTCATACTTGTGGCTATCTGTCTACTCTGGCAGTATTTTATGTTATCACGCACTGATGATCCTATGATGCGGACTTTCATGGTCATATTTCTTTCTTCAGGTCTTTTGTTGTGAAAACGTATGTAGTGTTTGTACATAGAGCCCCGAGTAATTGCTTTGCAATCGCTGGTTTTGTATTCGGTCAAAGCCAGGTTAATTTTTAAATGATAGATATAATCTTTTATTTTTTGTGCACACTAAAAAAGTTGGAGTGAGGTTTCCATTTATCTGATTTTCTTGGGGTTTTCATGAGAGAGATAGCTGACAATTTTTGTTTAATTGGCAGTCTTCGTTTGGGTTTGTTGACTACCATGACAGGAGGTCTGCTGCACTTGCAATCATGACTCTACATGGGCGTCAGCTGTACTGATTCCTGTCTTAACCTGTGTGCGAAATGATTGATCATTTTTTCCCGAAAAGTTTGGGATTTTATGCCACTTATCTTCTCTTAATGTATCAGAGGAAATCCCCCTAGGTTGCCACTGAGCGTCTATTGCAATTTCCTTGCAGATATGGTCAAGCAATAAAAGTGAATTGGGCATATGCTAGCGGCCAAAGGGAAGATACATCAGGTCATGGTTTTCATCTGTTGTTTTGTATTTGGATTTGATTCCTTCATTTATCAGAAAGACAGTTCTTTTTTGTGACGTTTTTTACATTGTTATAATGTTCTCAGGCCATTTCAATGTTTTTATTGGAGATCTAAGTTCTGAAGTCACAGATGCAACACTTTATGCATGTTTCTCAGTATACCCAAGCTGTTCGTGAGTTTCTGCTTGCTCTTGCTGACCAATTGCTTTGCTCCAATCTCAATTTTGAGTTGGAAAATTTCTCTTTGATATCCAATTCATGTGCTGCTAAACTGGATGTGTTCGTCTTACAATATCTGGCTTTCTAGGTTATTTCATTATTCTGTTTTTTGTATGTAGTGATGCACGAGTTATGTGGGATCACAAGACTGGACGCTCCAGAGGCTATGGCTTTGTTTCTTTTCGAAACCAAGAGGTAGCCTTGACCCAGGAATAGGATGATTTAAATTGATTAAACAGCCTGCCAGCTATTTGTGGTCAATATCTCGCAGAAGAATTTATAAAATTTGAATTCAAAATCTATGAAAGTTTCAGTATTGATATCATGCCCATGGCTTTATTACGAGACATAAATTTCCTATTCCGTTACCTTCTCTTCATTGTTAGACGCTCTTATCATTATGGACCGTACGCTTTTGACCCAAGTGACCCTGAACTTATTCACCAACAAAATCCTAACTATTCTATAGTGTCTATCAATTCACAACTTTGTGGGAAAAGAACCCTGGAAGTGTGCTGATTGTTCTCCTGCTGGCAGGCTTTTTACAGCCTGTCTGATACATGGAAGGAAAGCCAGAGAAAACAACTTTTACTTTTTACCGTAAATGCTAGTGAAAACACCTCTCAGTGATAAGCGATGATAGAAAGAGCCTTCCCGATCCTCCCAATGCAATTTTCTGAAAGCTTATTGAACTACATGTGTGGAAATCTCAGTTGAAAATCTTCATATCTTTTTATTTCTCATTGTGGCTAGATGGTTGCGTTCTTAAAATGTGCTGTGCCATCTTACTTTATTTTCTCGTTGTGTTGATTTTTCAGGATGCTCAGAGTGCCATAAACGACATGAATGGTAAGAAACTAGCAATTTTTGTTTTCATGTGATTGCTTGGCTATTTTTTCCATCCGTACTTTCCACTCGCCGTGGTAATTAAAAATGTAGTACTAATTGGAGTTGAGTATATCATGAACAGTGGCGAAAACCCCGGAACAGTATGCAGAGGAAAAACTCTTCTCGTTTTCACATAGATGACTATTATGTACAAGTACCAGGGTCACAGAACAAGGAAACTACCGAACAACTAGGAAACCGTGACTCTAGGAAAATCAACCAAAAAACTTGGAAACGGTCCAACTACAAACTGAACTCCTAATTATACGTTCCTTCCCACAAGGTACCGTTCCCCCTTAAATGGGTGGCAGAATATCAAATTAAAACTGTGGTTGTGAGGAGCCAGATGCATGTCTTCCGATGACCAAACTGCATATATGTTCGTTTTTCGCTACAAGAGGTTGTTCAAATGCTCGTCATTAAACCGCTACTTGAGTTATTTTAGAAAAAGGATGGATGGGAGATTTGTGTGTGAAATGATGCATGTGAGAGAGTGGACTTTCCCCTGATGATGCGAAGTCGACATTCTTAGCTTATTCTCTATTTATCTCAATGTTGGCAGTGTAATGCTTGCGGCGCACTTGTCATTACCGTGGTGCCTGTTTGCCCAACATTCTTTGACAGACAATGTTTCGTGCTCCACAGGTAAATGGCTTGGGAATAGACAAATCAGATGCAACTGGGCGACTAAGGGTGCTGGTGAAGACAAGCAAAGTGATGAAAACCAAAATTCCGTTGTGTTAACCGCTGGAAGCTCAGGCAAGTATTTCATCTTTCATGTGACAGACATTCGATTCCGTGAAGCGAGCTAGTCATGAATTCAGATCATCATTAAATCGCCCAACCAAGGTATCCGAAGTTCATAATAGCCGACGGCCAATGATCGATCAGATCCTCTCGTATTTATCTTCTCGGTTCTTCTGATAGATGTTGTACAAGTCCTCTGTTTACTTCTTTGCCACAAATCAACTGCGCACTATTGATGGGATACGAGTAGAGCCAGGTTCATTCTACCCCAATCCATTTTCTCTCACCTATATTTAGGCGATCGCCACTTCTCGCCATCGTGAAGGCTCGCCCCATGGGATCTGGGCTCTGCTTTGTGCTCAGGGTTCGGTGGGTATCTGCTGTGAGGTTGACAACTGCTCCATCTCCACGTAGTTATGCTCCTGAGTAGCGATTTTTCTTTCTGCGGTGGAATATTGCCGGCAGAGAATTAAAACTCTCTAGGGTTCTTCGACTTATCTCTCATGACGTTCTTGATTCATATACTTTTTTCCAGGCATCATGAGACATTCCTATTCATATAGACGTTCAATATATATATATGTATATATATATATATATATATGCTCTTTCTCCCAAACATCTCCAGCCATCATGCGATGGGCAGCATGCATACAGATTGACGTCACTCTCTCCCTTGGAACATATGGAATGATTGAGCTGTATCCCTCCTATTGGCCACCTAGTCTATCCTTCGAAGCCGCTTTCTACTCCCCACTCCCAATTGGAACCCCTGGGGACTAGCTTGGAGCTACTGCCCGGCCATTTCTTCCCTCTCAATCTCATCTGGTGCAGAGTGCTTCTCAGTAAACAGGTAAGAAGAACCTTCACACGAGCGCGGGTGCAGAAGGGCAACCGTGCTGCTGCCCACTGAGAGGGGAACCGAAAGGAGTAAGCTTTAGCCTTCCCCATCCGAGGTCCTCTTCAGAAGAGGGTTGAGCACTGTGATTGCATACCAGATCCATCCCCTTCTCTGCCATCATTCGCAAGTGGAATGAATGAGCGTCGTTTTCTTTCTGTTTCGGTTTTCCCTCTCCTGCCGGCTACTGAGGGATTGACTCTTCTTTGAGATTTTCTTCATTTCTCTTTGGCTCAGATGGAGGTCAGGAAGCTTCAAGTGAGGCCCCCGAGAATAATCCGGCCTACACAACTGTGTACGTCGGGAACCTGGCCCACGAGGTAATCTCTGTTTCGACTGTCCTGTCACCCCTTTGAAGAACCCTACTTCACCCTCTTGGGAGACGCTGGAGTTTGACCTGTGCTTTCCTCATGTGAGTTGATTTCTTCCAGGTCACCCAGCCGGAGCTCCACCGGCAGTTCCACGCTCTCGGGGCAGGCGTCATCGAGGAAGTCCGCATACAGAGGGAGAAGGGCTTCGGCTTCGTGAGATACCGCATCCACGAAGAGGCCGCATTGGCCATCCAAGCGGCCAACGGGCGCATCGTCTGCGGGAAGTCGATGAAGGTCAGCAGGCCCCTCCCTCTCTCTCTCTCTCTCTCTCTCTCTCTCTCTCTCTCTCTCTTACACACGCATCCTTGTGCTTCAGTGCTCCTGGGGCAACCGGCCGACTCCCCCCGGCACGGTGTCGAATCCGCTGCCGCCGCCGCCGGCGGGGCCGCCGCTGCAGCTCCTGCCACCAACGGCCGGCTCGACCAACCGGGGGGGGGGCTACACGGCGTCTGAGCTGTTGGCCTACCAGCGCCAGCTCGCCCTGGCTCAGGCGGCCGCCGGGCCCTTGGCCTCACAGGCCTCCCCCGGGCTCGGCTCCGGCAGCTCCCTGGCCCTCTACGACGGCTATCCAATCAACTACTACCACTGAGCCGCCGCAGGTCAGTCAGGTCACCATCCTCCCTCCCTCCGATGGTTTCCGAGTTTTGTCCATGGACTCTGTCTGATTCAGTAGTCTCCGTTGACTGGACGATGTAGTCTCCCTGAGAACCTGAAGGTTCTTCATTTATTTTCTTGGTGTAACCGCAGTATGTGATCTGTAAGTTGAGATGTGCCGCCGCCTGGGGCGGGAACCGATGAACGGGCGTGAAGCTTTTTCCACGGGACCTCCCTCCGTCTCTCTTCACTCTTTTCTTTCTTTCTTTCTTTCATGTGATTGATTGCCCGGATGCGAGGTCCCCTTTCAGCTCCCCGGATGAGAGAGAGAGAGAGAGAGAGAGAGAGAGAGAGAGTGTAAAACCCATGATACATTTATAGAACTTCTGAGTTCGTCAGCCGGAAAGCAGAGTCAGGCTGGCCTCTGCGGAGGGACCGCAGGGGATTGGAGGAGGAAAGATTGAACGGGCTAGGGACGGTCTGTCTGTACAGGAAGCGACGGCGGCTTCCTCGGCCGATGGGCAGTCAGAAACCTCATCACTCGAGATCCATTTGAATCTACGGGATACAACAGTCTCTGTGCTGCTTCTTCCCGGTAGTCTCTCCTCGCTGGTGGCGGCCATTCCTCATTCGCAAAACTCTCTCTCTCTCTCTCTCTCTCCCTCTCTCTCTCTCTCCTATCTCATAAAGCCATCAATCTACGGCTTGAGGGTGAAGGGAGGGGGGGCTTATTCTCTCCACGTTATCGTCGGAGTTTCCTGCTACGCGGCGGCGACGCCGGCGGGGAAGAGCAGCGGGGCGGAGCAGGGGGAGGGGGAGCAGTCGAGGGCCGCCGGCGCATCCAGCGGGTACTTACTACGCCCTTGCTCCTCGCTGGCTATCTGCCGGCTTCTGCACTCGGCGCTGCAGAAGGCCTTGTCGCCCCTGTTCCAAGCAAGGAAGACACTCGTGAGCTCCTCCACGTGCCCGACGCCTTCTACCCTCGCCGCCGCCGCCGCTGCCGCGGGTTTCATGAAGGGCGGAGGGTGGAACCCACAAATCATCAACTTTACCCGACCAGACGGCAATATGTACTATATATCGCGGCTCAGTGAAAAAGAAGAGCGGCTAAAAACCTCAACGGGAGTTCACAGGCTCAGAAAGGACAGAAAAAATTGCACCAGGGAATCAGAACACAAGCTCTTCGTCGCAGATGCTTTGCGTCGAATAGCAAACAGTATTTGATGGGTGGATGCATATGGGACCCCGGCCAGATTTTTTTTTAATAAAAAAAGGTGGAATGATGGCTCTTTAATCTGTCTGCGCAGGGACGGAGGAATCCGTCGGATGATCGATGCTCTTCGGGATGAGTCTCGCGATTTTTTTACCATGTATGTTTTGTATGGAAAACCACGAGGAAGAGTAGAAGATTCGCAGATACTGGCGGAGAAAGATCGACGACAGGAGGAAGCGTACGATTCACGGGGGAGGAAGCTGTGGGTTCTACCTGTAGATGAAGATGTCGATGCCGTGGAGTGCCCTGCGGCAGCGGAAACAGCGGCTGAGGAAGTCCTCGGCCGCCGGGGGGAGGGCCGCCGGCGGAGAGTCGAAGAACACCCCCGGGCAGCAGCCCCAGAGATCGCCGCCGCCGTCGTCCAAGTAGACCCTCTTGCGCACGGTGGACCCCTCGACGTGAGAGATCACGCAGGTGTAGCTCTCCGACATCATCTCCCTCTCCTGCTCGTCTTCCTCCTCCTCGATCCTCTGGTCCCTCCGCGGAATTCCGATGGCCCCCGAGCGGGCAGAGAAAATCGGGATCGGCTCCGACCGCCGCGGCAGCGCCGACCTGGGGGTCATCGCGATGGCGGCGGCGCCGCCATGGGAATGGTCCTGCCCGCCGTCGCTCATGGCGGCGACGATCCCCAGACCGACGGCACCCTCGTACCCGAAGCTCCTCGCCGTGGGCGAGCGCAAGAAGCTGTCAGCGGCGGCCGGCACGGACGAGAAGGACTCGGCGAGGCCCGCGAGGAGCGAGAGCTTGCTCACCGGCCGCCGCTGCCCCGCCCCGGTCATCTTCTTCCTCTTCCCTACCCTCTCACCTCCCCAATCTCCTCCTCCCCTGTCTTCTTCCCTCCCTCCCCCAAGAATTCTCTCCCCCGAGGCTGACAGAGGACCACCATAAGGGCCTCTTACCGGGCGAGGGGGCAGAGACCGCCGGATCAGAATCCCCCCTCACGCTCTAAATCCATGCAGATCCTGCCGGTGGATGGCGAAACCCAGAGTCCCTGTTCCCCGATTCCCCTCCCCGCGGTAAATCTATATCCTCCCGAGTGCTCTTCCCTGGCCTGGTTGACTGCCGAAGAGATCACCTTTGCCCACAGAAACATAGGAGAGCGAGAGAGAGAGAGAGAGAGAGAGAGAGATGGAGATGGGTGGGAGTAGACTACCGTCCCCGGGCCTCGCCGGCGCCGTCACACACAGGGGAGATGAGAGCGACGGCATATAAGCAGCTCCGCCGGTGGCTCCGATGTCCATCAATAAATAAATAAATAATTACATAAATACATAAAAATATCTCGGCTTCGTCATCGTCATCCGCTGCTACAGTGGAGACGGAAACCCAGAGAGAGAGAGAGCGACCGCTCCCTTCCCTCATTTCATCTTCTCGGCCCTACCCGACGGGCGTCTCGATCGGTGGCGGCGCTGCCACCAGCGCCTATTCTTCATTTCTCATTTTCTTGGGGGGGTCTCCACAAAAAGACTCCGCCGCCCACGGTCTCGTCCCGCTGACGTGGCCTCATTTTCTGGGATCACACGGCCAACGGCTACGATCTGACATCCTCGGCCGGTTCCTTCGACTTCCGTTGATATCCACCGTACAGCTGGCACGGAAGTCGCGGTCAATGTCTCTGGACCTTTTTTCCGTTTAAATACGCGTGAATTTGTACAGAAAATCGATGTGGCGGATGTGTGGGGCCCACAGTGGGGATTTATTGACTTCGAACGGAAAAAAATGGACGGCGGACGGGGAGCGTTGACATGTGGGTCTTGTGGCTGGGACAGACCCCGGATTTAACCTCAGAAAGGCAAGAGGGGGAGATGCGCAATGACGTCACTTTCTGTGCGGAATGAATGATCCATCTCGAGCCTTCTCCCTCTTAATTCTTCCACCATGATCACATGCTCCGCCCCGGTGATGATCGCGGGGTGCCGCCGGCGGCGGCGGCACCATCCGTTTCTTTACTCTTTTCAGCTTTTCCGCTCTCCAACTCATTCGAAAGCGCGAGCCATCAAGTTTACGTTTTTATCGGGGGACGGGAGGTGATGCGTGTGAAGATGGACCACGAAGGGCACGCCGTCCCCATGAATCCGGCAAGCTTTTGAGAGCGGCCGGGGAGAGGAAGGAGCGAAGGATGGGGAGAAGGTGCTTGATTGGAGCGAGAAAGAAGAATAAAGAAGAATAAAGAGGGAGAGGGACCCCCACGCACACCCTTCCAATCATTCAATCGCGGCTCTCGGAGAGGAAGAAGACGCCGGCCGTCGCCGCACATTCCGTGACGGCGTTGCCTCGACGGCGGGCGCGGGAGGGGCTGGGGGGGGGAGGGTGACGAAGGGCTGCTGTGATTGGGACGGCGGGGGGCTTCTCAGGGCCCGAATTCTCCTCCCGACGGGATGCTTAGCGGGCTTCGAGGAATAAGTCGGAATTGTCCAGCTCATTTGATCCCGACGAGTCGAGGTATCGACGACAGATTCACGTACAGATAGATAGATAGATAGATCGATCGATCGATCGATCGATCGATAGATAGATAGATAGATAGAAAGAGGGAGAGAGAGAGATTCGTCCGCGACTGGGACAAGGGATGCCGTCAACGTCCACCCGAGAGAGTAGCGACAAGGTGGAGAAAGGTTCACGTCTCCCCTGCCGGGCATCAGGGTTGCCCAGCCAGAAAGGAATCTACTATAATGCACTTGGAGCTCACGCGAGAACATGCACCACTGAAACCACGGGTAGAGAGAGGGACATAGCGAGAGAGAGGGAGAGGGGAGTGATCGTCTCGCTTTTGGGTGTCAATGGAGGAGAGCTTTGCTGGGGGGAGGGGCAGGAGCCCGGGCTTGATCTCTGACATCAATAAATGCCGGCGGTGCAGTGGCGCGGCTCTGCTTCGCCGGAGGAGGAGATGGCGCCAGAGAAAGATGGAGAAGAGGGCCATTCTTGCCCCGCGGGGCGAGCGGTTTGCGTCATGCGTCCTATGTGACAAGACGGCTGACATCGCCACACGAGCGGCCACCCATTCAGGAACACCCGTGGATTTGACTCGACTGCGCGTCAGATACCTCCCTCCTTGAACACGTTGCAGAGAAAAACTCCGAGAGAGAGAGAGAGAGGATGGGGACGGTGCCGAGTTTTGTTGCACGTATTAAAGATGAAATGGTCGGTGGTCGTTCTCTCTGCCCGCCGGGTCAGAGAGGTTCCCAAGGGCGAGGGGGAGCGTCGGGAATTGAACGCGGTCGAGGATGGCAGAAGGCTCGAAGAGGACAGGGGGTGCGAAGATCTGAACGACGCAACGGCTCCTCTGTCCTCTGGGTCTCTCTCTCTCTCTCTCTCTCGCTCGCTCTCGCTTCGCGGGGTCCCCTCTCTCCTGCTTCCTTGTATCTGTGGGGGCTTTCTTCCTCACCATGCCGTCGTGCCGACACCCCCTCCCACTTCTCCCCCTCCCCCTACCGATTAGAAAAGATGGTCTGGTCTTGTGTCTCGCAATCAATGAGAGGGGACGGCTGACCAATGACGCCTGCTTTCTGCGGGGTGCCCGTCCCCGTTACAGTGGCCGGCCGGCTACTTCTACCGAGTTCCCCTTGCCGGCCGTACGAGAAGAGACGGCCGAATTCGTGGGCTACCATAATCCGCTTCGGTTCCCTCTGGTTTCTTCCAAAATCCACAAAAACATTGCGAACACAACGTGGACCTACCGGTTTCAGCTGTCAGTGAAGAGCACGGTGAGAGCAAGAGAGAGACGGCGGGGCGCGCGGGGAGGAGAGGAAGACGACGAGGACCGAGCCATGCAATGCCTGTCTTCAGAGGGAGCCCAGGCAGCACATGGTTGACGAGCCACAATAGGCACGGCAGACAAACTGGTTTAGGGTTTCTTAGTCCAGGAGGAGGAGGGCCACACAGCTTCCGGTCGGATAACGTCAACGGCCACGAGCGACGTTATCCGACCCTCCATTTCGGGAATAGAGGACCACCGAGAGGGGGGGGGGGGAGAGTGGGAGGTGCTCTGAGCACGACGGCCGCCCTCGACGGCGACGTGCCCTGAGAGGGAGCCATCCATGGAGAGGGCAGGAGCTCGCTCGCCTCCCCCGGGCCCATCCTTCCTGGCCCACCACGCCATAACAGGGAAATGAGCATGCTTTTCAGACGTCGGGCCATGACCTTTCAGAGCACCCTCTGGACATGGATGGATACAGAAAATATGATCTTCTTGCTCCCCGGGCCATTATCTCAACCTGTAGCCCCGGACCATTATCTCAACCTTCCACGTTACGCTCGATGATGTGCAATCTGCCGACTTCCATTGCAGGGTTTCGGGCTTTTACTGACATTTAGAGCATCAGACTTGCCGACGTTGCCGCAGAGAGTGGGGCCCCTCAGGATCGTGACTCCCCCAGGAGCGAGTGCCAGAGTGAAGGCCGCACTAGAGGTTGTGGCGACGATGGGCGTGGTTCTCGGCAGATTCCGGGGCAATCCCAAAGATCTAGCCGAATAGTATGTTATGAGTGGAGAACGCAGGGCATGAATACTTGTAGAAGATTGGAGCGGCGAGATGTAGACAGACCAGGCGATGAGCGTCGAATGATCAATTAAAGAACGATGAACGATGAGATTATGGAATAAAAAGATGTCACTAAATGCAGAGATGACAGCTCCATTCTGCGTACTCCTTAGAAACCCTCCTGTGCGTACAAGGAGAGTTGGGAAGAGACTGCAGTACAAGTACGAAGAAGAACGATAAGTTCGTACGAACCAGGGAGATCCTCTTCTCCCCGGTGACTGAAGATCACTAGCTCTCCCTCTTAAAATGGTGCTCCCTGAGCGAATCTGCCAACATCCCAAAACAGACGCACCCACAAACCCCTCAAGCTGGAGAGTTGGGACAAAGCAACCATACGCCATTCTGTCCTCGTTAGATGAGAAAATAAGAAATGAGGTAGGAGCAAAAGAGAGGATAGAGGAAGAGTTGAGGCTCTCTCTCTCTGTCTCTCCCCCTCCCTCTCATTATGCATCACAGTCCTCATGGAACTCAAGCCCTTGTGTGCAAGGCCCTTGCTTGAATCTAGTCTCTCTTGGCTGAGGTCAACAACAAAATGTTCCAATTTTGACTATATCAATCAAATGATACTAAGCTGCTAGAAGACCCTTGTGTCAACGATGACTGCTCAAAAGGCAGTGTGCCAGAAATAAGGGCCCAATAACTGAAACGTTGAAAGTTCTTTTTCTCCCCTTTTTAGGGCATCAGGGAGATGGGGGAAAAGATGTGAGAGGCAATATCAAATTAGGAGCTTTTAAGAACTCTGTGGAGAAGGGAGGTTGCTGTTTCAAGTGAAGGTTTAGGGCTTTCTCAATGGCATTGTCAGGAAAAAGAACTTCATCTTTAAACGGTTTATAAGAATGAGTTTCTTCATTTTTCTTCATTTCTTTCTTCCTTCTGCTCCCCGTGTACTTGGTGTGGATGTAGGAACTTTACCATTAAACCACATAATAATTTATCACGCATAGTCCTGTATTTGAGGTGAGTCAAACTAGCCTATTATTAGTTGATATCTGAAACTTGTTGTTGATTTCTTTGGAAACATTTCTTGTTATAAGGAATGCAAATTGGCATTAGTCCACTATGCTTGTGACCGTTGTTTTATCTCTGTGTGATGTGGTCTTTTGCACAACTACACATATTTAATATCCAAGGTCTAATTGATGGTTTCTTAATGTTGTTTATGCTTTGATTTATTTCAAAGACTCATTTGTCACAATGTTTGGTATCAAAGCTAAGCTAACATTTATTACTAATTATGTT